GTTCTTAAACCTGGCTTTTAAAAGCTGCACCCCCATGGACACAACTGTTAACAGGTTACATGTAACTAGTGTGGTAAATATCGTGTTACATTTCTCAGCACTTAACCACAAATATGTGATGGATATGGTCAGTTTTTTTCTTTATTTCACCGTATCATTGAACTTCATACTCTTTAAGAACAAAACACTCAAATCTATTATTATTTATTGTCACGCGTGGGGTCCGATAGAGGAAGGGGAGGGTTTAAGAGACAAGATAAACCATTTGGTTAAAAATCGGTGGCACAAAGAGAGTAGTTTGCAGCAGCTTAAATTTTTTATGTCCTTCTATAATTCACACTATTATGTATCATTTTTTCAAAACAAGCCATGATGTTTGAAATTGATTATTAGCTCCTGGGCAAACTTCCATTAGTGTGTTGATGGGAAATCAATCTACAATGTATGGTGTGCCTCAGGAAAGTAATGCTAGGCCTCATGGTAAATGAGCAAAAACATGCTGAGCTGGAATATAGGTCTTTGCATTCATAACTCTGTCTGCTTCCTTTAGTTTAGAGCGTAATCACAACATACATGCATCAAAGCCCTGAGAAGTAAAAGTCTCAGACTGCGAAGAATTTCTTTGTCTCACTTAAATACAGACAACTGTTTGCCTGAAACTCCAGCAAACAGTCATTAGCACTCAGGAGGCTCCAATTGTCTGTCTCTTTGGGGAGATTACTGCTTCTGAACACTTTGCATTTTTTCATTCCGTTTGTCATCTCTTTTGAAAAAGATATTCACATGTAACTCTTTGCTACAGAGCTATATTTGGGCTTTAGAGGTTTCTGACATGGTGAGAAACTAGAATGGCTGCCGTGATCAAGGTTTTGCTGTTTTTAATCATGCTGTTTTTGGATGCCAGCAACATTTTTCTTAAGCTTTGTTTGTCCCCGGAGGTTTCTGTTGCTTTGGAGTTTTGGGAATTTTTGCCAGACGGATAAACATAATTGGGCGGGGGTCAAGTTTATTGGCAAGAAACATTAAATTAGAAATAAAAGAACTATACTCATGGCATGCAGGGTTAAAATAAAAGGCGACACTGGTGCAATATCAATGACTTGATTGACTTATTAGTCATTTTGATGATGGTCATCTGAGCAATCCTTGCAGGTCGTGGGCTAAGGCCTGAAATGTCAAGCAGCCCACTTGTGCTGCATCATTACAGAGACAGTATCAGGCTTTCAAACACAGAAAAACTGTCCAACTGTAAATACTCAATAAATCAGCAGCCGAGTCAGAGATTCTGTACTTGTCGAAATTCCCCCTCTTCATACTCACACTTTAGCACGACGGCAGGCAAATTGCCAGATCCATTCTCTTCCTCTAATGTCTTGACCTTTTTGTGTGGTTTGAGGACTTCAGAGACGTGAGAGGGTAGATAGCTGCTGAACCACGACAAAAAAGTAAGTGAGAGATTATGTAAGGCCTGTGACATTTTGTAGAGGGCTGTGACCCACTTTGCTTCTTAAGCGCTTTGAGGAACGAGCAGACATTTGCTCAGACAGATCCTCAAGGTTGGCGCCACTCGTAGGCTGAATTGATGTCTTGATGCCACATCAGAGGCGGAGAAGGCAGACATGGTGTCATTTCAAGTGATGTCGAACAAAGACTTCATTACAAACGCACTTTACCTATTATGGCAAAAAAGCTTGTTTCAGCTTGGCTTGCTGCAGCCAAATACTTCTATGTACAAACTGTAGAATCACAATAAGTCTGCTATCAGTAGCATAATATATTTGATATCTTCTTGGCTAGCCCCAGACAGCTAATGCTGGCACTCAGTATTAACAGTTTTCACCAAAAGTCAGAGATAACAAGAAGTTGAGGCACTTCCTGTTTTGTTGTGTAACACATCTGGCTAACATTAGCTTATGCTAGCTGCTGTCTAACTGTAGCTGATACTGACAGTGCAATTTGCTATTGATAGATTACAGCTCCCATTAGCAATTAGCATAAAACATTAGAATGGCTTTTGAGTACATTTTTGGTCAACATCACAGTAGCTGGGATGTTATATAATGAGCTAGTAAGACATGACCTGCTCTCATACCACAGACAATATGGTTTTGTTTGCCAGGGTTTGACACCTTTGGTAATCTTTTTTTTTCTGCAAATAAGCTAAGCTAGGAAGTGGCTAATAGACTGTTGACTGTTTTCTAAGAGAAGCTAATATTTTACAGCTAATGCTATCACTAATTTTAGCATTGAGCATGTACCATTACCTCAGCTAGCAAGTAAATTTTGCCATGAATCACATTAATGGATAATATCTGTCCTGTTCATTTTACGCAATACTTTTTTGCTTAGGTTTGGCTTGAAGATGGCTAAAGCCTCATGTTAGCTGTGTTTTAATGGTAACTGACATTTGTTAACTCAATTTGCGTATGTTGGCAACAGCTAATGTTAGCATTCAGTATTGGTTTGTAGGTTCTTTTCTTGTCAACATCTGCTGCTTTTGAGTTACCTCTGAAGTCAAAAGTCTGAGCTGAAAATAACGTTGAAACCGAGTTACCAGCGTTCCAGTTACCAAGTTGGAAAAAAGCAAAATTGGAGGCCTAAAACAAGATGGCTACATCTACGAAAGTTATTTTAGCACTTGTCTTGTCCGAACATAAGGCAAGCGCTAAAATGACTTTCGCATATGTAGCCATCTTGTTTCAGGCTTCCGATTTTGCTTTTTTTCTGACTTGGTAACTGAAACGCTGGGAACCCGGGTGTGACGTCATTTTCATCTCCGACATCTGACTTCCGAGGTAACTCAAATGCAGCAATAATATAAGCTTGGATTTATTTTATTATGTAAACCAGACTTAAAGCTAACTTTAGTGGTCAGGCAGTAATAACGTGTTTGCAAGTAGACAATCAAAATTGTGGTCTTATTTTGAATAGCTACTGATATCGGTACTTAAACTCCACTTTTAGCATTTGATGAGAGAGAAATGTGGCTGTATGCATTTGTTAGATGCACCAAAGTTAGCTTGGTGCTGCTTCGAAAACACATCCAGTAGATTGCAAACTATGTGGCAATGCAAGAACACTACAATGTCGTATAGTAATACAACGCCCATGGTAGGAATTATCAGCCTGTTATGTGGATACAAGCAGCTGTCCATTAAGTTGGCACCTGACCAGAGATCTCCAAGTCTGGGCCTGGCCATGGGAAACTTGACGTCAAAGGAGTTCACCCTCCAAAATAAGTAACCTTTTTCCCCTCTCCTCTCTGTCCAGGCCTGGATTTTCATATTTCACTGGTATTTCCGGATAGATCCCACATTTGCAAAATAAAGGCCATCAGAGTAATCACTATAATGTAGAACAATAATAACTGGGGGAACTGAATGAAAGCTTGGAGAGGCTTGTTGACCTTTCTGAGCTAAACTGGTCCTTGCTTCTGTCTGTGCACTGCTGAGCCCATTGTGTTCTCAGACCTTATCATTGTGTTGCAGTTTCCTCTCCCTGCTGCGTGTGCGCACATGTACATGTGTGAGAGTGAGCGTATGAGCTGAGGCCCTGTCCTTGTGTATGTGTGAGAGTGTGTGTTTGTATTGTAGTGAAATGGGCCAGCATACAACGAAAATGCAAAGGCTTGAGGCGTCGTACACACCGTTTCACACTTAGGGGACTTCAAACTCTCTCTTAGACAATCCACACATGCACACATAAGAAAAGGGTGCTGATGACATAGTTTGGACACAGCAATTAACATGCTGACATATTTACTCATTGCTTAATTAACATTTTTCCTGCATGAGAACTTGTGTTGACATACAAGTATTGTGGGGATGTAATTTAACACTGAATGCATGTGGTTGCCCTTTGGCAAGATCTGCTGTTGAACATTGTACAGAGAAATTTTACTCTATTATAATGTTTTAATTAAAAAGCTAGGTATATGAATTGAATTATGGAGATTTAAACTAAATAAAATGACAAAAAGTATCTTACCTGCATAACTGTTTAAACATAGTCATCAGCCTACCAAAGTAATGAGGGTTAACACTGATTTTTACAACATCATTTGTATATTTCAACTGGTTTCAAGTTATAATCTAATTTTTTTTAAGATTAAAGCTCCTGTAATGAATTTTGGGTTGGGTTAAATTTGGCAACCCCTTCTTCGCTCTTTAGTAATTTTGTCTGCTGCATGTAAGCCAGCTTTCTTTAATCTAACACTCAGCAGTTTTGGTAGATGTTTTGGTAGCCTGCAGTTAAATAATCCCCATGACACCTACCCCCCCACCATCAGTTTTGGACATTAAATTTTCCCCAATAGAAAGGATTTTTCCTTTTCCCTGATGGTCTGGTTTGATTTTGAAGGTCCTGCTAAAGCATCAGCATTTATGCCAGAGGAAAAAAAGTTCCTCACAGTAGCTTTAATTAGTATATTGTAAATGTGTTTATATGGCAGGCAGTGCAAGAGCAGCAGCACCCCTAAAAGTTTATAACACACAAAACAGGACAAAAGATGAGATAAGAAATATGCAATGGTGAAGAAAAGGCAACAACTGATGCACAAAATTATTCAGATTGCAGGAGAAACATCTGTTGCAATCTTGAAAACAACAAGGAAAAAGAGTTGTAATAAAATTCAGATAATGATCGTACCATGAATGATCATGGTATGAAGATTTTCCCTTTCCTCCCACTCCAGATGAGTAACACTTTTCCTTGGGAAAGAGCCATAGTTTACTGATGCTTACACGGCTCATAAAACTGTAGTGCAGAGAGCTGAAGACACATCAGGTTTCAAGAGACACTTTAGGAACAGGGGAGGTATTATTTCAGAAGTCTTTGATAATTGTACAAATGAATTCCATCTAACACAACCTAATTATCTATTTTTGTTTTAAGTCATTGATAACAAGCTATTGTAGAGGAGACACTAACTTGAAACTTTTAAGTTTAAAAAAAAATTGTAGGTAGAAGCTTCTGGCTCTTCAGTGTATTCACAATATCAAAAGTTTGAACCCCCCTGGGATAAGGGGAGCACGACGCTTCCTTTGTGAGGCAATGTGTAAACTCTTATGTTAAAGCTCCTGTTAAGAACTTTTGGTTTCTGCCAATTTTGACGCTCCTTGTGGACAAAATAGTCTTCTATGTGCTTAAGTACTCAACTTCTGAGTCATTTATTCGTCCTACTGGCTTTTGACAGTCAAATGTATAATTTTTTGTAAATATCTGATGCTGAAAATATAAAACAAGGGCTTTTCTTCAGCAACCCTATGAACACTTACCCCCTCACACCAGTTTCAGCCATGAGACATAACAGTTTGAAACTGTCAATCTTGGCACTGATGGTCTTGTTTGCTTTTGTATAGCCATAAAATGCCAAAAATATGAATTTCAGTCAGTAGCATACAGCCAAAACAATTATTCTGCACTGGAGCGTTAAATTAAAACTCAACTCAACTTTATTTATAGAGCACTTTAAATACAACCAAAGCTGACACAAAGTGCTGTACATAATAACATAAAAACATAAAACAACAATAAATAGTTTAAAAAAAAAATTTGAATCATCTTCAATAAAACTTTGAGTCATATTCATCTTATATTCAAAACCGAACAAAATTAGATTGATATATGACATAGAGTCTAAGGTACCAAAAAAGGCCCAGACAAATCCACTGAGTACATTGGTGTTACTTAAAGCTTTTGTAAGGATCTTTCAGTTTTTGCTAATTATTGCGCCCCCTGTTGACTAGGCAGTTGTGCTTAAACAGTTTCTTCAAAATCAAATCCATCATTAATTGTAATTTCTTATGCAGAAAATGTAAACAGGGTTCTTTTCTTCAGCGGCTCCACTGACACTTACCCCTTACACAAGATCCAAGCCTTAGAAATCATCATATAAAAATCACCAATCAATACTTTTGCATATCATAAAGAGACATCAGTATGAACTTCAGTCCATTTCATTGATGTCAAAAACTCCTTACAGTAGCTTTAAAGTCAATATTTTTTTTCTCTTTACATTTCCATCAATGCTTTAGCAAAACTCTTCTGAAAAAGTGTAACAGTGAGGCTCATTCATGAAAGCTAATACTTGATGACGGCTGCAGGTATAAGCACAAATCAGGGATGAGTGACAGACTTTCCCCCATCAGAAGAACTCAGTCTCTCACATTAGGAGAACACAGAGAAATGCACAAAATCTCCCCAACCCTTCAAAAGAGATCCACTGCCTCCACCTGTCCCCCCCTCTCCTCCACCGATGGGTGTAGGAGAGAGATGTCCTATGATGTCACCGTTGCCTCTGTTCTCCCAGACAATACACCCACACTGCCGGGGCTTCCCCTGCCGTGGCAACAGGGGGAGCTGTTGTGTCCTGGTGGTATGTGTGCTATGACTCATCGCCTCCTTTCTCCCACGCAGAACACACACGCAGCGCAGTTCACACACATACTCACACAGCCGTCCACAGCTGCTGCAGGCTGAGCTCCATAGTGATACACAGACACACATGTACACAAACACATGGTGCATCAGTGGGTACACAGTGCAGAGCATGGACTGCAGGAACAGGGGCTGCATGAATGAATAGGCCAGGGGTGTTGCTAGGGGACTGATACCCCAACACTGCCTGGACCCTTATGACCCCTGAATCAGTGGTCACATTGATACTCACTGAATAAGTGATGCAACAGAGACGTGTGTGTTTGTGGTTTTAAGTCTTCTGCCGCACAAGTTGCAGTCTTATTTTTGATTTTCAAAAGTGAGTGTGGGTCTCTGTAAGTCTGCAATACTCTTGTCTGTAAACTCGTATATTTATGATTTGATACTTTTGTGGTCTTTTTCTTGTGTACATGCACCAGGCGAGAATTTTTGTATTAAAAAAATATCTCTGCCTCCACTATAGTTGGCACTGATATGCTCCTTTTCATCTTGTAAGTATTGGCCCAGAATCCAGCTGACTTATTACATCCGGAACAAAAACAATCGATAAACGTGCACAGCTTTGTACCTTCTGTATGAACCAAACAACTCTTTCTATTTTATTGTCCTTCTTGTGTTGAGGTTCTGCTCACAACTGGCTTCCTGCAATGCAATTTCGTGGTAATCTTGATGAGGAATTATTGAGACAGGGATGTTTTGCCAGAGTTACAAAAACTTTTCCTCTGTCTCATAGTTCCATCTCAAAGCAACATTTTCCTTGGCTCTCTTGGCATACAAACCCACTTCAAAAATACCCAAATATTCCTTTAAGAGAGCAATCATGATAACAAACTTGGGGACACTGACGACAATAAGGATGATGATGGAAAAGAGGACTATCAGGCTGAGCTGCATTGCTAATTGCAAGGCTATATTGTAAGCTAATAATGAGCTACATCTAGCTGATGTGTGTTTTGGGCTAATGTCAGGGACAGCATACAGTGGCACTGCTAGCAGAAGGAAGTTTTCATTAAGCCTGCTTAAAGCTGCTGTCAGAAACTTTGGGTTTGAGTCCAATTATTTTCTAAAATAAAAAAGAAAATTCACAGGGATTCATTTTAGCTGTCAACTTTACAACATTAACTTCCAATCTAAAAGGCTGTTTCTATGTGTCGTCAGTTGTCTGGTCTGACACCTACCCCCTCGCAGAGGATACAAAAATGTTAAATGTCCATACATTTTTTTTAATTTCTTTGCTGCTGATCGTGAAGTTTGCTTTTGTAGTGCATAAGCGCAAGGATGACACGCAAATTTGTAAAGCGTTCCTTCTTTTTTTTTTTTTTTCTTTTTTTAATTTCCCTCTATCTGTCTATTTAAAAAGCAGCAATGTAAATTTCAGTCTCTTTAAGAAACAGTTATAAACTCCTCACAGGAGCTGTGTAAAATACTTCGTTTTTGTGTAAAAACCCGGGATTTTTTTTTAATAGACTGAAGACATCCTTTCAATGCCTTTTTGTGATATAAGAAAAAAAACAAAGTAGACCATTTGCAAAAAGTTTGACAATTTTGTATCACAATTATAAATGCCGGAATATGAGACTGCTGCAAGGGGGTAGGTGTGAGTTAAAGAAATAGCCCTGTTTTAGAATGTCCAAAAAATATTCACCTTAATTGCTACATTTGTCTGTCTAAGAGGTTGGATTTTTTTGACAGAAGACAGTACTTGAGCATGTAAAGCACACGATAAGCAACGACTGCTTTGTCCACAGGGGTGCTAAAACTGACACAAACCGAAAGTTCCTCATAGACTCTGCTGCATTAATAATCTCTAGCACCAGTTGTGATCAATTAAGAGTAAAATATAATTTAAGGTCAATATTCAGGAAAAAGAAGGAATAAACTTGATCTTAAATGTACACATAACTTTACACAAACTACTGCGCAGGATGCAGTCTTCACGACAACATATACTGTTTGAAATTAACCTGTAGCCTATAAGAAAACCACCCCGCATGTCCTTTTACATGCTGTCTGTTAATGCAGCCGCATGTCCCCTGTACATCCTGACATCCTGACACTGGCTGAGGAAGAAGCTCCTCCTAATAGCTGCTGCCAGGATCCATAACTGATGTGGTGATGTTTGGGCCGATAAGGGAGTATCTACAACAAACTACCTCTGACCATCAAAGCTATCCCACTATTGTTCCCCCACACACAGGAAGCAAGGTTTGTGGTGTTATTGTTGGATGAGGCAGGAATAAGGCAGCGCGTGTGTTTGTGTGTGTGTGTAGGAATGTGATTATTGTGTATATGTGTGTATGTGCGCGATGGGAAGCCGTCTGTGTTTGAATAAGTGAACAGTGTATCACTTGTGTGTGTATCGATCAGTGCGATGAGTGTTGTGTGTGGCGAGGGAGAAGCCTTCGTTGTACTGTACCTGAGTCAGAACGGAAGAGGAGCTTTAGCGGAACTCGGAGCGGTGCAGGAAAACACCTGGGAGCTGAGGGAGAACAAACAAACCCAGAGGAGGGAAGAGGAAGAAGAGGGAGAGGAGAGGCAGGATGAGGAGGGGAAATTAAACAGAGAGAGAGAGTTAGCATGCGAGACAGCTGCTGTGGAAGCCATGTGAGTCCAGAGAGGAGCCAAGGAAAAGAGAGAGATCCGGTTTTCCTGTCAGTGTAACATCAGGGAGAGTGAGTAGGTTTAAAACTCAGTTCATGCCCATATGAGTTTTCTTACTCCCTGATTTCCCAGACAGAAAAGTGCATGACAGTAGTCGTACAAGTACACAACCAGCACCATGTCCATAAATTCTTCCTACATAGGGTTGGGCCAAATGTAAGTTTTAAAGGAAATGTTTGACACATTGGAAAAATCCATTTACTGTATTGAGAATAAAAGTAAACATGTCATGCTCTCATTCAGATCTAAATTACAAGACTGTAATGGCCCATGAAGACATTTCAATAGACTTTATAAAAACATGAAAGAGCAGAACAATGGGCAAACATAAATTAATCTGTTGATTATCGATGTTACTTTGGTAAAAACTTGTTCTCAAACGACACTATGAGGAGACATTTAGGGGCCGAGGAGATATTCTTGCTGATCCAAGTGATCTGGATCATTGTACAGAGCTTGAATTCCCATCAGTAGGAACTTATCTGCTGAGGTTGTTTACCTGAGAAAGAGGACAGCTCCAAACCCTACTCTTTCATGGCAAGATGGATCACAGACAACTTGAGCAAGATCATACAGCTTTTGTAGATTTGAAGTGATCTGTGGGTCTTTGCGGATATGATGTGTTCGGATCAAATCTATTTCTGAACTTGGGTTGTGGGGACCCTTTCTGTGCAGCAGAGGAGGCTTACTGTGGGACTTGAAAGTTGTGACACCGGTGTAGTTTGTAAACTTGTGTCCAGTTTGAAAGGACAGGGCTTGGTCCCCAACTCCTGGAGTCTTCATGTCAAAGTGTACTTGGATAAGACACCGAACCCTGAAGGCCAGCAGTGCATGGTGAGTCAATGAAAATAAATACAGTGTTAGTTATTCATGGGCAGCCCCTATCGTCAGTGTAGGAATGGGAGAGTATAAGGGCGAATGTGACATGGTGTTAAGTATAGCAAAGCAGCCACAGTCAGTATGTTTACATGAAACTTGAGAAAACCGAATTATTGCCTTACTTCGATTAAGACCAGACAACTGAAGTGCATGTAAACACCTTAGTCCGACCATAATCAGGGTTTGAGAACTCCGATTAGAGTTGGAGGACTCCGATTATGACACCCAGATCATGCGATTGGAATTTGATTTTCTCTACCATGTAACCAGCCTAGTCGGAGTATGATAGGACAATGCACGTGCATGTGCGCCACACCCCTGTAACCCCTTAACAAAAACACCAGCGAAGAGCAGTAGTGTGCATCTCATCTGCAGAAAAAGTAGCGAGTACATCGTGTACGACAAAAACAACGCTGTATGATGCTCCATCTTCTGACTCCAAAATGCCCAGCAGCAGTTGTAGCCACTTCTGACATCTGGCACAGACCTGCTGTTGTTGTTGGGTCAACCAGAAACAGTGCCGCTGAAAAGACCCATATCGCCCCCTAGTTTTGGGGAGGAGGGCATGTCCATGTCAATAATTCGATTTCCTCAGCCGCATGTATACACAGACAAGGAGAGAAGTCCGATTCAATGAAAAAAACGAATTATGAGCTTAGTCCGATTAAGCTGTGCATGTAAACGCTGACTGATAAAATGCTATCTGTCAGTCTACTCTAGTGTAAAATGTTGTGGTATGGTCGAGTTAGTTTAACATTCATTCTTCTGAAGACATGGTTGATATGGACCATTTCTTTAATAGCAGACAAAGTGCATTGATTCATATGTATATGTGCAACTTCTTGCCCTGTAAATCTCTTTAAAAAACATAGGGTTATTGCATGACACTTACAATACTCCACCAGACAAACACAGGATAGACATTTAAATGACTTTAGCTTACTTTAAAGAAAATAATCTGACAGACTAAAACAAAGTAACCCAGACAAACACCATAGATTTCCCCCTCCTTCAAGGCCTGGTACAACTGCTCTGTTGTAGTCCTCCAGACATCACATCCTCGACTCGGGCTGCCGTGCAGCTGAACTGGGCCACTCCAGTGTTTCTCCCACTCTGTCTCTGCAGATGGCATTGTTTTCAGACACAATTTTCATTGTATCACAAGTAGGAGGGGATGGAAATCATGGCTGAAGCAGACGCCAAGACGCATTGGACTCGACGACCCTCATCAGTTGGCAGTGGAGAGTCTGTTGCAGGTCTTCTTAGCTGCCCCCACCCCTCCCCTCCATCACCCCCCCTCCTTTCTCCTGGGAGGTAAAGCCTGGATTTCCCCGTTTCCACTCTCCCTAGCTCTTTAACAACTAACGCCTCGCTCTCACCCTCTCATTTAGCACCACTCCTCTCATTTCCTCTCCTCCCCTGTTAAACCATTATGTCCTTTTATTCTCCTCCCCTTTTCTTATGGACCTACCTGCTGGTACGAATCATTGAACCTGTCCTCATGGCAGTAAATGTGTTTTAAACCTACACCTGCAATGTTTTATACTCGTGTATTAGTGAAACGTTGGCCTGTTGCTTTCTCTTTCTCTCTGTAACTTGCTTCCTCATTCCCAAATCCATCAGATAAGTCATTATCACTATAATTTTATGGGCGGGTAACTGTGCAGATATTTAAAGCATTTTCAAATGAAGTTTGGCATTTGCTGACTTTTCCCTCTGCACCACTTTTGTGCTGTCTGGACCTGCCTGATTGTTCGCTTTGATTACAGGCTCAACTTCAGTTTAAAAACTTCCTCTAAAGTATGTGTGAGATACCGCGCAGCCAAAGTGTTTCTGCTGCAGCATGTGTGATGCTCCATGTCTTTGTAGTCATGTGTGTAGATGTGCAGCTGGTAGCCGTGCACGTGCACACATGCATGTTCCAGCAGATAATTTATCCGTGTAGTTGTGGCTGCAGGTGTGCACACTCTCTCTCTCTGTATAAAAAAACCTTCCTAGAATCTGAGCGGAGGACTTGATGTCTGTATAATTTATGTGCCAAGGATTTTTAACTCTCAGCGAGCAGCTGCGTGGCAAAGCAACAAAGCAAAGCGCTGCAAAATTACAAAGGTGTCGAGCCGGGTTGTGTCACATTAATAACCCGCCGCCTCCTGACCTTGTATTTCATGTCATCTTCCGTGGATCTCTAGTCTTTATTTCCCCCTTAATCAGACCTAACGCAGATTCATGTGACATGCTGCAGAAGGTAAATCAGCTGGCCCGTGTGTGGACATGTAAAACAGGTGTTGAAATAGCAGTAAGAAGCTCTGAATTATTTAATAGTTTCCACTGTATTGCTCACACAAGCCAATGAAAACTCAGCCAGGACATTTTTTAATGAAATCTTTAAATTTAAAACGATAATAACAGAAACAGATGCAGAAGACTTATGTTTTATGCTCAGTAAGTTCTACTTTGTCCTCTCTGCTTTTCGCTTTAACTGAAACATTCAAGTGGCAAAACATTCTTACCTAAGGTTTCTCTCTTTATGAGGAAAGTCCTAACTTTGCTTAAATTGGATGTGGTGATTAATTAAATTAGGGTGACCATATGTCCTCTTTTACCTGGACATGTCCTCTTTTTTGGTGAGTGTCCAGGTTTGTCCAGCTTTGTCCAGGGAAGTTTATAAAATCCTTCAAATGTCTGCGGTTTTGTATGTAAGTTTCGAGTTTTTGTCATGTGGACTTACTGAGTTAGAAGCGTGTAAAAGACACTTGATCCGACCTGAAAAACTGTCAAAATTAACTTTGTGCAACTCCGTGACTCCCCTCGTGACCCCTTGTAGTTGTATCCTCTTTTTGGGAAGTCAGGATATAGTCACCCTAATGAAATCATTAAATTCCATACCACATATCTTTCTCTTGCTCGCTTTTTAATTTGTAAATAAATCTGTACCACATAGTGCCCCCTAATGGCCTGGAGCACTTCCTTTGCGATGACTCCATGAGCTGTTTTCCCTGTTGCATTTTGCTTCGCGGGATTTTTACGTTTTATTACAAACTTTCTGCAGACTGTTTTTTGTCGGCATTTGTCCACTAGATCAACAATTTCATATGAGTCACTTCATTGAGAACAATGTCCTTCCTTCTGCTGCAGGATGTGGATGTGTAACATACAGACAGGACAGTTCAGGCTTAATTTTTCTGTATATGTACTTTTCCCTATTTCTTGATGATGGACCCTTAAGAAGGGATGTTAAAGTGTGTAACATTTATCAAAAGTGGATTAGTTGATAAGCACAGGATTAATTAATAATGGTATACATAATCCACCTACAGCGTACATGCTTTATGAACATATCCCTGAAAGGAATACCAGATGACGGACGATGACACACTCAGCACAGCGTCATCAGGAAGTCACCTTGTAAACAGGAACGACTGGGAGGAGGCTCAGACTCTTCACTGGAAAAAAAAGACAGAAACAAAGTTCACGGAGGCATTTTTAGATTGACATCACATATACACCTATAATCCTGCTCCACCTCCTCCCTCTCTATTTCTGTTTCCTTTTTCTATTTCTGCCTCTGCTATGTGGTGAATCCCGACTGTTGTTTGGTCGCCCTGTCTGACACCTCATTCTCATTCACCTCCTCTCCAGCAAATCTGGACCAAAGCTTTCTGTTTGCCTACTTCTCTGGAGTTGAAAATCAAGTATCACAATTTAAAACCATATCTAAAGACGACTTAAAGTCAGTAATCACTGACTGTCATCTGATGAAGGTGAATCTCTGGGAATGGTGGCTGACTTCTCTACATTTCTGGTATGGCAAACAGTTTGTGAAAAATGCTTGATCATACATTTCGTGCACCTTATTGTTCAAGTTTGAGAAGCTTCGGTGTGTTCAGACCAAATGTGATGCAAAGTTTGACAGATTTGGAAAATAAACACCATCATTTTATGGTTCATAATAGAGTAGTTTCTGTTCATCTGGTCTTTTTGAGATGATGTCCACACATTTAGAAATCCCTTTTTTCCCTGTTTTCTTCAGGATCCTGTCCAAACCTTAGCATCACAACAATGCAGAAATACATAAGCATGCCAGGTCAGTATAGCTGGCCAAAACGTGCGGTCAAATCTTCCTGTGGCAACCACTTACAGGTTTTTGTTTTAAAACTCCTGTGAGAAACTTTCTGTCTATATTGATCTTGGCGCCCCCTGTGGACAAAGTGGTAACCCGTACATTGTCGTGGAAGAGAAAAAGAAGAAGAATAGTAAAATTTCACTGAGGAGTGATACCAACTTTAGTTATTTTGTTAGTATACAAAAGATAACTATTTGTAAAGTAGGCCTGAGTGGCACTCATTGTAGTCTGAGTACAGTATGGAGCAGGGAAGTCCCCTGTGAGGGGACGGGGAGGGGAGGCTGGCAGAAGAATGCTGCTCCTCTTGGAGCTGAACAAAACCAGGCATTCCTCATGGAGGTGTTTATTTTCTGCAGCACAGTGTGGACCATCCTCACTCAATCTGTTAGTGTTTGTAAAGTCACCGTCAGCAGATTGCTCATCCAACAGATATAAAACAAATATGGACAATAAGCGCTGACACAGTGAGAACTGCACAGATTGGCTCTTCTCAGAGAGATGATATACAACCAGTTTTAGCATATACTGAGGGAGAATAGAGACTTTGGTGATTTCACAGCAAGAACTACAATTACAAAGTGTCTTTTGGTGGTTAATCTTTACTGATTTCAAACAAGAACACCAGAAGTTTAAAGAAATTACACTGTGGACCTTCTGTGGGAATGTCAACAACAATAACAGCAACAACAGACACAGACTGTAATATAAGGATTCTGACTCTACAACTCCACAACATATGAGTACACTTTAATTTAAATAACTCAATATTATCAGGTTGCTTTATTTCCTGCATTGAATACCCACTGAGCATTTCTTTGGTCGAATGGATATCTAAATGTAGCCTAGACGACCGGTTTAAAATCAGGCTACCACAGGTCTAAAAATGAAAGTTCTTCAGACGTCTTAATTTAGACCAAGTTTAAATCTAGGCTATATCTATACCACACTGTATATTGCTCAACGGCTATCATAATTATTTTGTTTAAGTACTTGGAGATCAGTTATGCAACTCACAGATGCTTTGTGAAATAAATAGTTATTGAATAATGGGTAAAAGTGTAATGTTAAAGTTCCGTCTAAAAATAAACAGAATCTACATGGTTGAAATTAGGTCTAAAAAAACTAGAAGTCTAATAGCCATCTATGGCTCAGTGGGAAGCTATGCTTTTATTTTGAAATTCACATCTCTCTATAGGTTGTAAGTCATTAAACTGTATATGAACAGTAAAAAGAAAGGTTAGAGAGTAATATCAGACCAGGCCCAGAAATTCTTTTTGTACAGCAGCTAACTGGGACATATATGCTACAAAACATGTTTTCAGAGAGATAAAAGATAAATTTGGCAAAGTTGTAACATCAAAAACACATGCAAGTGCCAGGGCCGCTCTTGTGGTTTAGACTGTCAGGGGTTTTGGCACATTGAGCACCTTTTTCTCCTTCTTTATCCTCTTTCTGTCTATGTCATTAACTGTGAATCATCATGTCCCTTGAAAGTCACTAATGTACAGATTTATGGGGAAGTCCCTGAGCTCCATCATACCATTGAATTCTCTTGTTTGATGCTGCAGACAGTTTGCTGCCATGGACCTGCCTGCTTTCCAGCTGCCCCAGCTATGTGCATCTATCTCACCTCTGTCTGTCTCTCTCTTTCTGCATCTCCCTCAATCAGTCTCACCTCTGTCTATCCATGGATCCTATATTAAAATGCTCCCTTTCTTTTTTGTGCTTCTGTAGAAATTTGGCAGTACAAGATGACGGTGTCTTTGGAAGAGGTTCAATCTTTAAAGTAAAGCAATTTTCTAATTAAGTTTTCCTCTAATTTCACATATTATACTCCATCTCTGCCAAATATTAAATCTTTTTCATATTATGCTATATGCTCCACACCGTACGTTTGATTGAATCCTTTGGGAAATGTATAGAATCTATACAACATAGGGATATGATGAAGTGGGGCTGGCTTTGACCTGGAGAGGCACATGCTTGAATTAGCTATAAGATCCTCCAGAGTGAATCAGCTGTGAGAGTTTTATGCCTTTTAATTAGCCTCAATAGCGACATCAGAGGAGCTGCAGCTGGCATCTGTCCAGAGAGAACCTGATGACTCTGTGTGCTCCTCTGAAGACACGTCGGAGCCCTCTCACTCACACACATGTGAGCTGCATTATGAAGTTTTTCATGTGGAACTTTTTTGCTTGGTTTCAATGTGTGCTGTCACTTTGTGTGTCTCAATTGTCCGTCTATCTGTCTGTCTGTATTTCCTTCCCATACTCTCTCTCTCTCTCTCTCTCTCTCTCTCCAGCCTTGTTTCAATAGAGTGCATTCCAACAATTCTTGGCTGTCAGTCTCCCTCTCTCATTCAGAGCTCGTTCGTTAGCTGCTGTTGACAGATCTTTGCTGAGACATGAAGAGTTTGAGCTGCTTTAACTCTGTCAAAATGAATATTGACATACTCGGCTCATTCCTTCATCATTAAAGGATGCAAAATGAGAGATGTGCACCCGAAAACACACTTTTTGAACTTTTCCTCTGTACAGGGCTCTGTTTCTTTCCTCTGTTGCCTTTAATTGATTGATTTACTGCAGCCTAAACAAGATTAGCAGTGATGTACGAGTCTATTGTGTGGTTAAAGAGTGTACCATTGTATGATCCCAACATGTTTTTTTTTTTGGGTTAAAACGAAAAATTCAGTGTCTTATCAGAGCTATTCTGCTTAATTTGATCATCACAATCACAAGTAGTCCAATAATCACATATTTTTGATGAAAAAAAATGAAAATAATTCAGATTATAAATAGATGGCTCTATCAATCATCCCGTATGTAAGCCATTTTATCACAGTTTGAGTATAGCTGGAGAAAACGAGTGTTTTCATAATTTTGCTGCAAACATTCATTTGTGTTTTCTTTACCTCCCTTTGCCTCCCAATCCATTTAAGCCACATTCCTACTACTGAAGTTTAGAAACCTGAGATTCAGGGCGAGCGGTCATACTTGAGGCTCGAGGGGCCAACTAATGACTTCCCATTAGTCCATTTGGTCTACATGATCCTCTATTATCTCGCAGACACGCGCTGCAGAGAGTCTATCCCCAGGACTAATCGAGGGTCAACGGTCTCCCACTCGAAACTCTGAATCATGTCACAGCAGCAGCCAAGAGTGCACCTCTGCACACACACAGACCCACAGCTCTTCACAAATACAGTAGATGGATGTTTTTCATCTCGGAAAGCCAACCGTGGGGCGAGGACACAACTATGCGATTAGTGCGTCAAATTAACCACTGATTCTTCTCAGCCAGCGATAGAAAAAAGCAGGAAATCAAATGGCATCATTGTTGGAAAGGAGATTAGTTCAGGGTGCTCTGACCTTCTCCGGATCTTCTGAAAAGCTCTTAAATATTTCAGCGAGTGCTGTCATTTCTCACTCGATTGTTGCACATAGAGGGCCCTCTGTCTTCTGTTCATGGTGAAATTTGGTTATGAGCTCAGGACAGAGTGTGTGTTTGTGTGTGTGTGCCAATATTTGAGGGGGTGTCATCTGCTCTACACAACAGTGCTTTAACATGTGCAAGTCAGTGTGCACTTATTGGTACATTTGCACAAGTGTATTTGCCTGCATGTGTAAAAACGTGCCAGGATACAGTGTTTGAATGTACAATACTTAAATTTGTGGTTGCATGTACAGTATTTTTAATGCAGTTGTTATCCTGTAGAGATGATGTATAGCTGTCCTTGTTTGGGTTGTGGTGAGATGTTACACTCGCAGTTGCAGGTGTGAGTATGAGTCAGAGAGAAAGTCAATGAAAGCAGTGTGAGGTGAAAGCAGGTTCAAGTGGGAAAATCCCTACCTCGAGTCAAGAAACTTTCCCACCCCCTCCTCATCCTCCACTTCCTACCACTTTCACCTTTCTCCTTGGAAACCAAATACACTAATCACTGATGGTTTGTGCTGCAAGTCTTCCAACTCATGCAGTCATAAAGGTTTTTTACCCCAACTCTTTAACCCATCCCTGGTTTCAGTGACAAGTATAACAGGGTGTTCTTTACAGATTAAATGGAAAATTGTTGTATATTTTATGATTATAATCCTAGCATGTGTAAACTAAATTGTATGAGTCCTAGCAATGAGCCTTGTGGAACTCCATAACTAATTTTGCAGTGATAAGATATAGATGTGTACAAACTGATGAATGCCATTAAAACCAGCTAGATCCTATTCATTGTGCCAGCTAGGGAAGGGGCGGCAGTAGTTCAGGAGGTAGAGTGCTCATCCAATGACCGGAAGGTTGGCAGTTCGATTACCCCCTATCCCTAGTCTGTCCGTTGTGTCCTTGGGCAAGACACTTAACCCACCTTGCTCCCAGTGTGTGTTCTCCACTGGTGTATGATTGTGAGAGTTGTGTGGTGGTGGTCGGAGAGGTTGTAGGCGCAAACTGGCAGCCACGTTTCCGTCAGTCTGCCCCAGGGCAGCTGTGACTACTAAAGTAGTTTACCACCACCAAGGTGTGACTGTGTGAGCGAATGAATGATGGTTCCAATGTAAAGCGCTATGTAATGCAGCTAACAGCACCAAGAACTGCCAATTATCCACCTCTGTGATATGTTCCATCTCAAGGTCCAGTTCAAAAAGTATATTTCAGTAAAATGATTCAAGCACAAACACGCTTATTGTCTTGCAGTTCTGTGCAGCTCGCTCTTGTTTTGCTGCTACTGGTGGAGGTGAGCATTAAGCATCTCTACTTTTTGGTGTGTTCTGTGTGCTTATCCTTACAGAGTACATACAGTATCTGCAGCTGTTGCCAAGAATTTAGGACAGGATCTTGCTCAACTTCTCCCATTGTCTCTGGTTTAGGTTAGGGCCCTGTAGCTCTTCAGGATGCAACATCTGTACACAAACTCCTTTCTTTAAAACGATTTCACATGACACGTCAGATAAGGTCAAATGCAAGTTTAGCGCAGTTTAAGCTTAGAGAGTCAGCTCAAACTGGGAACTTTACTGTGATAACAAATAAAACAGTGCACTTCAGGATGACAAAAAAATCTGACGTGCAATTTGACAATACAAATCACAACTATTCCTTAGAGTTAATTTCACTGGTATCTACAGTTTCAATTGTTCCTCAGCAGCACCGGTGGCCTTGGCCAAACGTGCGAATATGAAACAGAGTGTAAATATAGCTCCATAGCTCATGCTGTTTCCTCCATCGACTCTTGTTAGAAAAACAATGGCATCCTATTATTCACTCGGCCATGATTGAACTGGAAGAAAAGACTTAACTGGCTCTGGGGACATTGTTCATGTAGCTACAGTACTGAACAGTTTGAGAGAGGATATGTCTCTGATGCCTTTAGCCAGAAACAAGGTCTGAGTGGTTTGAGCAGTTCTGTATGGCTTACCTTTGAAAAGTTTTTGTTCCCCCCCTCAATAGAAACTCTCTGCTCTTTCCACCTGCCACATTTTATTATTTCAAGTCGACCAGGTTGTCTGGTTCGCACACTATATTTGGGTCTGCAAGGTTTAAACACACAGTGTCCCCGGCGGGCATTGTTCACAAATGTTCTCCAAACACCAGCGGCCGTCAAAGGTCAGCACTCTGAGAATAACTCGTGTGATATTTAGAAACACCTTTTGTGTCCTGATAGCCCGGCAAGTGGTGATGCTGAGGTAACAAGAGGAGTCAGTCGGCATGGCAACTATCCCTGTGACCTCTCCAGCAATAGTACCATATAAAAAGGTCTGTTATGCAATATGCTGACTATAGGATCATGGATTACTTAAAAGAATATATTTAGCTAGAGGTATCATGTGTTAATGCAAAGTTAGGAATCAAAACAAAGAGGAACTGCATTCAAAATCCTATGGGAAAGTTAATAAGTTAATTTGCACTGTACATAAAAAGTGGACTCAATTTGGCTGGAGCACCTTTACCACAAATAACTTACTATATACTGATTTGATATTTCTGGGTTGGGTATTTCTCATACTCTGAAAGTTACAAACAGAGATTTTCTATGTGATTTAGGTCGGGTGATTTTTTTGCAGGCCAATCAAGCACCGAAATATCATTGTCAGCAAACCATTTGGTAGTGGTTTTGGCACTGTGGGCAGGTGCTGAACTCTATTGAAAAGGAGAATCACCAGCTCCATAAAGCTTGTTAGCAAATGTAAGGATCATAGACTGTATATACTATGGACAACTTGGTTCCGCCTTCCGCCAGTATATGGATTTGAAGCCAAAAAGCTCTCGGTAATTCTGTGTTTTTTCTCCACTTCCTGAAACTATCACTGCGCTGTAGTGTTGTACGTGCTCCACCACTTGCGCAGTAGCATTGTAGGCATTTGGCGGGAGAGCTGCCGAGAGTTGCTGTGATGACGCTCGGCTCAAACAGCGAATCCCCCGGGTGAGTTACGCAATCTTTGTACGTCAATAGGCTGTATCAGCTGTCAATCATAGAAAAAATTAACCCCCTAATAACTTTTTAAAACGAGGCTGCACAGAAAAAAAGAGGACTTGAGCACAAACCAGACTTACAATAACTACATGTCAACATCACAAGCAGGGGGGAGAAAAAATTATTTTCTGTGTAATAAATTTCTAAAGTTTGTCCACAGCCCCATAAGGATTGCTGACTGAGGTGGGATTAATGATCTATTCTGCAGCCCGTCAACAGAGAGTGCTGTTCTCGGAGTGGCTTCACCCAGCGAGGAGGCAGACGCTGTTCATTCTATATACAGTCTATGGTAAGGATGAAGTGCTCTAAAACAGCAATGTCAGCCTTGGACTTGATAACATGCTTTAGACCAACACCAGCCAAAGACAAGGTAATCATCACAGACAGTGAAACTTACCACTGAACTCCAAACAGCTTGTTTTCTTTGCCTGTTCTCCACCAAACTTTCCCTTCCAGTCAACTTTCCGTAGGAACCTTTGATACTGCACTCTGTGAACAGCCGGCTTTTTAGCGATGACCCTGTAGGAGTTAAGTTGCTGATGATTGTAACAAACAGGACAGGTAAATGAGCCCTCCCTGCCTTTCTCCACAGCAGAGTAGGTGTGGGTCATCTTCAACCTGTTTGCTACAGCAACACAGACACTGATGAGCAGAAGTGATCGTTAGCACTGCCAGAGAGGATCAGGAGGAGCAGATGTGTGTTAGTGAAGTAGAGGGACAGAGTGAGCATAAAGAGAAAGGCTGTAGTAATAATGATAATTAACAAGCTAATGTTGCAGGGCTACAAAGTGAGCAATATCTGTCAGTACCCTCATGAAATATATGTTCAGAAATGTGTCTTTTTGGTTTTGAAGATTACATTTTAATTGAACCAATGCATGTGATTTACTTGTGTTACACAATCCATCAAAAAAAAAAATAGTGATTATGATTTTGTCAACTGTAAAATCATAGAATACTAATTATATTTACTAATATCCAAAATAAATAGCCTAAGTGCTGACAGTTGCCAATATGCACCTACTACACAATTAAAGTCATAAAATATTGTGTACTTTTTAAGGGGATTGTAAAACTACAAAACTTTGTAAAACTAAAACTAAAACTAAAAATGTGTCCGGATGGAAGTCCACAAATATAATTTAAGTAGTGAAGTACAAGTTGTTTTACGGCAGAAAAATGACAGTGTTTTTTAATTATAAATTATTGTAATAATTTAACTAACTAAGTAGCAATTAAAAGCTACTAAGTGGAACTTTCAGCTTGTGCCAACTTCGGCTCCCCCTGTGGACAAAGCAGTCCTTGTACTCTAAATGCTAAAACTGTGTCTGTGTTGACAAAACATCTCATCCTGCAGCCATTTAACAGAAAACTATCATGCATTGTAGATATTTTATGAGAAAAAGTTAAAACATGGCTGTTCCTTCAACTGCTAGACTGACACCTACCCCCTTACACATGCTTTAGGCATTAAAATGACAATATACAAATTCTTAATCTTGTTCCCGGTGGCCTTGTTTACTTTTGGATTTCATGAAAAAGCATTCATGTGAATTTCAGTCTCTTTCAAAAATGTCAAAAACTCAGTATAGGAGCTTTACTAAAGCAGGTGGCTGGTCTGAATTTGCGTGATATTCTGATGAGTACATTAATCTCTTAACATGCATCACATTTAAACATTTGGTAATAACTATGGGTTTAAAATCTCAAATTTAAATTTACCAAAATTATATTTCTTTTTTAGCTGTACTTTTAACTGTGTTTGGAGAGATGCTTCGAAAAATTACTTAACAGTAACTTTCTAGTGCATTAAATCATTAATATTTATATAGAGTTGATAGGTCTCTCGTATCACGTGGTATACAAGCGGAATTCAGATGAACAGACAAACCCACATGATAGCCCAGCCTTCAGAAATATCTGCATAAGTGACTCACGACAGAGGAAATATTGCCCAGAGCGGCTGCTGTGAGGCGTTTGGGGACCTTTTATGTGCAGATTATCGCCCATTCTTCAGGCAGGGGGCGGGAGAGAGACACTGTGGAGCAGACTCTTAGAAATCTGCTCTCCCCCCTAACCACCACTAAGACCACCGCACCACCACCTCCACCACCACCATCATCATCATCAGCGCTGCGTAATCAGGCAGGTCCAGGGCTGAGGCGCACCGAGCCACAGAGCTCTGCTTATTGATAAGACTCCTTGGAAGGAGAGGACAGAAACTACCGAGCTGACCAGAGACATTCACACCCGTTGGGAGGCAGAGCCTTTAAACTGGAGTATGACCAATCAAACGGATTAATACTTGGCTGTATTTGAAAGAAAGTTGGAAATCCTTGGAGTACTGCAAAGTTTTCTTACTTGAGCCCTGGATAGTTTCTTCTTGTCAAGTTCGGACGTTTGTTGTTTGGAAATGTCTCGATAAAACGCTTTCATATTGCGACATTAACGTAAAAGTACACTAAAGTTGAGCACGTGAACTTTAATACTAAAAATCACATTCAAGAAGAGTTAAAACGTGGATTTTTTTTGCGCAATTTTCGAGAAGTTGTACTTTTCAACTATTTTAAAGTTGTGTGTCGCTTACCGAGAGTGCTGTCTTCATCTGTGTCATCTTCTACTCCTGTTTTTGGGATATCGCTGCAGCAGGGGAGATATAACAGTGCGGACTAGCAGTCGACGCGCGCGCACCTCCACAGGACGAGCCGCTGTCCCCAAGCGCGCAGTGCTGAGGAGAGAGGGACTCTCGCGCTTCCATAAATGCCCGGTCCGTCGAAGAGGCTCGAGGCTGGGCAGCAAGATGAGCTCGTGGGTACAGCTGCTGCTGCTCGTGCTGCAGGTGGCATGTCTGCGGTGTGTCTTCGCCGAGGTGAGTTTGATACAAGTTACAAGAACTTTTTTTTAAGCTGTTGGAGGAACTTTGAGAGATGCTTCACCTTAAGTCAAAGACTGATCTCAAAACTGTTTTGTACAAAAGCTTGTGGTCTTGTGTTAAAAAGGATATCTATTTTATTCTTGTAGCTTGATATGTTAACAAGTATTCAACCATCATAGATACCTTGACATAACGTGACAACCAGCCCAGTGGTGGAGTTGGTTTACACGGTGTAAGGTGTTGGTTGTCCCTATAGCCATTAAAGCTCCTGTTAGGAACCTCAATAGTTAGATAAATGTATTGTTTTTTTATTTGGAAGCCGTAAAAACACAGCTTTTTCTTCAGCTACTTGGCTGACACCTACCTCCTCAAACCAGTTTCAGGTACTGATAATAAAAGTGCAAAATTTGTCACTCTTGTTTCTGATGGTCTTGTTTGTTTTTTCACATCCTGAAAAGGTATTAATGTGAATTTTAATCTATTTCATTAATGTCAAAAAACTCATACAGGAGCTTTAACTAGGTTTAGTGAAAAATACGACTTTTTTTTTTTTTTTTTTTTTTGGGGGGGGGGGGGTCCTTTGAGCTAGAGATAGATAGAGAATGCATGTTTGTGTTTTATATATATATATATATATAAAAACATAAGACCAGATGGACTGTAACAAATGTATGCAATACAAACTGCCTTTCTGATTAGACAAAAAAATAAATACACCAAAAAAAAAAAAAAAACAGATGATCAGAGATGACCCTACATGGCATGTTTAACTTTTTCTAACAAGAAATCATGAGTAGGTGTGACAACCAGCCCCACCTGACCTCTGGACGAAATTGTATGCTAGCGACCACGTGGCTTTAGCTAGGAAGGTGGGTTTGGCGGCTATAATCAATGAGACAACCAACCCCAGTCTCCCCTATTCTTTTAAAAACAATGGACCATTACACACAGCTTTTGTTTTTTATTGTCCTCAAACAGGAGTTATAACTTAGAGTATGCGTCTTATGAAAAACACAGTCCAACATGATAATTCAATCCTGGCGGTTTTTCAATTGGAGTCAGTGCACCTGCTTCAGACAGCCCTCTTAAAGAAATTCACTCACTGCCTTTCATTGCTACTGAAAGAACTGGTATCCTCTCAGCAAATAACTGTTATTCCTCCCATTAGCCGGCTCTATGCATGGATGCCCAGAGGCACACACATGCAGAGGTCGTCCTCTGTGTCTGAGGCAGGAAACACAGGCTGCCACGATGGGCTCAGTCACAGCTGGCGGCTCCTCGTGGTGAAGTAATGCGTTCATGGATGCTTCTCCAGATGTTGAGCAAAGGCAATAAATCATGTCAGATTTCATTATTATCAAACTCTAACTTCATGCTTTACAGTCCAAAGTTTCTGGGACACTTTAATGCAAACTTTTGTGTAAGGGCTGGAATATAGCTCATTGGATTATGACACTTTAACTCACTTGAAAAACTGGGAATTCGGTAAATACCAGTGCAACTTATATTGTATAGTTTCATCAGTATATAAGAAGTTTGGTTAGGTGGGCACCAAAGGGGAAAAAGGTTTAAACTGTGTTCCTGTGTGGGGACTACCATTGCATTCAGCAATGTTCAGTTTATGTGCAGATGTGTAGCTTTTTCCTGTACCATGCTGACGACCAATTTGCAAAGACCTAGAGCCACCCATGTGAGGTCAGTTATTGTAAATTAAAGACACTTTTCAAACAAAACAGCACTCCACATGGTTGAGTTTCTATAAAGAATCCCACTGTTTTCTTTAAATTCATGATAATGACCTTATAAGGGAGAAATTAGTCAAAAAAACAGCATCAACACCTTGTTTCTCTGCGTAACCAGCATGCTTTGCACAATGAAACCTCTTTAACAAGATTCTACATGAATGCCAATACAGAGCAGACAACACAGGATGTCAGGGGGGCTGCACGCTGAGCTGCTTCTGACTTTTGCTTATCTTTCAATAATATTGAGCAAGGCTGAACAGCAATTGAAGTAAACATGGCAAAGGGGTAGGTTATGTATAGATGTTTGTTTAAGTGTTAAGTTTTGGCTGCGCTGGATCGGCAGAGAGGTTAAACTCGTTCTACAAAATCAATGTCCTCAAAGTGGACATCCTGGGTTCAATTTGAAACAGCAGCCCTTTGATTTAGTCATTCCCTAATCTCTCTTCTAGTTTCTTCCTCTTGACACTGTCTTTTCCACTAAAAATAGAGGTAAAAAAGCCCCAAACTAAAACTTTTGAAAGGATTAATTTTGTTTTTAAATCACATTGGTAGTTTAGGCAGCTCTAGTGTCAATTAATACTCGAGTTTAGACAGCTGTCAGGGAGGGAGTGTTTGTGCTTGAACACCTTTGAGTTCAAGGGACGATTATGATATTCGAACTCTAGTGACCCACTTGTGCACGAATCACTCTTGATGATACAAAGAGGTAATACAAGTTTTGTTTAAAACTTGTACATCAGTGGTTAAGTGTGGTGGTTGAAAAAGCTGGTAAAGTGTCTGACCGTCTGCTGAGGTCAAACAAATGGAAAACCCCCAACTCAGGACTTTTCTAGGTCAAGTGAGACTTCACAATAACAGCAATACAGTGGAAAAACTTGGTCTCTATTGTCTGAACACAGTCTTAAGATTGAGGTTGAGATATCTATTGAATTTGATGGGATCTCTGTTTCTGCTTCTGTTACCTCATCTGTATTTCTTCCTACGACGCACTGACCGAATCAAAACCTCCCAAAATATAATAGGATGAAAGAGCACATGGTTAACAAGACTAATAAGGGGTATGGAGATTTAACTAAGTCTAATTAACTTATGCGCATCATTAAAACACTGAGATATCGATTAGAAAGAATACAAAAAACACAGGATTTCTTCATGATTTACGACCCCCTCTGGCTTATTAGAAAGAGCCAATATCACAAGTGGTTAGATCCCTCTTTTCATTCACTGAACAAACACAATTTAGTGTCTGTGTATAATCTACCTCACATCAAGACGTAAAGAGTGAAGCACGTTCATGATGGATGACTTTAAATACCTGTCTTTTCGTTTTATGGCTTCTGTAGGCTGCACGTGTTAAAGAAAACTTCACATTTGACGGGCTTACTAAGTCTTTGAGGTGCACGACCAGGAATTCCCCCAAGTCTAATTTAAAGTGATAGTATGGCAGCTATGAAATGATGAAGCTCTTCAAAAGGATGTTAAAGGAAGAACATAAAGTAACTGTCTGTAATGTAATTCAGTCTTAGGGTATAGTCTTGATTAAAAGCCTCCTATAAGAAAAAGTGAAATATATTTAGCATACTTAATTTCAGACATCCAAAGAAGAAGTCGTTTACATTGTTGTTAATTTTTTGGGGTCCTTATAAGTGCAAAAACTGATAAAAGTCACATTTATTCACTGTTTACAGCATTTGCACATGGTTGTAGAGTTTAAACAGCCACATAAGATAACCTCACACGTGCTGCTGCTGCTGCTGTGCCAGCAGCAAACTCCAGCCCCTAATTATGTACCATTAGATGTTCCTGCTCCTCCTCCTGCACCCCTGCAGCCTTTGCCTGTACCTGGCATTCCTCAATATGTCCAACAGACCTCCAGGGAATAGTATGCATGCTTTAGATGCTGGACTATGTCAGATTAAGATTTTTTAATGTGTTTAAAATGGCAAAAGAAAATAACGAGGAACATCCCAAACTTCCAGACATGAAAACTTAAGACATCATTGTGAGTACAATACAAAACAGAGTGAGGTTGAAATGAGGACAACTTCTTTGTTAAGTTTGCTTAAGTTAGATTATTAACTTTCTATATTGAATGTACCTTGAGATATTCCAATATCAATACATGTATCAGTGCCAGCCTCCAATATGACTTATATATTGTACTGACCTAAACACGACAGCCAGTTGGCCCAAAAATTACTTGATTTCAGGGGGTAACAGTGTGACATTAAGAAACACCATAGTGCAAAGTTCACTGTTTACAAAAGCAACAAAAACTTCATTAATCAGTGTTTCTCCACTAACGATAAATATAACCTTTTGTTTTGCTTTGGTATAAGTATCAGGAAATACTCAAGTTTTAAATTGGTATCAGTGAGGAAAAAGCATCACCTTAACGTCTCTAAATTTATCAAAATCTTAGCCATCGTCAAATGGTGGTCCATGTGGGTTTACACGTTGTGTATGCTTCTTTCAAAAGTGTTTACATCTGTTTTGTTTATCAGACTCCAAGTGTTTATTTAGTATTTCCTGCTCAGACACAAATCGCCATGACAGCCGGCACCACCGAGAACAAAGGCACACATCCTATAATTAACATCAGACACAATTAGCCGAGCGGGCAGATTTGCTCCGGTTGGCGAAGGGGAAGAAATCATCATGATGACTCCTCTGGGGCATGGGCAGCTCTGAAACAGAGATGTTAGTGTAATACAGCAGGCATTTCCCCGCTGTACAGTTCAAGTCTCTGAAAAGCTGAACAACAATGGAGGAAAGTCAATGGCATGTAGTACAGGCAGGATGAGAATACACGTTCATGCATGGATGGCTGCTTCCTTTCGCTGAAACCAGCCTCCCTGAAGGGATTCATTAAACTCTCTAGAACCTGAATGGATTCTCACAAAGACAGAAAAGTGAGGGGTGCCATGTTAAAATGTTATACAAAGGTGACACATGTTAATAGTTTAAAATGATGTATTTACAAAAACTGATTCTAACTTCTTTGTTATTTTATTAAACTGACACTGTGGTGAAGAGAGTTTAACAAAAGCATAGACAAATTTCAGTCAAACCAAAATACATTTTAAAACCGTGTTGTGCCCTACTGGTTGGACAGTACCTAAATCATGCTGTATCATAACGTATTATTTATACTACCACATCCTATTGCATCAAACCTTTTATACCATAACAGACTATTGTATCCTATCATGTTCTAGCCCAGAGTATACCAGCCTATTGCATTGCATCTAATCGTTTCATATTGTATTTTACTGTATCATAATGTGACATAACCTAACAAAGCATAGTGTAACATACTGTAACATACCATAACATAAGATGTAACACAATGTAACATAACACAATGTAACATAATACAATGTAACAAAACACAATGTAACGTAATACAATGTAACATAACACAATGTAACATAACATAACATAACATAACACAATGTAACATAATGTAACATAATACAATATAACGTAACAATTTAACATAGCATAACTGAATATAACATAACATTACATAATGTAGCATAATATATCGACTCTCCCCTTTTCTGTAATAACCTTATTTTAATGAAACTTGTACAAATCTTTAACAGAGGTGTCACTATGTAACTCTTTAACCATATTTTTCACAAATCTCTAACTCCTTGAAATTTTTGCATTCATGTTGGGGCATATTAGTATTCCATTATGATTAAGTGTTAACAATAAGTCTGATCATAACATAGTGTTTGGAAGAATTACTTTCTTGCACAGCCTGTGCGTTTTTACCAAGTGTAGCTTTAACGTATTGCACAGATGCTTGGGTGTCATTTACATTACATTTTTACGTTGTCTGGATGCAGCCAGATGAAGCTTAAACTCACTGTCAGCTAAAAACTGCTGACTTGGATTCAGAAAAGCAGACTTGACTTACACAGTGAGTTGTTATATTTGATTTATTTATTGCACTTCATGTCTTTGCCAAAATGTTGAGATATGCAATCCCACATCGTGTATTCCTCTCATATTTTGAAGGCCTCATCTACATAAACAAAGCTCATTTGTTCGGCCCACAACACAAGACACATAATACAGAGTGACAGAAAGTAGCACATCACAAACACTTACTCCCACAGCAACAAGAATATTGTTTGGGTAAAGCAAGGATATGAAATCCGTGGTTCAGAGTTGAGTGGGTTTTAGGAAGTGTCTCGACCCACGTCTGATCCTCGTCCGTTTTAACCGGTCTTTTATTCATCCATTATCCCTCTTTTTTCGGATGCACCTCCCTCCTCTCCTCTCTATATCACTCCTTCCCCCACTTCCTGACTCCTTCCTGACTCCTTTGACCCCTAAATGTTAGCAGATGAGAAGACACAACGCCAATAGTCATTCACCCCACTCTTAGTGGCCATTGTGTGTCTGCTTTGGTTAATACCCCCCCCTCCCCTCTCTTCTTGCTGCCTGTCTTACCCATTAATGACAAGGAGGGTAAACCCACATTCAGGCCAGAGAATCACAGGTCAGAGCTGCTGCTTGGGTTTGATTTACTGCTATGACAACATATGGTCAGATTATACACATTTGATCATTCAACGGTATTTAAAGTTGATCTTGTTTTTAGAAACTAAAACCAGACATGTATTTTCTCACCAGTATTTGGTAAACCGCTGATACTAAAAAACTCATATAATAAAATAGGAAACGCGTTATTGCATTTCACTGATGTAAACAAATCTCTAATAGGCCCAGAGAGAATTTCAAACTTTAATATTTTTTGTTATGTAAGTCTTTTGATTCAAAAACCTGTCCATTCAAGAGTGAAAACAGGTTCAGCTTTCCACTCTTTGTGCACTCAAACATGTGTGAAATGGTTGTTGCAGACTTTCTGCAGCCGTATTTTATTTCCTCAGAGGAATTGTTTGGAAAACCCTGTAATGCCAAAAGCAGGATGGACTCATGGTGGGAAAAACTGAAGAAGCTATTCTTACAGTCATGTGTATGGATGAAAAAGTATCCAAACTGCAATGTGACTCTTCCCCTTTTTCCCATGATCTTGTTCAAAGATGTTGCTTGCAGAGTAATGAGAGTTATATTAATGTTTATATTTTGGTGTTTTCCAGGAGGAGCCTCTGCCTGCAGCTCTGGTGGAGCTGGTTAGAAACAGTCCCATCTCCTCCATAGAGGACCTCCAGTTGCTGCTGCTCTCTGACTCCGTAGGTAAAGACCAGCTCATTCTGCTTTTACATTCACTGAAACCAGACTCAGTTCTGGGGGTGTTATTTTGGATACTGACACAGTTTCCCATAATGCTGGTGGCATCTTTCCAAATAACAGGAATCAGGAGGTCATCTGCTCCTAGGGGCAGAACTCACATATCAATAATGAAATATATCGTCCTTTGACTCCAGTGTATTGCTGGTGCCAAATATTGATACTGGTTTTAATTTGAGAATACAGTTAATTAATTCATAATACAGCAGCCAGATTTCCCTTTGTGTCACTACTTAAGGACCTCCTGTGGTAGCTCTGATTACATTCACCTTTTACTTTAATACTTTACCTTACTTGTACTTTTTATTGTCTACTTAATCAGATATGTGTAATTTAACGGTTGTTATGAGATATAAAAGGAGATATATCTTTATGGATCTGTGTGAAAAAGTATGAGCAACCCTTGCTTGCAGCTTAAACCCTTTCAAAATAAAGTGAAAATAAAGAGTAAAAGGATTTAAAATCAAGAAGCACTTTATTTTGTCTCTTGCTAAAAAATTCTGTGAAGATAAAAATCACATAGTTTTAAACAACATCCAAATTTCTTCACAGTTTTCGCACTTCCTTAAAGTAAAGTTCAAAATTCTTAACATTTGCACATGTAAAATTTTATTTGTTTCAAGTCACAACAGCTCAATAAAGAAAGCAAAACAAACTCCTAACACTCTTTATAATGACATGCAGATGATTGAACTTAAACACCACTTTAAGTTGGAGACACAACTCTAAAGACAAAAAATTGTCATTATGTCTTTCTGGAATAACACACTACTTGAAATTATTATTCAGCTTCAAATGTCTCTATTTAGAGGACAGGACTGTGGACAGAATCAAAAACTATGAGAAGAAGGTGACGTAGCACTGAGCCATGTGTCAGATTTAACACAGGCTTCCTGCTTCAAGGATTTCAGCCTCTACACATGAGATGTTCAATTTAACTGCTCAGCTAAACCAGCGCCTACATTAGACTTGTTCTTAATTTTAACCGCAGTGTGTGTTGGCATTGCAAAGAAAAACTAAAAGCTAGACTCACAACAACGAGGAGCTAATTTTCTACCCCAATTGTGACTTTTAAACACCACCAGCAATAAAACAGACAAACAAATGGAAAAACAAGCAGAGAGACAGACAAATGCCTCAATATACAAATGTAGAATTTTAAGAGTACAACCTCTGTTTCTGCATGTGCATATTGACATTTGCTACCTCATATTGCTTCTCTCTTTACCCCTCTCCCTCTCTGCACCCTCTCACCATGTACAGAGGGTGCTGGTGGTGGGCCTCAGCTTTTCTGCTGACCTTTTTGGCTTTAGACTGTCTCTATAATAGTTTCCTCGCTGTTTTGCATGATTTTCAGTTTAACAAAGTGTTATTTTAGGCTGCTGTCTTGAAAACCCTCATTTCAGTCTCTGTCTGAGATGCTTCATATGAGGCACTATCCTTTTAACCCCCCCGCCTCCCCAAGCATTCCAGAATGCAGCATTCTGGAAGCCTCTTTCACTGTTGCCATGCAACAAAGTTATGCTTCTTCTAATAAAATGACAATTTTTGCCCTTCTAAGGAGATTCACTGTCTTGCGATGTCATGATTTGTGCAAATCTCATATTGATCTTATTGAATTCTCATGTGACTTTTTGAACAAGCCATTCAGAGCTCCTTGTAGTCCCATTTGGGGATTACATCAACACGTATTAATCTTGCAGTCTGAAACTTTGCTCATGTTTAGAGCTGATGTCAAACATTTTAACTTAACATTTGTTCTCAAAAGATGAAAAAGTAAAATAGCACCTCTTTAAATGACGGTTTAATTTTGATGCTATTAAGTTGGCATGGACAGTTAGGATGGTTAATTTATTTATGTAATTCTTTATACTCCCTGTCTACTTTATGCTTCCTTGGTCTGTTTTGACTTGGGGATAATATTTATTTATGTTATTGTAAAAGAAGTGTGTCTTATTTTGTTTCATTGTTGAATTTGTTTTTGTACCCTTCCCTTGTGTGTCTGTTTTTTTTTTTTTTTCTTTCTACATATGTTAAAGTCCTATATATGGACTGAATTGCAAAAAGAGATTGCAGATGTTGTGGTCTATTGTTTTGCTTGACACATTACATCCGTGTCCTTTTAACAGATAAACATTAAATTCATAAACAAACGAAAATACACGAGAAAAATATCAAATTTGTTCATTATTTTGTCTCAGATGAGGAGGATGGGATTTCAGCTGCCAATGGAGGTCACAGACTACCAAGGAGCCTCGGTGAGCATTCTTCCTTCTTTCTTCAAATATTTTAGAAAGAGCAGTTTGTGATTGTGAACAGAGAAAAGACAAGACATCACCACTATAACCACAACAGCTCTTCTCTAATGTCAAAAAAGCTTGTCTATCAACATTTGCATCTGTATTTTAAGGATAACTTTCTGTGTTGTCTTGTAAAACGTTTACAAAAAGGAGTTGTGCTGGTATGGAGGATTCCTGATTCTCCTCATGAATGAAAAAGTCCTCCATCCTCATTAGTCGAGGACTCTTCGTGAGTTTTCTGGTACTTGATTGATGTGACAAGTATGGCTTTAGTGACACGCTCAAATCCTGCCCATTAACCTTTTTTTTCTGGCTCATACGATAATGCAGACGTCTGAATTAGAAGACATCAATCTACAACAGTGTGGCTGACTTTGCTGGGTTCCATCTAGCAGGAGGAGATACTGCTGATCCCACGTTAATCCTCGTGTGAACTCTGCTCTGCGTTCTATATATGCCCTTGTACAGTTCAGACAAAGCAGAGTGATTTAAGTGACAAATTCTGCGGTTAAATAAGCCAACACTAAGCTTTTATCAAACAATATTTAATTTTATTTTATGTTATACTAACTTAGGCCTCTCATCTTGACCAGAAACTGATCTCTGGTTAGTTCTCTTAATTGTGCAATACGATAAAAGATTAACCCAATTTGCAGTGTGCTCTGAATGTTCATGCTCATCCCCACCAAAGTAGAACCACTCGTGCTAGCTTAAAGATTGATTATTGAGCAGACCTACTGGGCACAGGCCCAGGGGCCGAGGGGTCAGAGGGGTCACCTGGGTTTGACCTGCAGTGTGTCAGAGGGAAAGCAAAATGACTTAAGATGCAGAAAACAACCAAAACAGATTTTCACAAATTGACCACAAATACCACACGGTTAAAATGAAAACAAATGCCACAGAACCACAGAGAAATTTACAAAGACTTAGTGTTAAAAAGAAAAACGGGAAAATAGATGTTAATATCATGAGTGTCAGAATAAAAATAAAATAACACCATGAATGACAATCAGTAACTTAAAATAAAAGTTAAAAAAAACAGAAACACATAATGATGCTTAACTACCTTAGCATAAATATGCAGTTGTTCCTCCACACTAACAATTGGCCGTGTCTCTTCCCTCAGATGCTCAACCAGCTCAGCAGGCTCTGTGCAAAGTCCGTACTGAGGTGGTCGAGGTCACAAGGGCTATGTTGGACCGCAGCAATGCCAACTTCTTATTATGGCCGCCGTGTGTCGAGGTTCAGCGCTGCTCTGGGTGCTGCAACACCAAAAGCCTGCAGTGTGTCCCTGTCGTCACGCACACCAGATACTTGCAGGTAACGCACAGGAACATACGATGTACTAAAGTACAGAAGCCTGTAAGGTTTTTGTTTTACACTGAGAAATATGTGTTGCTTCTCCTAAACTCCCTCCAGGTCATGAAGGTAGAGTATGTCAGTAAACGACCCACATATGCCAAAGCAGTAGTGTCAGTGGTGGATCATGTGGAGTGCCGATGTCAGCCTGCTCCTCGTCCCCCCGCATCCAAGCGGAAATCATCTCGCAGACAACACCACCATCAGCATCGAAACCAGACGCTCAGCCACGGACATGCACAGGTACAAATTCTGCTTTCAGTGTCATTGGGTGAATTCTTTGATTGTCTTACGCACTACTGGGAGTGTAAATAGTATAGGCGCTGCTAACCCTGAGAAAGCCTTAATAATGGACAAAAAGTGAGAGAACATCTTTTGATATGCTTTGAATCAGGTTCAGACTTTTCTTTTCTCTTCTGAACATACTTCCATCCATCCATCCATCCATCCATCCAATATCTCTATATGCATTCACCTAACTATAACCGTTTATCCAACCATCCAGTCATTGACTCATTGATCATTTACAGTCATTCAACCATCCATCTGTCCTACATCCATCCATTCATCCATCCATCCACCCATTCATCCATCCAACATCTCTCCATGCATTCACCTAACTATAACTGTCTATCCCACCATACAGTCATTCACCCATTGATCATTTATCCATCCATCCATCCATCCATTTTTTGTTCTTTTTCCCACCAACCAAACATCCATTTAATCATTTTTCATCCATCCATCCATTTATCCAGCCTCATGTTCATTTGTCTATCCATCTTTTATTCATCCATCCACCTTGTCATCAACCAACCAATTATCCACTCATACATTCATGATCCATCCATCCATCAACCAACCAACCAATTATCCACTCATACATTCATGATCCATCCATCCATCCATTCATCCATCTATCCATCCATTGACTCATTAACCAACCTTTCAACCATCCATCCATCTACCCTTCTGTTAAGCTGTCCAAATATCCATCCAATTTGTCATCCATCCATTCATCCATCATTCTATCTAAATCATTTACTTTTTCTTCCACTATAATAACTTTACTGTTTTATTGGAGCGCTCAAAGACTCTCCAAAATTTATTATGTTGACTTTGTTGTCAAAGGTCAAACTGCACTCCAAGGATGAGCTCCATCAGTGGGATGAGCTGAAGCAGAACCAGAGAGCCCACCTGGAGGATCTCCTCGAGCAGAACTGGAGCCCGAGAGGAGACTCCTTCTCTCAGCCTGGACATGGGTACAGTCTTGCTGGGGAGGAAGCGCTTCTTACTCCTCACTGGACCACTAACTCCACCAGTCTGCTGGCATCTAAAGAGAATGTGGAGAGGAGGAACAGTCACATCTCAAATGGCACCAAAAATGTTTCTGTAGTGGATAATATTGGCGCTGATGTAAAGACCAACAGTACTGAAGGAAAAGATAGTGAGAAGAGCACAGACACACAAACCCAGAGTCCATTATTGCAAGATGACGAATCCAAAACTATTACACACCATCCTGATGGCAGATTCAGACCTACTGAGAGAGTCATGACCAGGTCCCGACCAACCAAAGAACCGAATCCAGATCCTAGAGAGCTTGGAAACTGGAGAGACAATAAAACTCCTGAAGAGGAGAGGATTTTACTGATTGAGGAGGAAAAATTGGAGCAGGAGAGAAAAGAGCTTCTGCTTCTCCATAAAAGGCTGGACCAAGAGAAGGAGATACTGAGACAGCAGCAGATGAAAAGAGAGGAGGAGGAAAGGCAGAAAGAAAAGGAAAAAGATAGTCAACATCATCTGCATGGTAAACATCATCATCATCTGCATTCAGTAACAACACAGAAACCAGGTAAGAAGCACCTGAAGGCTTTAGTTTCCTGTTTGTGTTAACTCGTCTTCATTTTGACTTTTTTCACAATCACACAAAGTCACCAAAGAAAAAATGAGTCATTTTAACTTATCTGTAAATCTTGAACAGCTACAACAACAACAACAACCACTACCACGCAGCAGCCTTCAGCTCTTGCAGTCCCGAGACCCCCCGCCCGTCCAAGGAAAAGGATGAGGAAGAACAGGAAACGCATCAGCAAGGCAGCCATGAGAGCGATGCTTATGTAGAACAATGGTGAGTCTGATGTCAGGCAACAACTAAATATAATGATGTTGGGTATTTAGTCATATACTTTGACCCACGTCACATCTGTGGACATGGGTTCAATTCCTATACCAGACGGTCAGCAGGGGGAGCTCTTGATGTTTTGACTTTACTTTCACGTAGTTGTCATGTCGTCCATTTAGTCTACATGAAAAAAAGTGTCCACCTAAAAAGATATGTTAAAAAGTGATGGTGTTTTGTTGCATCAGAAATAAAGATGTCTATAGACTGTGTTGGTTAAACTGACACATAACCAGTAAGTACCAGGAGTAACAAAACCAGCGTGTGGATGTGACCGTAAAGAGAACCGGGGCTGGTGGCACTAGCTCTGCTAGCTTGAACTACACTTGTGACTGTTTGCTCCCCGACTCTGTGATCATGTCTTTGGATGTGTTAGAAAAACTGTGCTCATTTAACGAAGTGTTTTCTTACCATTAGACTAGTTGGTTATTAGGAGATTAAATGAATTTCTGTTTGGATGACGAGGAAATCAATCACATCACAATGTGATATTTCTTTTTACATGGTAACTTTAAATTTAAAGCTAAAATAGTCTTGAAATAGTTTATTTAAAACATTTTTAAAACTAAAAAGTCACAGAAACATCACTGTATCTTGGCAGCGTCTGGTATTTGAGATCATGCTTTGATGGTTTCAGCAAGATTTAGATTATATTGCATACCTTGAAGCGAATTTAACATTTACATTTGTACATAATAAATGCACTTCCTGTTTTATTACCTGTCAGGATCAATTAAGTTTTAAGTACTGTTTTCTTGTTTTCCTATTTTAGGGCCACAAAGTGAACTTGCGAATCCACATGTGTAGCAGAGTGACTCCCTTCCTTCATATAAGTATGTATTCACATGTTGGTAACCTGCTCGTCCTGTGAGAGATCTCCTGTGTAACACTACTAATGAACCTGTAACTACACCTGCGTGTAGTACGAGGAGGGTAAAAGAAATGGAATATGAATAAAAGGGGGACCTTGTTTTGAGAGCACCTGCTTCTACAATGACACAGATGTGAGTGGGACCCAGAGCCTGACATCTGAAACTGCATCATTGTGGCCCTGTGAAAGATATAGTGCAATTTCAAGACTCTTCCTGAAACATTATGATATCAACAGAGAGAAACTGCACTTGAATGAGGACAGAACAAGGTCTATACAAGGATCAATGGACAGAGATGTTGCTGAAAGACTCCTTGACTGAACTACATAGTGCATTTGGTGTAAAAATCGGACAAAAAGGACATAAATGGACAGAACTCTTGTTATATTTGGATTTCCATGGAGACAATCATCGACTGGTTGCAACAGTGAGAACTGGTGACTGAAATAAGCAGTATTTCCATGTTTTACTGAACTAATTCATGGGCGGCTCAGTGACAGGAAGATGCAGCTGTGTACATTTTCTGTAACAAGGCTCGATATCATTCTTCAGCTCCTTAAACAACAATAGTCTCTAATATTTTTTTAACTCATAGCGAACACTGGAATCAAACACACGATCAGAAAACAAGAGGACAAAATGTTGCATTTAAAAGCTTTTACATCTTTCACATGTGTGAAGAAAAAGGTGCTACCTAAAGTGGAAGTGATACACCTGTGAGTTGATGTGCTTTGTTTCCTATTTATTGATTTCTGCCTTTAGTGTGGATTCATTCCTTAAACAAATACTGAAAATGCAACAGGGTTCAGACTTGTAATCACATATTATGATAGCTGGGTGCTTTAAACTTAACAAACAGAACAAGTTGTACAAAAAGATCGATATCTGTTCCCCCACCCCCAAAATACTCCCACTTGTAGAAGTCTGTGACACACTTACATTTCAGTCAACCATTTCTTTCTCCCATCACATTCCTATAAATCATTAAGAAAAGGACAGAAAAATCAACCACTGATGTATTTTTTTCCAGCTGCCCTGATGCATTTTTTTTGTTTTGATCTACAGTTAAAAGTTTTTCTTCTGACAACTTATTTACGGGAACAAAAAAGGGACAAAACAAGTCGATCAGTTGGTCACAGAAGGGTCAGTTTAAGCCAAACTTAGCTAATGTTGATGTTATTTTCATGTCCTTTGTTAATTCATTTTTTTTAAACATGTAGATACACTGGTAACGCTCTTGTGTGTTCATTTTTTATAATCAGCCAAAAACATCTTAAGTTATTGAAAAACCTTGGCTTGTATGCCAACTTACAACTGTTACTGATTGTGTCTGTTTTTTTATTTTTATTATTGGATATGATGGAAAAACCTGAATGTTTGTGATAACCCTGAGACGTAATGCTATTTTCATAAGAAGCTAATGTGCATAAATCTACTTTATTTGTGGTTTCTATAATTTTTTAAAATCTTTTTTTTAAACATTTAAAGAGGCTTTGGCTATCAGAAGACACAGTTTTAAATTGAATTGTGCAGTATGCACCCAAGAGCAAATGTCACTTGGTAAACGATGAACATCAACATGAAATTAGTAACAAAAAAATAAAGAAAAAAACAATCAAAACAATGAGAATGTAGAGCAATCCTGTTAGCTCTGCTTACTGGAGCTTGTTTTTTTCTAAGTGGTACTATAAGCTTAGAAGGACAATGCTAGCATACTTATGGTGTATTACTCCCAATATTAGACACCTCAGTTTATTGTGTTAGCATGCTAACGTGTGCTACTTTTAAAGTTTTCAGTTGTTAAACAAAAGAAGATAAGAAAAAATAGAAACTTGAACCTGGTGTAAGTAATTACGACAGAGTATAAGGGCCACATTAAGAAAAAGAAAATTAAGAGTTTGAGATTAAAGTCGTTAATTTACGAGTATCAAGTCATTTTTAACGAGAAAAAAGTAATTACGAGAATAAGTAATGATTTTATTATGACTTTATCTCGTTAGTAATGACTTTATTCTTGTAAGTTAATGACTTTAGTCTCAAAGTCTTACTTTTTTTTTCTTAATGTGGCCCTAATACTCCGTCGTAGGTAATAGATGACAAGATCAGGTTTCACAAAAGCTCTTTTAAATCCATATGAAAGGAAACATTAATGTGTGTCAACATTTTTTCAACAATTTAGTCATTAGTTTTTAGAATATCTCACTTAAAGTCAAAAGTTGTGGCACTAAATTACAAAGACAGGTTTACAAAACGCAATTGCATTTCTTGAGGAAAAACAATCACACCAATTTTCATGTTTCATCGTGACAGCCTGGGCCATGCAAAGCTCTTCAAGGTTTGTATGTACACCTCAAGATAACGCCTTGTTTATTATATACTGGCAGGGGTAACCCTTGACTCAGCACTATGCTGCCTCTGCCTGAATTGCTTTGTTTTGGCTGCTTTTCCAGGGGTGAGACACAGCTTGCGGGTGTTACTTTTTTACACAGCTTTTTAGTCATGAAACAACTCAGAAAGCAACATCTCTACAAAAACATCTGAGGCCGACCGTAAGCACCAACTTTCATCATCATTAAGCCATGAAAGAATACATTTGCTTTTGTTAAATTGCCTACTGTTATCAAGTGACTCACAGTTTGTGGGTCCTAGCCTTTGTGGGAGGTCTTCATCGATGAAACAACACCAAGTTTTAGCAGCATGCTAGCTGCAAATCCAGCTTGTTCTGGCTTTTGTTTACTAAGAAGATTTCAGTGAGCAAAAACAGCTCAGTGATAGTTGCTGTTGTCCCGAAAACATGAAGTCTTTCCACTGTTTCCTGATGCCTTTGTCAGTGGGAAGAGAAAATATTGCAGTGATTTTCCCTCGTAACTACGAGAACACTGAGAAACAACTTCCCGAGGTATACTGAATCAACAAAGTGCAGAGTGGCGGAAAGCCCAGCAGTGATTCTGACTTTCAATGTGAGGGAAAAATTCAACAAACTCTCTATGTAGGTGTGTCCTTGAAGGAGCTGCATTGGAGCTCTTTCATGTTTTCCAACATTGTCCTCACAAAGCAGCAGAGCATGATGACAGGTTCAGGCTGAATCTTGCAAAGTCATCATCAGGAGGTGTTCAGGGAACCCTGAAAACACATCCAGAGATCGTGCTAACATCTGTGTATCTCATTGCTTGGAAGGTTTGCTGTGGTTTAGTGTGGACCTCCAACATTGTAATATTATATTTATAAATCAACATTGTAGGTCTACTTTCAGCTCCAGAAAAATTCATGGAACTGTTGATTTGACATTTAAAGCACAACAGAGAGCCTCATATTATCCCTTAAGTCCAACAAAATCATTTTTAAGCCTTGACTTGAGAAAACCTGACTCCTTTAAGTCACTGTGAACCCTCTGACTTTTCTTTCCACCTGATGAACCCCGTGGGATTTATTTGCTGCGCCTGTGTGCCATGCTGTGTCTACACTAAGCGCATCTGCTTTCCAGAGAACTCATATTGACTCCTTAAATTCACATGCGTTCAGGGCTGCAGGATGGGGTTTGTTCAATGTGACGCAAGACAGACAAAGAGGAGAAAAAAAGGTGAACTCTGGCTCGCACTCTGTGAGCTTTGTCTTTCACATTTACTCACTTAACTCTTGGCTGCAAAAAGTCCCCGACTCAGCATCCCCACGCACAGCTACGCCTGCTGATTATCGAGTCGCAAAGTCATCTGCTCATCTGTTTAAGTGAAATCATACGAGGAATGGCTCTGAGGTGCATTAACTGCTAATGTTTTCAGACTGAATCCATCCTCAGAGAAAAGCAGTTGTTATTTTAGCCTTCACACATTTTGGGGATAGAGTGCTACTTTTTTGGCGCTATAGTCTGCACACATCTCATGGTTTGATGCCTGCGCCAGATGAGAGTTTTACTCTCTGACTGTCTTGAATCAGCGTCCCAACCTTTGTGCGATCCGGAAAATCTAATGTGTATTCCCATTACCTCTCATTGCCCCACTGTCAATCTCACACCGCGGTCTTACTTCCAAACAGCAGCACATCTCCAAATTCAGCATCCAAGTGGCATCGCTGTTTTTTTCTGCTAGTGTCCGAGAAGCTCCCAACCCCCCACGGACTTCAAATGAGAACGGGGAAGTGTGTGTGTGTGCGTGTGTGTGTGTGAAGGCCTGTTGACTGTGACAAACACACACTGGCATGCTCACACTCATTCAAACGCACACACACACACAAGGGTCAAACACCATGACAGTGTGGGAGGGTCTCTGAGGGACCAAAGAGTGTGACTAAAGACATGAAATGGTTCATAGCTGACTGGTTGACCTTAAAGGACGATAAGGCTTGTTAGGCTTCAAAAACACAGTTACCTAACCGGCAAACAACTACTGGAACAAAATAATGGACCGGCTTGACCAGATGGGCGTGATGAGCAGTTTTACAAAGACGAACCAAGTTACAAACTGTGACCAGAAAGCTGAACTTAGCTGGTCCCAATCAAGTATGTAAGTATGTAAGCTGTTATGTAAGAAATAATGTCGGGTGATCCATTGTAACATTCTTACTTGTTTTTATTCATACTTATCAGTTAGACCCCCTTGGTGATGGTTATTAGACCAACTCACACACATCAAATCAAGACACTGAAAAGTCCTGGCTCCACCAGGATGCTTTACATCCTGAGCTACTTAAGACTTAATCATATCTATTACCTATTTGGACTTTCTCATATCTTAAAATAGCAACTTACCGTGTATATAAAATCAATCTGAGTCAATGTCGAACAGCAGTCCCACTTCCCTCTATGGTTCAATATAAAATTGGCCGTTGAAGTAGGGCATGGCATGTGTCAAAGGCGCAGCAGGGTTTCCTACCCATGTTAGCAGGGCTTACACTTTCAACATAAGTTAAATGAGTTCATGAAAGCTACTCAGCTTGAAAGAGTTCATGTAACAAACTCTAAATGTTTTACAAGTACTCATAATGCTCTCCAATTTTATGAATACTCAAAACATCTTAGTTGACACCTCAGTTTTTAACTTTCAAGTAAGGTCAACTTTATAGGGATGAGTGTGACATTTTTTGAGTTTTAAGTTATTAGAACTCATTTTGTTAATAGCTGGATAACAGGTGGGAAAATGTAGAGTTAACTGGTTATGCTGGATAAAACCCCTCAGGGTGGACAGAACCTCAACACAAAGATATTTAGTATAACCACACCTGTGATAAATAGGTGATTGTGATTGGTTAATTTCAGCATTCCAAGGTCTGTTCTTACTCTGTAACGTATCTCTGCATTCTGTAACAAACGGATGGAAAAACTTACAGATTTTAATCATAATGCTCCTCATCTTGTCTCTTTAATCCATCAGAGGAGCTGTATAGGACCACCTTTGATTGCATTTCCATGAGGAAATGCAATCAGATCAAGACACTAAGGCTGAAGAACTACCGTCTGCTGTGCAAAATGATAAATATGATGATTATTACTTCGAAAGTAATGATCATAAATGTTCTTCACTGAGCTGTGTCACCCCGCTGCAGTCGATGGACTCGCCTGGAGGTCTCCGTACAAAGAAGAGGCTACTGTAAGAGAGTGGGTAAGTTGTGTTTAGTCTTTTTACTAAAGAAATTAGGCAAAGCTAAAAAGATGTTTGGTGGCTAGTGCTGTGTCTGGGACCCTATATGTACTGTTGATGAAGTTAGATGCTGTTCTGAGTATTATTTGTGGCTATAGAGTGGCGTTTTGGTTAAGCGCATGTTTCCTGGGACCGATGTGTATTGCTATTGTGCGGTCGTTACTAAAGTAAGAAGTAAGCATTCGGCAACATTAATCTCTCGACCGGATGTCTAACTCTGTGTTATGGTGTGTTTGACCCTAACTTAATTTTACGCCGGAATACTCCTTTAACACTTTAAACTTCATCAAAGCTACTGTTTTGCAGGGACATGATGGAAAGGGTCACAGCCTCAGGACCCATACCAGTAATTGTTTCGTAAAAGTTAAGTCACGAGTTTTGGAGTAAGCCAGAAAAATGTACACAGTCAATATCTGGGTAAATCTGTAGACCATTAATGAATGCTGTGTCTTCCTAATTGATGGAAACAAGTTGTGAAATCACGTTTGGTAACGCATGCATGGCCTCTGGGAATGTGCATCAATGCAGAACAGGAGCAGCTTCAACGTTCTAACTTAAAGCAAGAGGAGTTAAATACTGGTTGTGAAACTGATTAAAATTGCTATTGCTTTCTTTTTTTTAGTGGACAAAATCAAACAAAACTATCAAGGACAGAATTCGCTGAAGTTCTCTGCAAGAGGGGTAGGTGTCAGACCAGACAGCACACAGCAGAAACAGCCTCTTTGAAATTCAACATCACATATTGTAAAGACTATGGGTGATATTATTCTCCAGAAAATACCATGTCTTGACATATAGAGGATAATCGGCAAAGTTCGGATACATGTTTTCTCTGACATAAACCCAGAGTTCCTCAAAAAAGCTTTAACTCCAATTTTATGTTTTTCTGATCTTAAAAGACTAAAGTTTTTCATGTACCTTACAAAAAACAAAAAACAAGTGTATTTTAACATTGAACAAGTATGCAAAGCAAAGTTGTTTCCATGTACATTGTTAATAAAATGACGCTGTACTTTTGAAAGGCAAATATAATCAGTGAGAAGAAAAGATACGACAAAAATATCTCCTTATTGTCCAGACTGCCTTAGAAGACTTCTTACTGTCTGTGTTTTGGTTCGACCTGGATTCCCCGATGCACAGTAGTGAGGAAACAGGAGGCCTTTGAACAGGAGGTTACACAAGCATCCGTGTGGCGCCACGCACTCCCTACACCTTCCAGCGCTTTTATTTTCCTGTTTTTATGTATGACAAAGGACAGGGACATGGTGTACACAGACGACTATAAAAGCCATCAAGCTTCAGCACACTGACTCTAACCTTTCATAACAACGCACTCCATTATCTTCTCTCTTTTGACTGATGGAGATTGATGGGACTCTGCCACTTGTTCACTCACTCACAGCACCGTCCTCCTCCTCCTCCTACAGGGAACAATAGTGGCATGACGGTGACCATAAAGAGCGTTTCTGTTTTTTAGGGGCTGAAAATACAACATATGATCTTCCCTTTTGCTTTCTCTTTCACAGTTGGCCAAATAGACAAGCGGGGCACCATCTTTGAGGGCATCGTGACACGGCCTGTTGGTGTGTTTCAAACTTTTCCTCAAAAACCATCAGACAGGAAGTTGTACCTAGCGATGGGCTGGAAACAGAGGAAGTTGATATCAGCATGCCTGGAATTCCAGCATTGTGTTTTCGTTGCTGAGACAAAAAAAGACCTGCATCGCTCCCTCACAATGTGATATTTACTGTATTTATTGAACAAATGTGTGGTTCAGTATATCACAGGGTTATCCCACAGCTACATACACTCACGCTTGTTTAGAGACTGTTTGTATTCTGCAGACCCGTGGCAGGTAGACAGAGCGATAAATTAGATAACTGAGTGTAGTGCATATGTGGGTGTGAAATCTAGACAGTCTTGCTGTACATAGTTGTGAAATATTCTTACACCCTTACATGAAATGTGAGAAAATGCCTAAATTCATTCCTCACTGTTAGTTGGGGATTTGAGTTTTTCATTAGCTTTTACCCGGACATGTCGTCTTTTTTCTGGGCTGTCTGGCTTTGTCTGGGGAAGTTTATGAAATCCTTCAAATCTCTGCGGTTTTGTACGTAAATTCAGAGTTTGTGTCTGGTGGACTTACTGAGTTAGAAGCACGTAAAAGACACTTAATATGACCCTGAAAACTCTCAAAATTAACTTTGTGTGACTCCGTAACTCCGCCCCAGTGTAGTGATGTCCACCTTTTGGGAAGCCAGAATATGTTCACCCTACTTTAGTTTTCCTTGAAGCTCAAAATTTTTCCTCTATTTGCTTAAATTTCAGCAATTTGTTTTGTTTTTGGATGCTAATCGATCTGTCATGGGTACGTAAAATCTTCAAACTTAGCATGACATCAGAGAACTACAGCTTCTAATGTACCACAGTAGTTTTAAGAGGAAAAAAAAGTGAAACTTAAACCACTACCACCAATATTTTGAAAACTTTTGATTGTGTTTTTTCTTTATTTCTGCACTTTTTTATGCATTACAAGAACACACAATTGCAAATGACAATGACGGTGTACTACACTTGATGCTAATGCTATACGACAGAGGAGGCTTTTTCTGCCCGATACATTCAAAACGCTTTTACAGTAGGAATATGAAGTTTGTGTAGAGAGCTTTTAAAAATGCACAGAAACTACTGCTAACTAGATAAATAGCCAAAACACTCTGTTATGAAGAACTATTAGCTTTGAGCTCAACCAAATTATTGGTAATGATAAATAATGACTGAAACATAAGGTATATCTGAACCCTAAACCCCCTCTGAGCTAGTTCCCTAAGGATTCAGCTTTTGACTTGAGCTATTTTTTTACCCCTTTTTAGCCTCAAGAAATATTACACTTTTAAGCTAGATTATTATTTCTGTATGTAAGTATAACAACTTTAAATTACATTTCTATGATTTCTGTAGTCCTTAAAACTTGGCTGCCGCACCAGACATCATACAAGTCTCAGGAATTCAGCATGTACTGTATTCATACATCCAGCAATGCAAAGGCTACAACATTGACAACAAGGTCTGAACTCACACACCCATGTGCAAATGTGCATACATGACCGCAGTGAACATGGCAGTCTGCCGAATAACATGCTTGTTCAGTGAAATGGAGTGAAGTAGATCTGCTTCTGACCTCAGCTGTGAGGTAAAAGCAGTAAATCTAAAACAGTTACAATAACATCTTCACTCACTTGTTATGAAGAATTTCAGGTAAATATATTAACACTGTGTGAAAAAACTTTGGGGAGAAAAAGTGGTTTATGTTGTGTCAGAGACACACTGATTGTTGCACTTCACTCACAGTCTAAGCTCAACACTGCCCTCTTCTGGATGGGTATTTTAACATGACTTTGGATAAGAGCGGTAGATCTCAAGTCCAGTCCTCGAGGCCCACTGTCCTGTATGTTTTGGATGTTTCCCTGCTCCAACACACCTGATTCAAATGATCAGCTCGTTATTAGGCCATTACAGAGCTTGATAACGAGCTGATCATTTGAATCAGGTGTGTTGGAGCAGGGAAACATCCAAAACATACAGGACAGTGGGCCTTGAGGACTGGACTTGAGAACCACTGGATAAGAGTGTGTAAAATCTCTTTGAAATATTGTCCACAATTTTAAAGTCATTCAAGCATTTTTTTTTACATTAAATAATAACTATAAATGAACTACAAATGTTTTTTATTTTTATTTTTTCATTGTATTTCTCAGAAAACCCACGATGTCCATGAGATGTTCTCGGTTACTTTTCTGCATTGATGAGAGCAGTGGGGATGTGGCAGTAACCAGAGGGCTGTATAGCACCCCCCTGAGGCCAGGAAGTGAAAGCCACTGAGATGTAAGGCGGCGGAGGTTGGGTGCAGCTGTTAGGCTCGTTGAGACTTGGCTGGATGTCTGTGTGATCCAACAAAAGTGGTGGATCTGGACTCTGTTGGTCCTGCTCAGCGCTGTCGTGCCTGTGTCTGTTTATCCCAGCACTGCTGTGAGATACAAGGTCCTGTGTTGAGCGTGAGATTCCTCTGCTGGGCAGACTCACATAACTGTCTCCAAAAAGAGTAAAATCCACAGGGGAAGGAGATACAGAGTCATTTGGTTGAATTTTGTGTTCTTCTTTCTCCTGGTGCGTCACATCCTTTTGGTTCCTGTTTAGCTCTGACTGCTGTTTGGTAAAAACAAAGCGGATTAGGGAAACTTTGAATGTTTAATAAAGGATTACAGCACAAAAAACAGTTTATTCAGCTGTGAATGTGGACTTTAATAATCCAATCTGATTCCTTACATTTGAACACTCAAACTGAACTTGAATCTCTGTATGCTTGAGAAATGTTTAGCTCCTTAAAGACTTGATGTATGACTCTGTTACTGAGAGTTACTGACCTGACAGAAGATGTATGGTCCACTGAAGCTTATGGAGGAGGTGTCAGAGCTTACAACCTCTGCAGAGACAGGGACATTAACACCAGTCCAGCAGGTCTCATCCTGCTCCAGAAACTTTTCCTTAGCGTCCTTGGTGGACCACAAAGGAGCATCAGAGGAGCTGCAGGAAGAGATGGATTAGTGCTATTATTGATGGATAAGAGAGGATTATCCATAAATGATCAGAGTCGGAGATAAATTACCATGTTGATACGCTTTCTGAGTGCTGCACTTTGCAGAAGGACGTGCTCTCGCTCTGCATGAGAGTCTGGCTGGTTTCAGACTGGATCAAATAAATTACATCATTGGCAACATAACATGCAAGAAATTGAAGAAAATCCGACAAACAGTGGAATAATTCGGTCTCACCTTGATCTCTGATAGGATTCTGCTCTTGCCTGGAGAGGGAATTGAATCCACCCAGAGTACAACCTTCCTGTTTTTTCAAAATAAGAAGAGTAATGCTGATGAAATAATAAAGGGCATTTAAAGAAAGTTTGTCAAGAGCATAATAACATGAACCCTCCTCCTGTGTTAGGGTCTGCAGTGACCCGTTTTTTATTGTAAATGCTTAAATTAGCTTTTGTGCATCAAGACTTTTTGACTTTGTCAGGAACCTCTATTTCAACAAAATAAAAAATTGAATTGACTAAATGATAAAATGCTCTTATTAAAATTATGTCACTTGTCATTTTAGGGTCACTGTTGACCCAGTTAGATCAATATCTAATAATTAGAGCAAAAACTGAAATCATAAGTGCACTGTCAGGCACCACACTGACAGTCAGATCCTCTTCTAATCATGTGAGATTGAGGAAATTCTCATTTTACCATGTTGTTCCCTGCACAAAAAACAACATTGGGCATGCCTAGACAAGTGAGATCAGTTCAGTATGGATGTCTGTGTGAGGGGTATACTGACAAAGAAAGACCCAGAGGCCCACTACAAAAAATAATACAAGCAATATCTGTAGGGATAATAATAATGAAGTAATAATGATAATGAAGCTTAACAAGTTAACCTAGAGATGAGAACCAAATTGGATGATAGAGAACAGTTTTTAGTGTATTTACAGCTGATTTAAGACACGGGTCAAAACCGACCCTTGGCATGGTGGGTGCGTAGGAAAAGCTAACACAGGAGGAAGGTTCAGAGGAATACTTTTTTGATTTTAGAAATGGGTATGTTTAAAGAAATCAGGGTGACTAAAGTACCTTCGACAAGCTGGAATGGTGCAGTAGAGAGTGAGGAAGACTGTAGCCACAAATGCACCGATGGAACAATAGATCAGAGTGTCTGGAGACCAGGCTGTCGAGAAATAGAAAACAGAATAGCACTTTGTTATAATCAATACTACAATAATCACAACATTATGTGTCTGTTTTTCATGCTTATATTGTAGTACCCTCATGAGAGATCCATTCCACAGGAGGGCTCCATTCAGACGGGATTCCCTCAAGGGTGAAATCTGTCCCGGGGTCAACTAGTGACCTGACCTTGACCATGTATTGTCCGGATATGTCCGGGAGGTTCAGGAACATGTTGCCCATTGAAACATTGACAATGACCTAAAAAGGAACGAAGGTATGAGTTTGAATTAAGAGTTTAAGCTGCATTATTTAGACACAAATGTGTACAAGCTTATGCCTCACCTGCTCCCCTGTCCTGTAATAGCAGACCTGATAGTACAGTCTCACTTTGGAAACTGTACTCGGCTCTGTCCACTCCATCCTCCAGCTGCTGCCTTTCATTTTCACCTGTACTTGTTGAGGTGGTTTGGGCTGAACTGCACAACACATTGAGTCATAATGGAAAAGATAAGAGAACTTAAACAAGCAGGAATCTGGGATGTAGTAGCAACTTTCAAACGCTAGATGGGGACACTTAGTCACAACACCGCGGCCCTGCTGAGCTCTGTGTGCCTGCAGAGCTTTTTATCACACAATTGTGTGCTTTTAATTTGGCGGGACATGTAACCAGCCCCCACCTCCACTCGATCTCCCCTGTGATATGGCTCCCTGTGTCTCAAGTCTACTCACTGTGCTTGTGAGCCTTAAAAATCTTGGCATTGCGTGTCTGTTGAAGCTCCAGCAGCAGATGTTCAGGGTCTGTGACAGTCAGCCAGCAGCTGTACTTCAGCACCGTCCCGCTGGGGTCAGAGGTCACTGTTTGGTTCACACAACATCTCTCAGACCTGAACACCGGGATTAAAAAAAAAGAGGAGGAGAGGGGTGTGGTGGTCAGCTGAGCGAACAGACTGACGATAACCCAGCTGATGTTTGTTGATGTCGTGCTTGACTCACGGTGCGGTCTGGTTGCGTCGACAGGACAGCTGGTAGGAAATTAACTGAGCTATCTCTGTGCTCAACTCCCAGCTACACGTCACCTCATTCTCTCCATACAGGACACAATGCATGCTGGGAAAATGCCTCTTGTCTAGAGCCAAAGAGAGAGAGAGGGAGAAAGTGAGTTAATAACAACATCCCCAAGGCTCCAGAATTTTCCAAAGCTCCCATTAAAAATGAACAGAGGGAGGAGATTAGAAATGTGAGAATAGGAGATGAAGGGGAGGGTCGGTATCAGAGGAAAAGACCCTTCAGGCGGGAAAATGATCCGATCAATTAAAAATGCCATTCAAAGGGGTGCCTCAGACATGCAAAGGTAAAGCTACTATGTGAACGGTAAACAGACTCATGTTCATGGTACAAACCGTCTTCAGTCCTCCAGGTTACCACAGAAGTCCAGTCACTCCACTGACCCACCCTGGTCCGCGCTCTCACCTTGGCTTCATACCTCTGACCTGAGACCAGCTCTTGGAGTTTAACGCTGGTGTTTGAAACAGTCAGTCTCTAAAACGTGAACGAGAAGTGATTTGTGTAGGTCAGAAATCTGGCAAACTAGTTACTGAAGTCAACATCAGAAGTGACAATATTAAGTCTTTCACATTCTTAGGTATTAAGTCTATACACACGACATGTAAGCACACTTTACCCCAAAGCTTTCCTATCATTTATTTATCTATTTGTAGCCTTTACTTAAAAGGGGACGGTATAGAGATGTGGTCTTTGCCGTGTCAGGACTGTCATGACATTTAGGGTCTGTTCTCTGGAAACTAAACTCTGAATCCCTTCAAAGGTATGAAGCTGTGAAAAAAGTCTAATGCCCTAGTGGTGGAAACAGAGGGTGACCATCCCCACCCCTAAAACCTGATTGGCCACCCTGAAATTCAAAGCTACGATTGACTATTTGCTGTGGAAGGGTTGCCACTTATACTGAATGCCACTGTTTGGGTTGCTTTCTTTTCTATGGTTGGAACTTTAAATAATGACTCTAGAGCAGCATCCTCTTTTTGTGTCCTTTCAAGAATAAGGTCCAGCAGATTGATATGTCACTACTCTGTTATCTTTCTAAGTTAAAATTTGTAAACATTTATTGAACCTTTTGTTATTAAAGTTAAAGTAAATGTGATTAGTAGAGATAACCTACTTGATTTTGGGTGAGCTTATAATATTTACCACGCCTAGCCACCCCTACAAAGGTCTGTGCCCCAGCCTGGAAACCCCCATCTGACCGCACAACAACCTGCCTGCAATTAATTGTTTGCACTTTATTTTTTAAGCCAGGTGTTATAGCATAATGCTCAAACCTTTACTATTATTAATGGTAAAGTATTTCAAACCCTCATAAGTGACTTCAGAAGTTGGCCGGTAGTGTACAATCAGAATTAAACCTATATTAAACCTGAAGTTGTAATATGATAAAAACATGGAGAAGTGTAACTGAGGGGATTTCCCACAAGGTTGTCACCTCTGTGTTGTCACCTCCTAAAAGTGAAAATTGTGTTCATTTCTGTGTGTCAAAAACAAACACTAAGTGAAGCATGGATGTAGTCTCTGTGACATGACATATTTGTTTCTGTTATTAGGTTTGTTCTCCATATTAAGTTGGTTATTGAAACATGGGACATAATGAGGCTTCCTATGATGTGGACCAGCCTCTAGTGGACATGAATGAAACTGCAGATTTTCTTTTAGCCTACCACATTGTCGTCTTTTACCAACTCTGGAGGTTCTAACACTTGGTCTTGGCAAGAGTGAATACTTTTTTAATAACATTAGCGGTGGAGAAATACAGGGGCCCAATGTGATCTCTTTCATGAAGCCGAAAATCTCTGAAGGTGCCCCGTAGTTGCCTGAAACAAAGTCAAAGGGGTCCAAAAGTAAGACCAATATGGTAATGCCAAAAAACGCAGTTCACCAAGTGGCCAGTAGAGGCTGCCTCTAAGGCAAGCCAATCCCATTGGGCTCCATATTAAAATACTGAACTTTAATACTGTGTAATTATGTTTAGAGCCTAACACAAAACAGTAAAACCAAACTAAGTTACAACTTACTCTTTAGTTAACATGGCCAATGATCTAATCAACGTTTATGAGCTAAACTTGGTCATTGTATTTGTCTTGTTACATACTTACTAACCCCTCAACAGTTTCAACCTAAAACTATGTCATGCTAAACAACATTTACTGCTCGTATTGTTTTTCTGAACATGCTAGCATTTCATTAAAAGCTTGTATCCGAGAGAATAATGGGCACAACTACAAGCTTACAGAGCTGCTCACATGGCTGTAAACCTCTGCAGTGTTGGCCTATGCTAATTCCTGTAAGTACAATATGTTAGGATATTTATAGACTTCATTGTATCATCACAAGAGCTCAGACTTGACTCGGCCCCAGGGACTCAGAGCCTGCACCAGTTTTCCTGTCAGAGGAAGCTTCCAATATGATTTACAGAGACTACTAACTGCCTTTGCTACACAGCAGCAAGCTGTTCAAATGTTGCGGTCAGGAACCATGCATCAAATACTTCCCCTTTTGAGTCAAAAATAGGTCTCATTTGTTTTTTAATCTACTAGAATGGAAATAAATCATATGACTCTTCTAACACCACTTAGCTAATTCTTGAACATATCACTTTTTTTACGTCATGAATCTTTTTATATTTTTTTGCTCACCGTCCAGTGGTCTTGTGTGTCTTTCTTGTAGCTGAGCTGATATGTGATGTTTTGATTCAAGGAGGAAGAGTAAGGACTGGTCCAGCCGATCCAGCGTCCTCCGTCACCTGTCTCATGTGTGGACAGATTCACGGGTGTTCGCGCTCTCACTGTTCAACACAAACATACAGAGATAACAGTTAAATAGCAATGTTAGATGCCCACGCCGGGAAACCTACAAGAAGTAACATCTAGACTTACAGTGCTGGGTGAGATCCAGAGTCTTGTGGTGAACAGATGAGCATTGGGTCTTCTTATCCAGGAAAAAGACAGTGTGTTCGATGCTGATGGCAAAAGCACGGGTTTGATATCTACACTGGACAGTCCTGTTCTCACTCGGATCTATTCCTTCAGCTTCAAAAGGCTCACACAGCTCACTAAAAGGACAAAAATACACCACTGTGAGGCAGAAAACTCTCGCACCAAATCAACACATAGTATATTTTCAACACTGCACCGTATGTTGAAACCAAATGTGTTTTTTTTACTTGTTGTTGTCTGTCTTGAACCAGAGCTGCGGATCCCTCTCGCCATGTTTCTCCCATTTGCAGTGGACGTATGATTCATAGTCGTTATGGCAGACCAAGAATTTCAACAATGGAGACTCTACAACAAGAGACACATTGATGGTTTTGCATGATGAATTTGCTTTTATGCTCATTTGTTTTCGTTTGTGCTGCTTTTTTCTTTTTTTGAGCACATCCTGCAACATGATCAGTAGAGGAATAAGACGACTTCAGAGTGAGTGGGTGAGATGGAAACAACCTGGATTTCACCTAAAACACCTTTTTTTTACCACTTTATACAAGAAGAGAAAATTTGCAAAGGCTATTTTTATTTCTTGTAACTTATTACCAATGGAGATTTTCCTCAGAACAGAAGTGGTAAAAATTGTGGCCATTTTCTGAGGTCACACTAACACTTGGTCCCGCTGCCCCGTACCGTGCCAAGGTACATTTTCCCCCTCCCCAGTCCCTGCTGACCTTCACTCCCACTGCACCAGAATCACCAGCGTTTAGGGCAGATTTATTCATTCCACAAAACATCCATTAAATTTAAGAATTCTGGCCACATAGACCACTGGACATGCACTCTGACTGGACATGTCTGCAATTAATAGATGTACACCAGCAGTTAAAAACACATTAAGGGCCATCTTAAAGAAACAACTACTCAAAGATTTTAAAAAGTATTAAAAAAGTCATGGGGTGTTTTTGACGATTACGTAGATGCCTTTTTACACGAAACAAAAGCAAACGAGACCATCAACAACCAGATCGAGTACTGTTATATCTTAATTTTAAACGCCTGAAAACAGCATGCAGGGGTAGGTGTCAGCTCTGTTGTTATGATAACCAGATAGAATAAATTATGCATTAGACTGTCAATTGTCAGAAAAATAAGATTTTTTTGTGAGAAAGCTGTACTTGGGTTTGCAGGAGACAATATAAACAAATACTGCTTTGTCCACAGGGGGCGCCAACATTGACACAAACTTAAAGCCTCTTGCAGGAGCTTTAAGTAATTTTCTTACAAAAAAAAAGAAGTCTTTGAAAAATCATTTTCTTGCAAGAATAAAGTCAAATGAAAAATTACAGATTCATGGTACAGTGCAGATTGACAACTAACCCATTACTGGTGACACACGGATTTAGTTGCTGTGATGTATTTCCTACTCTTATATGGCCAAATTTAGAGACAGCAAATTATTCATTTCCTTAATCAGCCTTTTCTGTGTTGATTCAGTTGAATCTTACCATGTTGTAGGGTGCTGCTCTCCTGGAGGACACAATCGTTTGGACCAGTCGTGAGAGCCAGAGTAGGGAGCAGTGCCCAGAGTGCTACCCAGAGGACAGTCATCATTTCTGGGTGAAGACAGCGCTGATGTCCCCTTCTTTTCCAGATAAGTATCAGGAAGTTCATTACATTGTGAAAGAGCCTATACAAAAGGAAAGGTCAGATTCATACACTGAGACAGACAGAGAAAGACAAACAGACGCAGAATTAGTTCATTTACTAGAAATAAAGAAGAAATGAGTCATGACCGCAAGACACACTGCGTTCCGCTTTGAGTGTGCACTTGTGGGTTGCCACCCTCATCCGCTTGCCTCTTATCTCTCTTTCACACATGTGTGTATAGGGAAGAAATACACTTGCTGTCTCCAGACACAAACACACGCCCAGGAACATAATAAACCAAAGAGTGTTGACACAGATGAACGGTTTTATCACTCTGTTTGAACATACAGTCTGGCATTCATCAGTCTCTGGAGAAAATGCTTGTGCCATCAGAACTTCCGAGGCTCTAAGACAAGGCCTGGGGTGATACTCAGAGTCGCCACAGTGAAAGCCAAGAGGCAGTTAAAGGAAATCTTTGGAGAACTGATACACCAAAACAAACAGAGATGTGGGGAAAAACTTGCTAAAATAGTTTTGCTAAAATTTAAACTTTTAAAAACTGTATTAGATTATTTTGTTTTCATTTGCTTACAAGGATTAAAGCAATATGTCGATTTAAGGCTGTTCATTAATTTTTATATCCATATTCATTGTCCCTTAAAAAAGCATTTTATCCTATTCAAATGTGTCTGTGATCTGTAAGTGCTAAAATGTACACTTCTTGAAATGTGTTTATATGTATCATAGCTGAAAGTAAGCTGTTTTGGCAGGGAAAAGGCTGTATTTAACCCCTCTTTCCTGCTGTCTTCCTATATTAGTATTGTCCTGTAAATGTCCCATATTATAATATATACAGTATTTACATGTGATCACAGACAATGAATTCATCTCATCATTTCAAGAAAAGATTGTGTAAAAATGAGATAAGGTGTCTGATTTTTTTTTTTAATCCGGTGAATGCAATGCCGTTCTGTACTATTGAATTGAATTGAATTCAATTTTTACTATTTGTTTAAATTTTGAGCTGGCTCCCCTTTTATAGCTCCACCGTTACAAATTTGTCAGTACAAACAACATTTTGAGACACAATTTTGAAAAAAAATCCATAAAAAAAAGAAAGAAAAATATGTAAAGAAAAGTTTAAATGTTGAATCTTTTTGTAACTTAAGAAGAATGTTGGGAAAAATATCTTATATCTCTTATGTTATATGGTTTGCTCGGAACAATATGAGTTGACAAGTTACAGTTGTCAACAGCAAATGCAGATGCTGATACTACAACTAAAACCATAAAAAAAAATTGCATTCAACAAAATATTACAAATGCATCCAAGTAAATAAATAATAATAAACAAATATTTGTAGATGGGCAAATATCTAGCTCAGTAGAATATTGCAGAGGGACTTTTGGATATCTGTCCAGTCCTCTTGAATTACTATAAAGAAGGAAAAGCAGTAAATAACTTGATGAATATGGGAGAAGAGATTCATTCAAGTCAATTTATCTGTGCACATTAAAAATGTGATGCATGGTTTTGTAATCAAGTGACATGTTTTAGATGGATATTATATGAATTAATTAAAAAGACAAATACATGCCGTTTTGCTATGGATTTTGGAACAGGGTTTAATATTTCTGTCAGAAGCGATGAATAATATTATTCAATGCATGATAAAATAAACTGTATTCTATATTTGTCGGTGAATGTTTTACGAATGAATTTGATATGTTGCAGTTGAAAGTAGTGTTGTCATACAAAAAAATCATTGTGTTTTTGCCCTTATAAAGGCTGATGTGGATATGAAGCCAGTTACTGCAGCCGCAGTTACTTCAGATGCCAGTAATCAGCTTGATTAATCGCTCTGTCTCTAAGGCACACTTGTAATGTCAACATTCATATTTCTTGGAATTATTCTGGGGCATTATTTGTGCATACCTCGTGCGGAGAACTCTTCTGAAGGTACAAGTATCACAAAAAGTACAGCCAGAACAAAAAACAAAAAGAGAGCTGTAAACTGAGAACGATCAGTCAATAAAAAATGAGAGGGGGATTTTTTTGTCGGTATGATAGAGTCCATTTTTTTCGTGGTTGCGGTCAACAGAAGCTGGTTTTGGGAACCACCAGTGAGCAGAATAAAGACAACCAGTGTTCAAAACCAAGTTACCGTTTGTTGTTCTGTTGTAATACAGTGAGTCATACAGTGAGCATGATGCTGATGTGAAACCAAAAATCAAGATAAAGGCAAGTGAGCTAAAACTAAATCAGATATGGAGAGTGTGCACGTTTGGGAAGAAAATACAAAGAGTAAACACTCCAGGCAAAAGTAAATTTTTTTAAGATGATAAAACTGTAGGATTACTGCACTTGGATGTTTTTGGATAAGAAAACACATTTAAGCTCTGATATGGAGAGACTGATTGTATCATTATTTCCTTTTTACATTTCCCTCTAACCCCTTTGCCAGCGTCATGATATTGCGCAATTTTTGCGTGATGAAGAAAATTCTCTGCAAGTCCACATCACAGGATTTCAACATGCAGGACTGAGTCACTCCCTTCATTTCATCTACAGCTGAAAGATGAACGGTTTCACCAACAAAATACCATTAAAGTAAATTAGAGAGGGACACTGTCTTATTTAAACAATTTAAAGCAGTGAAATGACCATTTTAACATAACAGTCCAAAAAGCGAATGTTTCAGCTTCTTACCTCACATGATGAAAGTTGGTTTACTGCTGCACGTACGTCTGTCCCTGTCACAGTCATAAACACTTATGAGAGCTCTGTGGGAGTTTCCTCTGAGACAACTTCAGTTTCCTCTTTCTGTCCACATGACACGTTATATTATTTCTCACCCAATGGTTAAATTTGCCAGCTCAAAAAATAAAAAAAACACTTTACAATAACACTTCTCAATGAGGATCTAATGTTGGTGGGACGCAAAAGTCTATAATCTATTCAAAACAAGTGAATTAAATCCTATTTTAATTTACAGTTACAAAGACTTTGTAGTTACTTGATAAAAGAAATACTTAATCAATTTTCAGAAGCCTCCTGAAGCTGTTGAACATAATTAAACAGATATTAAACAAACCGTTTTCTCACACTGTTCGTATGTTTCCTGTGTCAGTGCGATAAACGAATCAAATTTTGTGCTCTGATCTTACACAGGATACATGCTTTGGTTTTGTGGCACACTACTGTTCAGATTTACCTGATAAAGAAAAGTATCAGTGGTTTGTCTTCAGCACGCTTCTGAAATACCAGCGCCGAAACCCGTCTGCATGATATCGTGTTTGATACTTTTTTTTTTTTTTTCACAAATTCTAATAATAACTTGGCGAGAGAGTGTTGATGAAAATGGCCCGTTTACGGTAAACTCCTGTCAATTAAAAGTGGGTGTATTGAAAGTGACTTGAAAGTGTAATCACTTCCTGCAGCCATAGGTAATACACCTACCTCTATAAACTGGTTCAGTTTCACACATTTACAATACTCAAGTGACCTGTTTTTACTTCATTTCAGAATCCACCTACTCTTTAGGTAGAAGCTGTTGTGTAACCAGGTGAGATCACATCGGATCAGGTTTGAGATGGATGTCTGTCAAGAAAATCATCTTCTGAGTGAGTGAATTCATATTTTCTGAAGGATTTTAAAAGTCATAATCGTGCACAAATGAAGTTATGTGAAGAGATTAAACAAAAGGATTTCACTGCGACTTAATTCTCATAAGAAACCTTAAACATCTTAACGTTTTTATTATCTTTTTTTTTTTTTTTAAATGTGGCCCTCATACTCTTATTTACTTCTGTCAAAAATCAGCAGGATGAGTTTTTTTGTCGGAAGACATTGTTAAAGCAGGTAGAGGACAAGATCACTGCTTTGTCCACAGGGGGGCGCAAACATTAATACAAAATAAAGGAGCTTTAAATCTCTCTTCTTTTTATGATACTTTTTATTTTGTTCTCTGTCAAATTTTAGAAAAAAATAAACACTTTATTTTTTACCCTTACATTATTTTTTTTTTTGTTTCCATTTATTTATTTATTTGTTTTTCATAATTTCACTCCATCACACTTCAGAAGAAAATTGCAAACATTTTTTTTGTTTTAAATGGGCGATTAATTTTTTATTTATCGATTGACTTGTTTGTTGGTTTGTTTGCCTTTGGCCAGCTTGACAGAGACAGGAAATATAGAAAGGGACATGCACCAAAATTCTACCTGAACTGGGAATTGATCATACGACCTGTGTTGTGAGTAGTCTGTGACCTCTGTATATGGGGCGCCTTCCCAAACCAACAAAACATAAAAAACAAAACTAAAATTATACACATTTTACTGGACTGCTTTTCTCCTGCAATTTTATTTTTTGTTTTTACAGATAGCAATTTTTCGAACAGACCATCAGACCAATTAAACAAAAAAGCATTTAAAGACTTAGGTAACATCACAGGATATACCATAGGTACAACATATTCAAACATGACTTCACAATGAACCTTACATTGGACAATTCTTTTACATTTGACACTTCAAATACATTTCACTGATAAAACATATGTGCAAAACGCTCATTTGGAACCCATAAAATATAATTGCCTTTTCTCCTTAAACATAAAAATATTATTTTGTACCTGTTTGTAAAATCTGAAGGATTTATTTACTGATTTTAAGTCAGACTTGTATTAACCAATCAAACTTTTATACATTTTTTGTCTATTTATCCTACAGAATATTAGAAATAAACACATAACGGTAAAATTGTGAAGTTCATTAGTTAAAACATGTAATTGAAAATGATTGTAACATTGTCTTCAATTGGAAAAGACTGGTGTAAAATTCAATTGCAAAGACGCCATGTTTTGTTTTACCTTGGTCGAGCTATGAATTATAATGTCATTGTGTATTTCTTTGCTCTCATTTATCGTATCTGAACATGATTCTGGTTGGATGATCTTTAACTGACTAAAGCTTCGAGACTGAGACTCATATTGAATGACACAATTTCAACACTTGATTGTTTTATAGTTACTAACCAGACCATCGGGGGAGTATCCACACTCCACCCAGACACCCACATGCATCACTCATGAAGCGTCTGGGGAATAATATAATAATAGATGTTGAAATGACTCTCCCTTTGTACATGATTTGCACAAGTTATCCAACAAAAGATTAAATAATCACATGTGACTGCGTTTATTAGAGGACTTTGAACTTAAACAGTGGTAGCATCAGTCCTGTTTCACTTTCACCATTAAAAGTAATTCCTGGAATCTGTAGTGGAGGTCCTGATCAATCTGACTCAAATCAGTCTTTTTGCATCTTTCGAAGAAACAAGTACAGTACATGTACAGTAAATGTTTTTTTTTTATTATTATTATTTTTATAGGGGTTGTCATGAACTATAATTTGATGTGATTGAGGCCCCTTTCCTCTTCCTTAACTAGTGTGATGTGCATTAAAAAAGGTGATGTGCCATCTGAAGACAGTCCAGGGCAGAGAATTCGGGGAGGGGGTAGGGGGGGGAGGCCGGGAGGGCAAGGAGACTACAGGTCATGGCCTAACAGGCGCGACCCAGCAGGGACCTGAGTGGTAAATAGACGGTGTAGACTTAAGTATATAAATAAATAAGTATAAATAATAATAGAAAATGACAATGACAATAATATTCATCATAATAGTTGTAGTAATACTGATGTTGTAAAAAATAAAAATAAATAAATAAATAATAATAATATTAATAATAAAAAAATAATAATAAATAAAGAAAGAAAGAAAAACGAAAAGAAAAAAGAAAATTGGGAATGAAAGTGTCAGAGAACTGAGATGGATGATGTTGTGGCTGGTTTGTGGCAGATAATCACAAGTGACTGCGTTTAATAGAGGACTTTGAACTTTAACAGTGGTAGCATCAGTCCTGTTTCACTTTCACCATTAAAAGTAATTCCTGGAATCTGTAGTGGAGGTCCCGATCAATCTGACTCAAATCAGTCTTTTTGCATCTTTCGAAGAAACAAGTACAGCACATGTACAGTAAATGTTTTAAATGCTCTCCATGTCATCTGTGTAGTTCAGTCCTGACTTCCCTGCAACATACAGTAGTTTCCTTTAAAAAAAAAAATAAAAAATCACTTTGAAAAACAATCTAAACAACTTAAGAGGTGGCACTTTCTGTAGTTTGGATTATAAGCAGTGACACAATTTGATGGCAGGCAGGAGAAAATCAGTAAAATCAATGAGACAAAGAGAGAACATTGATCAATGTAAGGGACATTTTAAGACCATATACGAAAACAAAACCAACATTTGATGCTTAGAGATCAAAAAACAAAGAGAAATCTTTCATTTCATCTGCTCTTGAGTTTTCTGTTTATTGTTTCTGATCGAAGAGCCAGTCCATGTCAAGTCCACTTTATTATTCACACCACTTGTTATTCAAAAGGAACTGCTAACTCTTTCTCTGTTTTCTTTCTCTCTTCTCACACTCTCTGACTTCCTCCTGAGAAACAACTTTAACACCTCGGTTGAGCAAAGTTTATGATGACTGAAGATAAAAAGTGACCGATTCCTCATTTTAGCTGCGGACAAACTGTTGTTACTTTATACGCAGCTTTACAATTACTGACAAAAGAAAGGATACCTCACTGTAAACTAATGTTAAAATACCTGTTTATCAGTTTGTCATTGTATTACAAACAAAGTATGTAAATATGTCTGAATTTACTGTTGGTCTGGGTTTTGTCTAGACAAATAGGATGGATTAAAAGTAAGAAATTTTTTTTCTTAAGAAAACACACACAAAAAAACCCTTCCTCTACTTCTCAGAACAAAAGGGGAACTTGTCATTGTCAGGAAACAAACATGCAAAAGAGTTAATATGGTCAGAGTGTGTGCATTTTTTTCTTAAGCTTGGCACGACATGCGGTCTGTGAAGAAATAACTAATAAAAGGACTCCAATATGGTCAGAAAAGCTAAATACCCAAATTTGTGGCATGGCCTTGCAGACGCTTTTCACAATGTTGGGTTTTCTTTTGCTGACCATCTGCAATTTATTGTCACTTGTGCATAAAAAATGCACTCATAGATTTTTTTTTGTTTATTTCTTAGTATAAAAAAAAAAGAAAAAACTGAACTGTGAACTGTAATCGTCTTCATGTTTGATTGTAACTTTGCTTACCTCTCAGAAAGTCTTATAAAACAGAGGTCACTACACAAACAACAAACCCCTGTGCATTAACCTCCATATCATTTAGCCATTTATTCCTGTGCTTTTTATTCAATGATACCAGAATACAACAGTGAAATTACTTAATGATTTATTGTCACTTTGGATTTCCCAGGCGGCATAGTGAAGCAATTTCAGCCTCAACCCTGCCACCTAGTGCCTGCAAACTACCCCTGCAGTTTAGCATGTTGAACCTATGGTGGATCTGATAGGATGTAAGACAGTGGATTAAAACATAAATCTCTCATGAGAGGAAAATCTTTGTTTAATGAGCAGTTAAAATCAAAGAAAAGAAAGTGCAGTGAGTCCCTGAGGATCACCGGACAGCAGAAACACACAGCAGTGCAGAGTATTACAGATTTGGATTCCCTCCTCCTGAGTTATAAATCAGGTGCAGTTTGGTTGACTTTATCTCTCTGTTTTAGTGAGTAGTTCCAGAGACCATCAGTCTCCGTGAAGAGGCTCAAATGAAATGTCAGCAAATAGTGTGTTCCCACTCCAACTCAACAAAGACACAGTAATGCAGTAAGTACAAACACAGAACCTGCCCACAGAAAACACTTCTGTCTAGAATAAGACATTCTCTGTTTTATTTACAACAGAAAAGGAACTAAGTGTTTATGAATTCCCCTCCCCATCTCAAACAGCTAAGATGAAACCTGAACTCAATTTCAAGTGTGTTCAGGCTTTTTTAGAGTCGCCCATAACAAGTTGTATAACACCAGTGGTACAACAAGATTTCTCTGCTAAGGTAAAGGACAACTTTTAAATTACAAACTCAATTACTGTCTCCTTTCAGGATTTATACTGACAGTAAATGTGTGCTGCTGTAAATCCTGCCTTGTGAAGCTTTGACAGTGGACCGGAGAATAAATTTATGGTCTCATTCTTAGGTTGTTTTTTTCAGAGACAATCTTCCTTTGGCATTTCTCGATGCTTCATCTAAAACATTTACAAAGATTTATTTACACATTCCTACTCCGACATATATTGAGATGTTTTCACCCCAGATTTAGGACCTTATGAAAGCAGTTTAAAAAAAAGAAGTTATGGTTTCACTTAAAGAGAAGTACTGTCAAAACCGTCAAAAACTTGCAGCGGTAAGATGCAGTCTGCTTTCAGGGGGCTTCCAGAGAGGAAAGGTTAAAATGAGCTCTTGCATGATGACTTTTATTGTGTTCAGCAATGTGTAATTTTAATTCAAATGTGTAGCTCCTTCTTAAACCATCTGTTATCCCCTCCCTGCTAGCTACCCACGCAGTAGATGACTACAGTAGTCACTATCTGTTGGCATGGACAAATCCACTACCAACCTCCAAGCAACCAAGGTTCATGCCAACCCCTTGTAGTCTTAAAATGGGTCTTCTCGATCAAGCCGCCACCCCACAGGTTTATTTACTTACTACTTATTTACTGCTGTTTTCTTTAAATGAGGGAGAAAAGTATGAAAAAGTGGCACCGCTAGACCTGTCTGGCTTGCTATGTATATGGCATGCTTTGTGCATTAAGAAGTCTAACAAGTAAAATACAACAACACAACAAAATACCCTTCTATGCATGTCATTCTGGTACACTGGTTGCAACCATAGACTGTATATACTGTGAACAACTTGGTTCCGCCTTTAGTCAGTATACAGATTTTAAGCTGAAAAGCTCTCAGTATTTCCAGGTTTTTCTTTACTTCCTAAAATCAACATTCCGCAGCAGCGTTGTACGCACTCCACCACTTATGCAGTAGTGTTGTACGCATTCAGTAGGAGAGTCGCCGAGAGTCGCTGTGATGACCCTCGGCTCAAACAGTGTATCCCCTGGGTGAGCTACGCAATCTTCGTACGCCCATGGGCTGAATCAAGTGTCCATCATAGAAAACATGAATCCCCTAATAACTTTTAAAAACGGAGGACTTGAACACAAACCAGTCTTACAATTACTACATGTCAACATCGCAAGCAGGGGGGAGAAAAAATTATGATCTGTGTAATAAATTTCCAAAGTGTGTCCACAGCTCCATAGGGATTGCTGGAGGAGGCGGGATTTATGACATATACTGCAGCCTGCCACCAGAGGGTGCTGTTCTCACTGCAAATGGCGTCCATTCTATATACAGTCTATGGTTGCAAGGCCTTATAGGATGTAACTCACTTTTTCAGATGACAAAAAAGGTATTAAAGTGTGCCTTTTATACAAAATTTATGGTAGTTGACATGAAAAGGGAAATGGCCAATGTCAAAGTAAATGTGTGGTAGCTCATAGTTGGGAAGGCTATTCTCTGGCTGACATCACAGCTGTGAATCTATCCTCTCCAAACCCCCTCACCACCACCCCTGCTTTAAAAGTGATGGACTTGCGTACAGGACTTGCAGTTGTTAATTACTGGTGCATTCAAGGATGCTGGGAAATCTGACCACAGATAGGCCTTAAAGACATAAAACAGATTTGTTCTCAGGTTGAACTTGTTTATCAGGAGACAGGATGTTGCTTCGGTGGATTATGTTTAGTCTGTTGCTCTCCGTACAAACTTCGTTTCTGTATGACGCATGTTTGTACGCGCTTGCTCAACACAATAACACCAGATCCTTCCTCCAGATTGTGATTTTTTTGTGTTGAGTTTTATCACGCTGAAATATTTAAGAATAATTAAAGAGAAACATTGAACTGTCAAAGCGGTGCTAATGACGGTGATTGGATCAGTCTGCTTCTGTTGACTAATAGATCTGCGTTCAAGAATGCGCTGTCGTCATCCTGCTGGTGTAAAATTAAATACTCTTTGAGGCTAATGAGAAAGTGATGCAAATGAATGAGATCAATAGTGAGTGTGTGCGAGGGAAAGAGAGTAGAGGAGCCTGAGCGGGAGAAATAAGGGAGGGAATCAGTTATTGGACTCTTTATTAGGAAAGGCACACTTGTCCAATAAGAATACATTATAGTAATTATAAAGTAGTTGTAGTTTAATCTGCGGAGAGTGCCCTGGGCTGATAAACAGCTGGAAGAGACACATCTTGCTCTCCTTTTCCTGTCTCATTAATTCTGTGGGCCACACAGACAGAGACACACACTCATGATGTTATCACCGTCATGGCACGGTTGCATTTCGTCACTGTTGGCTTCCCAGCATCGCCGTACAAGAATGAAAGTGAAAGCAAGACGAGCTATCGCATTAGATTGTGCGCTAGTGTCAGCAGTTACACGTGCAGCCATTGGAATGACACAAAGTATTCACGAAACAATGCATGCAGTGACGTGGAAGTGATAATAGCGCCCAGAGAGTTAGGGAAAAGTTTTGAATCAGACATGATTTTCATCTGAATAAACGATATCTGATGTTTTCCTTCAGAGGCAGAGCCGTGCACTCACTTTCTGTTTTACTGCCCCTGGTGCATGTGCAGGACTGGCAGCTGCGGTCTGATCTGCAGCTCTGGAGTTGACAGAAACGTAGCAGCTTGTAAGGCAAAAAATCCCTCAAAGCTGGAACGCTGCCCACATCTCTCACTCTCTCCCTGGTCATCCATCTCTCGCTCTCGCTGTGCTGTCCGTGCGTTTCGCCAACACAGAACGCGTGAGTGCTTGCAGTACAAATCCATGCACACACAGCCGTGTCATACCTTCAGGAGGGTTATTTGCCTGAGAGTCTCACAGGGTTGAATCCCACGGTGCAGCACATTAGTGTGAAGAAAACATCACATTACAGACAAGCTTTGGGGCATTTTTTGATTTTTTTTTTTAAAGCCACACATAGTTGATTTAATCATGCTTTGATAAAAAATGGACTGCCAATGTCAGTTTGTTTTTTAAGCAGCTGAGTAAAGGCATTTCTTTGGAAAAGCAGGCAAGATTAAGCTTTGCGTTGGCAAGCATCCACTCTATTGAAGTGTCCTTGAGATAATGAATCCTCCCTCATCAGCTCCAGAGAACCCCAGCTGACCCAGACCCACGACACTGAGGACAAAAAGAGATTTTCAAATGCATCTCATCTGTATTAGCACAGGTCCCTTTTTTGGCCCCCAGGGTCCCAATATGATGAATAAGACTTGACCCGTAATTTGAAATCAGAACCTTATTTCAAAACCATGTCCAGAAGGTATTTTAGCATGCTGCTCTTAATCAGTGCACTCAGCGAGGGATTTATTCGCCTGTAGAGGTACAGCAGCCACAGACGCGGCTGTAGTCCTGCAAAAATAGAGTAAAAGAAGGCCTGGAATTGACAAAGCCTCAGGTAAGGTAACTTACTATTTCTTGGATTAGATTTAATCACATTTTTAGGAATGGCATTAATGGGGAAATACAAACAGGGACGCAAGAAGAGACAGAGGACAAAAGGCAAGGAAAGAAAGATAACATGACAAAAGAAACAAAAGACAGAAATGAGCACAAACACAAAAAAGAGAAGCAAAACTACTACATAAGAAAAGACCACAAAGAAAAACAAAGATAAGACTCACACAGAGATTCAACAATGATGCAAGATGACAAGAGAAACCCAAAACAAAGAACATTTGAAAAGCAACTACAAATGTTAAGGAAATGAACCCAAAATACAAAATCTGATTCATCTGTTGGCTGAATAGTCAGACTGATTAATGGCACTTTGCCAAAATCTGCATCACATTGGCCTCTTACAAGGCCAATATCACCATCTTCTTTTCTAAATGTTCACATATCTTTTCCATCACCTGTTAACCGCATATTGAATCCAGAACAGCCACTGACTTGTGTTTTATATGGTATTGAGTGCAGCATCAGTCATGATCTGCAGTCCGTAGCAGAACTCTATATCTGTGTCTTTTAATTAAGTGATATGAAATTCATCTAAAAGATGTAACTGGCTAAGACAAGCATGTATTTTAGATTTTAATGTTTATGAAACAAGGAATTCTTACATGACTTTCCTTCTTTTAATTTTCTAATGTCAATATTTATCACATTTTATTTTTCTTTCTGAGCCATTCCCAATTGCAAGTCTCTTGAAGCAATAATTAACTGAGCCAAATATTTTCCTGTCTATTAGATGAAATATTCAATTTTGTTTTTTATTTGTTAGTATTATCAAAATACCAACTCATTGTGTTTTTGGTGTGATATCTGTGTTATATATCGGACATGGGCCAAGCTGCTCTCTCATAATCTGTATGAGCATCCTGCACTCTAAGACTGTAACCAGTCGACCATGAGCATTTACGAGTTACATTATTGATGGACTTGCCTGTCTTTGTATCTGGAATCCTCAGATATCCCAACTGAGCACAAAGGCTCGGTCTCAACCTGGCTGAACCCTGGCCTGAAGTTTTCTGCTGCCTCTAGTTCGAGTGCTTCTCATCGTCTTGATTCCCTGTTCAGTGGTCCACTCAAAGAACTCAAAGAGCACATTTCAGGACTGTTAAGGTTGTGGTCTCTGCACTCTCATCCTGCCTCAGCTCTTCAAGGAGAGGCAAGGCCTCAACCGCCTTCTCCAGCAGTGCCCTCTAGTTTGTTGTCAGTGGAGCTGTGAGTATTCTGTTGGATGTTTGGTTTTTGGATGTTTTTTCAAATTGGTAGTATTGACCGCAGCTCTACCCTACCTAACACAGTTATTGTGTTGCATTTGTTGAAAGGAGCAGTTGGACTGTTTTTTTTTTCTTTCTGGTTTAAAATATTTCCACACTGTGAACATGTTAGCCATGAGATTGCTAATACTACGAAACTCACATGGTTTCATCATTTTAAAAACTGTTACCGGTTTTCAACAACTGACCTGAATAAACAGGGTGAACTGATTGGCTTACATTCTGATCCCTGACCAATTAAAATAGACCCAGTTTGATTCAGATCTGACTTTGGGTCGGGATCAAAACAACTCTAGTTGCACCGAATCACAGTTGGTCTGTGTTACTTTCAGACCGCCCCTATATGGTTCAGACCAAGTGATCTACAGACCAATGTTGTGAGAGGGGTGAAAAAAAATGTTCTTAAATTTTTTAATGTGAATGGATGAATTGGGAATTAAATTTTCCTTAAAATACTTGGAAAAAATGTTGCTAGGGGAGATCTCTGGAGTGGAACTTTAACTACAAAAAAAGAATATCAATAATGGGTATTTAGACTGCTTTAGCCTGCCTACTCTTGTTCACCCATCCAAAAGAAAAAAGAAAAAAAACCTTTTGCAACTTCTCTCTACTCAAGCTTCTCTTTTTTATGCTGTCATTAACCAGTGAACCACTGTCACCGGTGCCTGCTCTGTTCATCTAATGGAGCTTTGCTGCTGCTCACCCTGCCTTGGCTTTTTATGTTAACACATAGGGCTCTATTTTCGTGCCTCGCCGGAGACGTGCTGCAGGCGAGGTGTAGGTCAGGTCCGCCGCGCCGACAGGGCGTTCCCAAGCACAATTTGGTATTTTAGTGAGTGGCGCAGCCCGGCGTAAGTATCCCCCCTCCCTACCTCAGCTCCTCCCAGCGGCATAAGTCGTTGCGAGGGAGGAGAGAGGGCGTGGAGTGGGTTTAGCAAAGCTGAAACCTGTTTTCACCAATCACATAAGCACTGGCACTCTACATAGGCATTCGAAGGGCATGGTTCCTCCCAGAGCAGAGCCATAAGACCAAATATAACTATTGTGTGAAATTATTACTTCTCTTTGCTAAAAAGGGTTTCTAACTGACCCTCACAAAGACAAAAACCTTTTCAAGAAGTTCAAATAAAACCATAAAAAGCTTAGAAACAATGATAAATTATGCAAGCGGACTACTTATAAATCATGTTAAAAGCCAAAAATGAACCAAAGAAAACAAAAAACAAGAAGAAAAGAGTCTAGAAAAAGATTAATGATAAATAATGCATCCATAATTTTGAATCTGTTGAATTCTTTGTGTCTTGCTCATACACAGTGAGGCAGCCTATTACTCCTCTCTGCCCAGGAGGCAGTTGTTTCATAATCCGTCTATGACTATGAATGCATGCATTCGTGAACACTGTACCTTACATTCACGTGTCAGGCTACTCTCTTTGAAGTGTTTGAAAGGCAGATGACAGATGAGTGCATTTTCATAATATCGTCATCATCCATTCAGCCTAATTTATGCTTTCCTCCTCTTCTCTCCATTTCTCTTTGTCACCAACTTTTCATTCCTGAGTGCATTTAGCCAGGAGGCAGTTTACGCTTCTTCCCTCCACATGTCCTTTCTGACACTCTGTCCATCTTAAGTGTTCACCACTAGATCTCTCTTCCTTATCTTTTACTTCTTCTTGTGCTCAAGTTATTGTTCTAAAGTTTATTTGCAGCATCTCTACTAAAACACACCAGCACAGGATTGGATTGGAGCCTGATTTCATGGATGGAGGGGACATTTTCACCGCTCTGACATTGATCGTCTTCAGGATTTGACGGCCTGACATGAGTTCTGATAGTGGCTGTTAAAGGTTACAGATGTAACAGGCGAAAGTTAGGTTGTAAAATCTGATTGTTCAAAGAAACGCATAAAAGCAGCCCTCAGAGCAGGACTCTTTCACCCATCTCTTAATCTGCTTCTCCTCCTGTCTTTCTCTCTTTCTTTTTCATCCTTTCTCCGCATCTTTACCCTCCCTTCCTCCCTCCGCTCTCCAACTTTCCTCTCCCTCTGCTCCCTGCAATCCCTCCTCCCCCTCCTCCTTCTTCTCCTCCTCCTCCTCCCGTCAAACATCACACAATCCCCTCCTATCCCAATCCAGTGCACCCTCCCTCCCTCCCTCTTCCTTTATCTCTCCCTCCCTCTCTCTTTCTCCCCTTCATCTCACCTCCAGCCAGCGAGAGCTCCCTCCTCCTCCTCCTCCTCCTTCGAAACAGCCCGCCTGATCCCATCCACTTTCTCTCTCTCTCTCATTCTTTACCTCTCACTCTCTCTGCTGTCTTGTCTTTTATCTCTCTCTTTCCTTCTCTTTCTGTCTCTTTCTCTCTTTCCTATCCTCCACTTTTTCTCCAGCAGGCAGACGCTCGCGAGCATCGCTGTTCCCTCCAACCTCTGAGGATCCAGAAGCACTCGGGACGAAGACTGTCACTGGAGGTAAGTGTCCACAGTATGACAGAGTGCGTGTGAACATGTACCTGCATCCTCTTCTTTTAAAAGCAGTTAAAACGAGTGGAAAAAAAGAAGACATTAAAGGAAGAGACACATTGATGTAGCAGAGAAAAAACAGCTGTTCTGCAGTATTTGGATAGTGACGTGACTGGAGAGTAAAAAGATGTGAAAGCGGCAAACTGCACCGGATAAGGATGCCAGTTACAATGATGTAGCTAGTGTCATGGGAAAGTTGAAGGGAAGCAAGAAAAAAGAAGGGATGGAGCAGCCTGAATTGTCTGCTGCATTAAAAAAAGAGTGAGAGAGAGAGTTCAAGGAGATGGAAAGCAAAGCAAGAAGGAAATAGGGACTTGAGAGTCAACAATCCAAAACATGAAAAATAAATTAGAGAACAGCTAGAGGAGAGAAAGCAACAGAAATATTTAAAACGAGAGAGAGAGAGGGATGGAGATGTCTCCCTGGTGAAGCAGCTTGCATGCTTACAAATGCAGCGGTCCCTTCCTCCTCCTTCTTCGCTCCCGTAAAAAATCCCATTCACAAACAGGACCTGAAAACAGGAGATGGTGATTGGTTCCCCGAGCGCTGTGTGCGTGCTTCTACTTTATTGTGTGTATGTGTGTGAAAGAGAGGAAAAGACAGAGCGAGACAGATTGGGGAGGGAGAGAGAAAACCCATTATGGTCCTGTGCAGGTGATGCTGAGGCTTGAATGAAACTGCAGGGCAGACGCCTGTACATTATCCATATTACGCAGTCCATTCTAGATTGAAATGTAGAGACTGAGTATGATGGATGAAGGTGCTGCATTTAAATTTGTGAATCTGTTTTGTCATTGGCATGACCTATTGTTACAACAGCAGACAGATGTGCGGACACCACACCACACCACCCTCAAACTCTTTTTTTTTTCACCCTCAACTCTTTTGCCTTCATTGCGTCATTCTTACTGCTGTTCCAGACTGCCGCTGTCACTGTCACAATCCCGCTGCCACCGCAACCCGCCCAGATTAACAGCTGTCCAAAACGGTGATGCTCTCCTGGCTCGCCCGTGCCGTCCAATTAGAAAGTGACATTTGTTTGGGAAGGGAGGGAGAGAGGGAGAAAGGGAGGGAGGAAGGGAGCAGCTCTGGCTTAAGAATCGGAGGGCAGGGAGTTGATGAAAAGGGAGGAGAGATAGAGGTATGCAAGGCAGGAAGGTGAGAAGGAGATAAGGTTACATCTTACCTGCTTAAATCCAAGTGTTAGAGGAAGATTGATGAAATTTGACTCTGATTAAAACCACATAGAAGTCAAGCTGTTGGAATATTCAATTCAGAACTGAAAATGATGAATCAAATAACTGCCATTGCTATCCCCACACCCATGCACCTTACACCACCCTTTTTAAGAGCATACCCTGATGGACCGGATTAAACAATCAATAAAATAAATTACATGGTGGTACTTCTCCTGAGGACAAAAGACCATATATGGCAGATTAAATCCAGGTTAAGAATATGTTTTTTAAGCTTTATTGTGAACTAAATTAAGAAGTGCAGATTTTTAAAACAAGATATTTCACTCCTTTGGTACCTCTGCAGAAATTACACGGTCGCCAAGGATTTTGAATCTGGGTTTACGGAGCCAAACCTGTCTGTGTGACCTTGCACAAATTGGCTTTGTGGGTCAAGGTTATAGCTCTGAGCCAATTCAATTAATGACTTAAGAATGAATAATGCAATTTTGATCTGAATCAACGAACGAATGCAAGTCTGAAAAATCAACACTGGTTGAATGATTTCATGCTCAATGGCAGAAAGAAATGCGGACGTTCATTTAAAGGACCATGCCCACAGTACAGAATAAAAAAAGTTTAATTGAAATCTGTTAAAAACCCAGGTGAGATGGGATGAGTCGGGATTGAGGTGGGAAGGGAAGACTGGTCAAGAATTTCCCATTTGTTCCTGTGTTTAGGAGATGGGATAGGAAAGGGGGGAGGAAAGTGATTGAGTGGAGGTCTTAAGAGCTGAGACAAACCGGTAAGAAAGGATTAGGCTTATGCACATGCACACGAGCAATGGTGCGAGGGAACAAGTTAAATAGATTCAGGCGTTTTATTTGGTGTCAGAGGTGTGGTCCTGTTCTTGAATTTATGTTACAGGAACTTCATTAAAAGTAAGGAGACAGTACTCCGCACATTAATTGCAAACTGAAAGGCTGTGGTTGCAAAGGTAAAGCAGGAGAATGTGTCCTTTGGCAAGACACCAAACCACAAATTGCTCTCAAAGGCATCACTGTCAGTATGTGTTTGAATATGAATGCATCTGGATGGGCAATTCCACACTTTTCATGAGTCTCTTACCTCATTGCAGAAATTTGTGTCTGAATGGTTGAATGTATGTAAAGAGTTTGCTGAGGTGGAAAAAAAAAATAGAAGGGCTCTTTGTACTTGCTGTCCATTTTCCATTACCCTTTGTGAATCAGAGTGATCCCACATGTCTGGAGGATGACTTTGTATTGTGAGGCATAAAACCAGCTTGTCAGGCTGCGTGAGGAAAATATAATTATGTCAATCTCATCCTCATTAAGCTGGCGAATTAACACGATATCCAACACTTAAAGTCCTCAGAGCAGTCCTTTAGGGCAACCACATTACAAGAATCAGTGGTGTTGAAACAAAGTTATACTTGTATATTGTCAGCATGTGCAGCAAATGAATATTGACCATAATTAGAGAAAAGAGTGAGTCTGTATGGTCTATTCTACATACAACTCTTACACCCCTAAAGCAGTCCCATAGAGCAACCAAGCTTTAACGACCTTTTGGGGTTTCATGGACAAATAAATTGTCTACCATCTGCTTATATAAAAAACATTATAGTGACCAGGGGCAGGCACAAATAAGTAATGTTTAGGAAAATAGGGTTATATAACTTGGAAGACAGAATAGGAGAAAGAGAGAGAAAGAGAGTCAGGGGGAAGCGAGAAATATGGTTTGTCCAACTGTAAGGGAGAGCACAAAGGAGTATTCAGTGTTCTTCTGAGGCATGACGCCAAGTTGTCAGGCTGTCATAGTAAAAATATGATTATGTCCATTTCGTCTCCATTGTGCCAGAGGATCTAAACAATATCCAGGACTCAAAACCCTAAGAGTTGTCCTTCAGAGCAGTCACATTGCAAGAATCGGTATGGATGATGATATTCATGTATGTCATCTGCATATAACAAAATACTGACTGGGGGAAGCTGCATATACGCAGAGTGAAGAGGAGGGTTTGTCAGAGATATCTAATGAAAGCCTGAAAAGAGGGTAAGAGGGTAAAATATCCTTGGAGACAGAATTAGGCAGAGGAGTTGAAAGGAGGCAAGAATTTTAGTTGGTCTCACTGGGCATGGGAGCATGCACAGATGTTAAAATACCAGGAGCCCGGCTTGGTAATGTAAGGCTTGACGCCAAGTTGTCAGACTATGTGAGAAAAATTTAATTGTTAACTTTATCCTGATTTAATTGGAGAATGTATCTGGCATCCAATAATTATCCTCAACAGTCTTTTGAGGCAGCCAAATAAAAAAAAAAACTCTTGGATTTACAGAGATATAAAAGTTTATCGTCTGCATAGAGACATAATGTCACAATGACTAAGGGTAAGCATTGTAGTACGGAAAGAAAGAGTTTGTCACCAATTTTAATGCATATACCGTAATTTATGACCATATTTCAACAGAATACATTCCTAAGATTCAAGATAAACGATAAACATATTCTTACATTAACATTTATCATAGGCAACTAAATTTGAGGAAATAACCTGTTAGCTCAGCAAGCACATTGTCATATGGCTCCCTCTGAATCCACAGTAAAAGCTCAATTTTTCTAACATACTAGAGGTACATTTATGGACTGAGATATGGCAGAGGAGTACCGCAGGCACATTATATATCACAGAGATTCCCATAGGAATGAAAGGATATCTGACTCGCCTCCATGCTCACGCTGAAGTGGAAATGAGGCGTGTACATTCTAATAGCATTCCTTCTGAGCAGTCAAGCAACACAAATTAATAGGGTTAATAGGAAGAAATAACTATGTATCATCTGCGTATCGAAAAGAAACGTAACTACCAAAGTAAGGCAGCAAAGAAAGAGAGGAGTAAATGGTCTCTGGAGGAAAATTTGAAAGGTAATTTGGAAAAGAGGGCGGAGCATCCTGAAGACAAAGGGGGGTTTAAAGAGAGGGAGGATTTTTTGCAAGCCTCACTTTTAAGGAGTGCACAGATGTAAGTAGCCAGTATTATTAGGATCAACCTATTCCATTATAGCTTTTATGAAACCGTCTACACACCTTTCTCGACCTATTTTGCCGCCCCCTGCACTCACTTTCAACCCTTGTAACCTCACATAACACATCCCCATAAACTTTATTACAACCTCTTCTTTTGATATAAAAGTCAGCCATGATACATGGTAGCATATCTTTTCTTGATTTCATGGGATTTCAGCGGTTTAATGAGCAAGGGGCTCTGTGGAGTGTGAAATACCCAGGTGTGATTGAATGCTCTTTGGGGACAAGACCTCACAGTAAGGCTAGGAACGCTTGTGCATGTGGGAGGGAGACGATTGGATATGTGTATCTGAGAATTGTATGTGGTGGTAATGAAAGACAAGGAGAAGGACAGAGGTGTGGATGAGCGAATGTGATAAGGACAAAGGGAGAAAGGAGAGAGAGTGAATGTGTGTGGGGGGGCTTAAGTGTTTGGGCAAGCATTGGAAACAAGTGTAGGAGAATTTCAGTCTAGTGTTTAAGTCATGGGGACGGTGACAAGTGGACAAGAAAATTGTACAATTTGGTGCAAGTACCGAAGCATGGTCCAACTAAATACTTGTTTGTATTGAACATTTGTGGTTTCGGTTGTCGTAGTAATTACTCAGATATCGTGCAGGAGGGACGTCAAGTGCCTCTAAATGGTGGTTTTAGGTGGCTCTTCTCGCCTTTTAGTTTAGATATGTGTATCTGTGTGCGTGCCTCACAGCCGTCACACTTCATAGATCCAAACTCATTCTTTTCCACACTGACACATTATCCACTCCTGTTTACCCATGTTGTGTTTTGTTCAGAGGCAGCCCGCCAACACTGTTGCCAACACATCTGCTGGACTCAATGGGTGTCTTCATTTGAAAACTGCAAAACAAAATGAGAAATTCTCCATTTGGAAAAGCTGACTCATGTTTCTGAGATGGGATGCAAACATTCAGCAACAAAAGCATAATATGATGGGCATTTTATGTGTTGATTCTCAGTAATGGTTTAGTCTTCACTCTGGTTATATCATATTCAGTTATATTTCCAATCCGTCTAAGTATATGGGAAAATATAGAGTAGACTCTTTTCTGTTTTCTTCTACATTATGGCTATAGCCCATTATGGAGTTACTGAACCAGAGAACTTTGGATCAATTGTTTATACAATTGTCCTTGTACTTCATAAATAGCATCAACGGGGGATGCTGGCTTGTTATTACTATCTACCAAAATATTATCCAAACTGGTAAAGTCATTCAAGACAAAACTAGTTTACTTTAATAGTAAAATATCAACTGGTTCAATCATTGAAACTGTCCAGTGGTGCCTGTTTTAAGTTAGCTCAAATTGACTTGTTGGCCAATGCAACAGATGCTAAGCTGATGGTGGGTAGCCATTAGCATGGCAAAGTAGTGACCACTTGTAATGGCGAAAATTGTTGAGAAGACAGTTTCTGACAAAAATTGGTCTGAAAAGTTGTTCTGTGCAACAGCTTATTACAACAGTTTAAGTTTTTGGCAGCGACCTCTTGTGGCTGGAGTAACTGTGACAAGAGGAAACTGGCAATGTGGTTCAAAGAGCAAAGAAAGTGTTGACAGATTGGTTATTTAGTCTGATGGATGGGACACAAAAACAATAGTTTAACTCAGGACTCTTGCTTGGAACCAACGTCACTGCTGACCTCATTAAGCTAAGTCTGTAACTGCTTTGACTAAATGTACAGACCTGAGTCCTTTGCGGTTTATTATGTATTGTTGGGGTGCCTTTGCTTTGTATTGCCAGTTGCCCTCTGGCTGCCTTTTTTCCCTCTTTGTTGAGCAGCGATTTGATTGTGGATGTGAGTGAGTAAAATGGAAGCCTGCCAGTGGGTGGACTGGGTAAGGAAAGTTCTTTTTAGTGGGATGATGGAAGGGTGAGTGTTTGCGGGGGCTTGTTCTTGTAGTTGTAAGAGTATGGGGGAGAGTCTGTTGATAGTGAGCAGTCAGAGAAGTGGATACTTCTAAACAAATATCAATAGAAAAATTTACACTTGGAAAATGGGAACACGTTTTTCATCTCTTTTGATATTTTGACCTTCAACTTTTTAATATTTTGTGCTGTCATCATCTGTTTCCCCTCGAATGGTGACTTTGGACTCTCTACTCTGTATTATTGCGCCATTGTTCAAATCTGCCATCAGCGTTAATCTTTGTCCCATTAGTTTTTTCCTCTCATCCCCCTCCACCTGTGCACTGATTTGTAACTGTTAGATAAGTTGTGACTGCTGAGCATATGGTCACCTCATCACTGTGGTTTCTTCACCACTTAAGAGGTTGTCTGGATAATTAAAAACACAGTTATCATCCAAGTCACAGAAGTCGCTTAGAGATAATTTGCACTTGTGCTGATTTTGTCACGAACAGCACAATTAACCCTGTGTTCTGGGCTCTAGTTAAAAGACATTAATTAAAGCAAAGATTTAGATAAAAAGAGTGAAGGAGGATTTTTTCTTAATTATATTGCTGAGGTGACTGGTTTATAATTATTGGTCTGTTATCATTACTGTGCTGTCTTTGTTGATATCACACATTTTAACCATTGTATTAGCACTGTAGGAATAAACTGTTTGGTGTGTTACTTTTGGTGCCCTTTTACCCTTTATTCATCTCTCTTTTTCAATCTCTATTCATCTCATGGCCCGGCCACTCACAGCAGATTGGCTATTCACCAGGTGTCTGACTCTGCTCAAGGTTTCTGCCAGTAAAAAGAAAGTTTTCCATGCCAGTGCTGCCAAAAGCTTGTTCATGGTGGGCCCATAGGTCCCAACATAGATTATGCAATATGATGCAGTAAAATGCAATAGTACATGATACATTGCGGTAAGATATGATAGGTTACAAGAGGATACAATGTGTTAGGATGCAGCTCAATATGATACAATGTGATATTATACAATAAGATACAATGGGGTTCAATACAGTGTAATACAATGTGATATGATGTGATACTATTGGATGGGATAAGATACCATAAAATAAACAATAAATGATACATGATATAATATAATGCAACAATGTACAATCCCAAATTCTTTATATAATGCCCACAGTAATGAAAATATATTGCTAAAACTGGCGTGTGAATCTGTTAAAGGGGTCATATTAACTATTCTGCACTCGTGATATAATTGTATCATACAAGTCAGGAAGAGGATATATTGCTATATCAATATTTTGCCTTACTAGTAGCACATATCATATCAGGGACTAATCTTGCTCATGATATGGTGCTACACAATAAAAAAATATAGATTTATTGATGGTTTTAGAAAAGTCGAGGGTTAGGTGACAGTCAGAAGAATCAGAATCACAGTTACTCCAGCCACAATCCTTGAAGAGACACACAGCCTATTTTATGCTAATACAACTAAAAGGATTATTTCTACCCAGGTAAACACACAGGCAATCTCTGCACTGATGCGGGGCACAGTTTAAATGAACAAATTACTCCCCTAACCTGCCACCAGCCACCCAATCATATCCCTACAACACACCTTAAAGATGCCCCTGATAGCTTAATATGCGTAAACAGAAGGTTGTGAGCCGCTGACAGGTTCCTTTGAGGCAGCCATGACAAGTCTTCATCGCCAAGGTCAAGGACAGATGTTGTGCGAAGCAGGCTGCATCTGGAGAGCGCTGGATGATCAGTGAAAAACGTGCCTGACGCTACCAGTCTGGGGCTTATTACCATGTGTGTGTGTGTATCTGCCAACATTGTTGTAACATTGTTTGTGTGGATGGCATCAGTGCTGGAGCAGGGCCAACAGAGCTGATGAGTAATTATGAGCATGAAACAACAGCTATTTCCTCATGATATTAAAGTTAAGCTAATGATTGAGTAAGTGATGGATGGTGGGTACGCAGACAGCTTGAATTTTTAAGGTCATGAGAAGGTGTGCACAAACACAGAATGGTAAGATCTCAGGTATTAGTCTGCTCTTTGATGGTTTCATTGCAACATATGCATAATCTGAAAGCCTTTGATTAAAAGGTGTTGCAGCTCATTTTGCTCCCTCTTCTTTCAAGTTGTCTCACTGCAGCTTTTCCCATTTCGTCGTCACACATACCTTCATGCGCACTAATTAGCAACTTAACTTTTCTTAAATGTTTCAGAAAACTGATTCTTTTCTTCAGGGAGAACTTTGGGTCCAAAGGTTGTTGGAGCTATTTGAAGAGGTTGGTCGCCTTTTCTAAGGACAGCGTTGACGCTGAAGTTTGAATATTTTTAGCCAGGTTAAAAAGTCCACTCTAACTTTAGGCTGTCGCACAGGTCAGTGCAGTGCAACAGGAGTCAGCCCACTTCCAATTAGAAAACTCACGACCTCTTTAATGAGATCATTAACAAGCTGGCGGTCAGATGGGACGGAGAGCGAGCAAAAACGGATTGAGACTTTTCTTATTTTAGTGCTCGGTTCTTTTTTTTTAGAAGGGAAAAATTAAAGAGGATGATGATGTGACCTAATTATCAAAGCCACTTTAAGCCTCCATCTTTGGGGAACAAAGGCCAGGTATATATAGACTTGCATGTTTTCAAAGTAGTGAATAGCATTGATGCTAAGGTAACACGTTTCCTTAGCCAACAAATGTAAACATGCTCTAAATATCTGTGATATCTTGGCGTATTGTGCAAATAATGCCACGGAATGTTTTCAGAGGGCAATTTAATACCTTTAATCTACTTGAATATGGCCGCAGTCCAGCAATTATGCACACTAATGCAACTTTTGATTGGCAAAAAAATTTAGCAACTCTTAATTTAGTAGTTGATAACCAAACTAAATTCTATTTTTAATTAATTATAAACAGTAGCACAGGGTTAGGGTTATATTTTTAAAGGATACTGAGACAATTCGGGGAATAGGCTGACTTGAACAGGGGTTACAGTCTAAAGCCAGATCTCTACAAGTTCTTTTTTAGGGGAGCAATACCCAACAGCCACTGCTAACTACAGATACATGAAGGCTGAGAAGTTTTTACAGGACAGAGAACTCTTTCAGACTGGGGAGAAGCATGCATATTAGATTGAGAGTGTGTCTTCTGCTGCTCGCTATGACTGACACTTGTAAATGTGCTTATTTTTCACAATAAGAACAACTATGGAGAAGACTAGACATTGTGAGTCTTAAATGTATACATTTCCATTCTCATGTGGCTGCAAATCAACATTTCGTAGTTTTAACTTTGCTCTGTGTGACTTTATGCCCTCTGAGATTATAACTATGAGCCTACTGTGCATGTTGATGTTCAGTGTGCTTGACCATTTTTACATCCCTAGAAGTTCTGCAGCTTTGCCCTTATGTCACTGAGGAAAATATATGATTTAGAAAAACATGCATGTGATGTTATTGTCAAGAAAATTTCTATGCTTTTTTAAAACCTGTAATCCAAAGCTGATAGTGAACAGTATGACGTTTGCAATGAACTCAGCATAGTAATTTGTGTTTTTAATTTTGTGGATGTAGAAAGTCTGAAACTTTAATTTTTGGCACATTAACAGAGTCAACTCACCTCCTATAATCAAATTCAGACTCCTAAACTGTGTTCTTCACGCTTCAGCTACAAAACTGATATTTCAAAAAAGTGGAGCACTGCTTTGAATTCTGTACCTGTTCCCTGTCCCTGTTGCAAATCTAATATTTTCAAAGCAGGATTATTCAAAGTAATGAAAAGTTTTTTAGCTCCCAGCACAACAGAAATGAAAAAGCAGGAAGGGAAACTATCTTAAAGGCTCATGGTGCCCTATATGCACAGAGCAGTTATCTCGACACAGCTCCTGCTAATGTGGAGCAGCGGACTGCCAATGGTTAGGTGGAATTGCATTATCAACCCATGAAGTGATCGACAGCTCATCTCAATAGCAGAGATGAGGCGAGAGAAAATGTGTAGCCTGGCAAAGCAGCATTCATTAAGAACAATATCCATCAATTGTTCTCTCATGTTATACATTTTGATGCATATCCCGCCCCTCAGGAGCAAAAAGCGGCACTGCTGCTGGGAAGTTTTCCTTCCATTCACGGCTGCTTTCTCTTACAGTACTTCCTTCGAGTTTGACCTTCATTTCCAATTCCCTGACTCTACATTTAATTTAATCCACAATCCTTATCCCATCATCCACACGCTCCGCCTCAATCTCTGCATTTTCTTTGCCCGCTTCCCTAAGTTTTCTCAACAGAAAATAGGACCAGCCACTGCGAGAGTACCCTGATTCATTCAGACTAGAGTCCAACAGGGTTTTAAAAATGTTCAATCTGACCTGGAACTGACCTGAACCCAAAGCCAATGTTTTAACATTAAAGCTTTCTGCTGCTCACCCTGTTATACACCATCTGTCTTGTACAAATGCCAGTGTGCAGGTTATGCAGTGAAAGCAGAGGAAAAGTGTTCAGGCAAGAATCGTATTAGAAATTCTTCAGGTGTCACACCACTGATGCCAGTACCGCTATCTCTTTCCTATACTTCTTTTTTGGTTGTTTTAATGGCATTGTGCCTTTATTATTGACAGAAAATTCTACTTTTTCTTAAACAAACACTGGCAAAAAATACAAACACATGCATGAATCAAGAGGTTAAGTTCAGGGATCCAACCAGCTGCAGATGTGTTGAGGAATACTGCTTTTGTGAATTTAGGACTTGCTGTATCAGCCCAGTTAAAGAAGTGCTCTGACACCGCTACCTCTCAAAATGTGGTATTACTGATCATGTTACCTGTGTGCTACCAAGTAAAGTGTTTCATTTTTATCATTGCATAAAATAGGAAACAAAACCAGTGTAATCTTTCCCAACCAATAGTTTGTATGCTTTCAATCAGGCTTTTATCTGAGTTGTATCCGCTAAAGCTAAATCCTTGGTTATGGGATCAATATTAGGAGGGGAAGAGAAAGTATTAGAAAACTTGAATATACTGTATTCTGCTGAATAACTGTGCATGTGCTGTGACTCAGCTCCATGAACAAGAAAGGGCAAGAACAAAAAGAAGAGTCTTCAGGACAACAAAAACTAATGATCCATCCATCTAGGGTCAAACTCTTTAAATGTCAGGCTTTTAATGGAACTTAATTGCAGGCTTTTCACCTTCGTAGGCCTGGCCTGTGTTGATTCAGGTGTGTAATGTAATGGCATAAAGTTTTAAGAAGAGCCAAGGCGATCATGTGGGCTCAGTTGTTTGAACTTATTTTTAAACTTGAAAACTTTCTTAAACTTGTGAAACAACTTCAGATATAATCTTTATAGTTTCATGATCCTATCTTTAAAATTAGAAACACCTTCTTCACATTAATGGTCAAGTATAACCATACTTGTTTCAGTTCGATGGCTGTAATGTGAATACAGCGTTGGTTCAGAGCATGGATTTACAACATGCAGACCCTGTCAAAATGACTGTGGAGTGGAAAAATGACACTTGTTTGAATGATCCCGATCAATATGGAGGCATACAGCTCTGTTCCTGTGGAACATGGATCAAAATGATTGAAGTTACATTCCCCTGTGGGCTTCAAGCAATAAAATACATTTCAAGGGCTGCTCTTACTTTGATGTATTCATTTAGAATTCCTATCACTGATCTGATCAGGCAGTATAGATGAAAGCGAGCAGCAGAAGCAACACTTATGACAAAGTTTATACCATATTGCACCACACTCTCAAATCAGTCATATCCAGGTTAAGGCATGTGTATGCGTTATGAGCCTGTGGACACATGACTCTTCTATGCATGCATGTGACTCAATTTTGCAGTTTTATTCAGATGTTAAGATTTGTCTAATAGAAATGTGCAGGGCTATGACTATCTGCGTCCACTCATTTCCTCCCCTGAAGCTATAACTCAGTTACACTGTTTCTGTCCTCAGTAGCTTTATGAATGACTGCACATTTCTTTCCTTTCATATAAATGTGCATATTCCATCCTCGAGCCTCTGCCCGCTTCCACCCATTTCCAACCCTGCTCTCTTGTCTAGGCATATAGGCCTAAGGCGGGTTCTCAGCACTCGAGCATGCATGTGTAGACCAAGTGTGTGAGTGAACATGAGAGACTTCGAGGGAAGTGTGTTAGGACGTGCATGTCCCGCTCTGAGTTGGTGTCTTTGTGTATGAGGTGGCGGGAGTGAGCTTTCACTGCTGTAACTGTTTTATGGTGCAAGGTCGAAACAGTGTTCTCCCCCTTTAAGATCTGCAGGAGCTGCTGTGATGACAAGAGGGTATGAGCTACTGCTGCTGAGGCATCACTGCTGGGGTCATTGGGATACAAGGCAATGTACAGATACTGGGGGAAAACTGGCATCCTCATGCACACTTAGAAGGGATGAACCGTAATGTCAGCTCATTGTATGATACGGTAAAACTGTACACCCTGACACGACACAACATGAAATTATATATGACCATACCCCCAACAAATGATACCATACTATATTACACAACACAAAGTGATATGATACCATACAATACTATACAACACAAAGTGATACAATACAATACAATTCTATACTATACAACACAGAGTCATACGATATGATACAACACGACACATGATGATAAGACACAACAAGATATGCTACAATATGACTGTTATCTCAACAAACAATACATTACAATAACATACGACATGACATAATACAATATGATATGGGACGATATGATACGAAACGACACAATGTGATTCAATATGATACTATATGACCACACTCTCAACAAATGTTATGATACAATACAATACAACCCAACGTGATACGCTACGATACATTACGATAAGACACGACATAATATGATATAATATGAGCATACTCTTCATGAATGATATGATATGATACAATATGACATGACACAATACAATATTATACAACACAACACGTTTGGATACAACGCGCAATGATATGATACAATATGTTGGGATGAAATATGGTGCAATATGGTATGGTACAGTATGAGATGATGCAATAAGATACCACAGAGTACAGTATGTCAAGGTGAGGTAGGGTGTGACACAAGACAACGTGATATAACGCTACGATACAATGCAGAGCTAGGTTTACTTTTTTTTTCCACAAAATTTGAATAAGTAATTAAGTTACTAAGTTTATGTTTAAGGGTTTGTAGACGAGACTGTCTCAAAACACTTTTTGAGTTTACTTTTGCTTTTATACTGTCTTACTCCAATGTTACTGTACTGTAAAAAGTTACTTGACAAAGCAGATGGGTTAGCCATTTCATGTTTGTGCCACCAGGCAGATCTAGGGTACCTGCAAAGCTTTAAGCTGGTATACTCTCATGCCAGGTCAGGAAATGATCAGACCAGTCAGCTTCATTTGAGGGGAAAGGAGAGGTAGTATGTTAAGTTGGGGCGAGCATCTATGCAATGGTGCATGTGAAAAGCTGAATGCAGAATAGTGGCAGGTTTATTACAACTAGATCTCTTCTGACTTGTATTGTGAAAAGTTAGTGGGTATCGTCATTCATCAGGTTCACAGCATATAAAAATGGTAAGTAAAATAGCAATAGAGTTGAACAATCACATTCGATGATTGTCTTGTGACTGCAATATGTTTTAATGCCCTGATTTGACAGTAATTTATGTGACAGACAGAACATTTGTTCAGTGACACAGCTCCAACACCCTATAGGCTGACATGACTGGCTAAAGAGAATTATCCTAACAGTCACCCTCCTAGGTTTTTGAAATCATAGGGGACTGACAATCATAGGGGGCATTTTGGAATACATTTATAATTATGCCTCTTGATATCACATTTCTCATTTCACATTCTATTATATTCTTGTATCTTTTTTTTTTTTTTCAGAACAACTTGAATTTCACGAGGAAACACCCCAAAATTTGAAAAACATTTTTTAAAAAATGCATATTTGACTAAAAATGAGGAAAAATGCTGAATGCAACTTTTTTTTAATTGTAGAAATTTAAAAAAAAATGATAAAACAAAATCAAAATTGAGGTAATATCAAACTAGATCAAATATTTTCAACAAAACCTTTATTTTTTTGGTGTTCTTTGAATTTTTTTTAGCTGCCGCACCATTTTTGGGGTGACACATGCACAAGGTAAGATAGTAGTAAGACAATTTGTCAGCTATTTTATTTCAGGGGGGTCACTCAGGTATTGCCTGTATGTGGGAAACTGTATACATCAGATGTAGGTGATGTAATGCTGCAAACAAGAAGTCAAAGCCTGACAGTGCCCGCTGCTCTCTTTAAAGGGTCTCTCCCTTATTTCAAATCTCAGATGTAAATTGTCCCCATTGTGTTCTGTTCTGATTTTCAGCTGCCTTGAGCACAAATACATCCCCAGCGCTCACTGCTCACTGATGCAAATAAATACATGCACACCATACCACCAGTTGTGACAGCCATGTAAGAATGAGAATTTGAGCTGTTGTGTGGATATCCAGTCAGTGCTTCCCTTACTCCACCGAACACATCATTATCCAAGTGTTAGGATCCCCTGACAGTCTATATTTAGTAAATCTCAAACAACCACCAGTGGACGCAGAGCTGACAATTCATGTGTCGATATACAAACTGCAAGTAATGACGCACTAAATGAGATGTATTGACAGCAAGACCCTTTAAGATAATTTCCTAATTAGGAGCAGAAACAGTAATAAGAACAATTATCACAATATTATGAGAGGACAATACCATGTGGCACCTTCTCTGACATGCATTCTGGCCGGTGGACTCAAGGTTAAACCTCCTTGCTTTTGTTAAAACAAATCTGTGGACAATGTAGGCAAATGTCCCCAGACACACGGCTTTATGTCCGGTGAATTTACCAAGTCGTCCAACTGTGACTTTCCTCTTCTCTTCCTCACTGCCGCTTTTTTCTTTACCACCCCAACCCCACCCCCCCCAATCTGCCGCTCCTCTTCCCTCTCCCATCACAGACGTGGTCCAGAATACAAATTGTGTTTTCCCTCCTTTATTTGGGTAGCCTATAATGCGTCAGGGCCAGAAGAGGAAAGGAAACAGGAGTGAATTCAGTCCTCCCAAAAGGAAAGGGTGGCAACAATAGAGTGTGAAGCTGCTTGCTAGATGAAAAAGAGACGAAGACAAAGAGAGTTAGAAATAGAGACACTATGAAAGGACAGAATATGTAAAGATGAATTGAAGATGTAGGGATAGGGAGACGCAGGAACAAAAGATGAAAGACAAAGGTAAAATAGTGATAACAGAGGGTGTACTCGAGATAAGTTGGATAAAAAGTGCTGCTGAATGGTCCTGAAAGATGTGCTTTATTGTTTGTTCCAGGCAGCTGTGATATCAGGAACTTTCTCCTCATTAGTGCCCAAAAGTTACACCGAGCTGCAGTGTGAGGTGTTGATTCCCAGAGAGATCACAGTGCAAGAGACCTTTTCCCATCCCACTGAGTCATTAGATTCCATGTTCAGATCAAAACTATTGATCAGTGGAGCTGTGACTTTTCATCGTAGGATAATACAACAAACAAGTCACCACCTGATTCATCGAGTCTGCTTATCAAGGGGCACATCTGACACAGCGTGCATTTTGAAATAAAGGGCAGCGAGAGGCAGTGTACTCTCCAAACCTTTGAAATCCCCGCTCATGATACTGTTCTCCAGACCTCTGTGATTGTTGTCAGCTTTGATATTTTAGCTGAGGCATGCTTTGTATTTCGAACAAAAAAACCCTGCCATGCTGAAGTAAGGCCAAATTCAACCTAGATAGAAGGGGTTCACCGAGAGTACCGTTGGATCCTTGTGTTTCAAACTTGAGGAACAGATTTTTTTTCTCCTCACAGGTAATTGCATTTACATAAAATTTGTCACAGTCAAAACTGAATCTGATGAGGCAGGAACATCGGACTTTAACACACATTCAAATACAGAGATACTGAATCCATCTGATACTTTCATGTTAATCTCTAAACTTTGGACAGCTCTTCCCTGCACAACAAAGACATTATACAACGATTTTCTGTGATTGAAACTGGACCTGATACACTAGAAAGGTGACTTGCATGAAGACTTCCCCTTGCTTTAGATATTACTACCAAACATGCATAAGACTTTGTTGGTTAAAAGGGATTATACATTTAAAATAGGGAGTCCAGATGAAAAGACAAGGCCCCATGACAGATGCTTGTGATGTGAGTGCATTTTTTTCTTTTCCTTTTTGAAGACATGCCAGGCCGGGAAACTGGCCACAAGAAATAGGCAGGTTGTTAGGTTGGCCGGTGCCAAACAGTCTTTTCCCAAGGTGTTAAAACACAGTAAAACACCTGTGGAAACAGAGTTGCCAGGCAGAGAAATGAAGACGAGAATGGAAAGTGAACAATGGAAGGAGTCTGGTACATGGAGTGTGATTTACTTTGGCCGGTTATAACTTGGAAAAGGTTTGGGTACACAGCAGAGAGAGGTAGAGAGGCAAGAAATCTTGGGTATGGGGGATATGACTGTAGATGAGAAACCATGAGCTAGACTATCATATACACCATGTTTACCATTGTTAAACTGTATTTTTTAGACAAAGAGACACCTAGATATTTGCAAATCTTTCACATCTGGTTGAAAGCATCCCTAACTGCTCTGGCACACAAAACAGCATCTCCAGGCAACTGCTAATGGCGCAAAATTGTTCCCCTTCTTTGCAAATGAGCCAGAGAGTTACTGGATAGATAGCAAGAATTTACCACTCTCTGATTTAACTGTCTTTTCTGTTGTGTGTTGATACAGAGCCATCTTTTATATTTTGCCACATGGATACTTGACAAATTTCCCTTGGATGCATAACTGAGCATTTCATATCAATAGAGAAAAAAAGTCTTATGATTTAGATCTCGATCAAGTGCCTGCAGTTTGGTCGAACACTGAAAAGGGTTTCCCACTTGACAAGCAAGATCTGTGGTCTAGTTAATATGAAGCACTGATGGGAAAGAACATTCCCGGAGCCAGTTGTCCTTTACCCCTCACAGGAAGAGCGAAGTGAGTCAGACCTCAGAGTCCATCAACCCTTATTAAAATCAACTCAAACGGGCGCATCTGCCAATCACTCCATGGGATCTATCGCTTTGCCTGCTGGGTGGAAGGATAAACTCTGTCAACACTTGACTCGCACAAGTCCGCTTTGATGGGCCGCTGTCAGAGAGCAAGACAGTGACAGTATTAGAGGAAACAAAGCACTACAGGAGGATAGGATATAAGGGAGAGGAGGACCTGCACCCAAACCATGGGGGTGTTAGTGTTACCATAAGGTCCTATTTTCCGTTACTATATTTGTGCAGACCACTGGCCCGAGGAGGTGTTTGTTTGTATGAGTAAAAAAGAGACATGTGACTAATGACTCCCTTTGACCCCATTTACTCACAGCTCAAACAGTTGGCTGCTTTGCATGGCCTTAAGTGCTGCATCAGCCATCGTGAACACACATACACACACGTGCTCACAACTACACACACACAGTACGATCGACGTCTGCCTCTATGATTTAGTGTTTTGCTTAAACAATGCCCAGCCAAACTGAACTCTTAAAAGCAGTCGAGGAGAAAACCCTTACATCACTCTGCTGTGAACCAGCCGGGCATGGCAAAGACTGCAGTATTTCAGCCCTGAAGACACAAACTCACACACACACATACACACAATGACCCTGCTGCACCTCCAAGACTCTTTATAGTAACAGATATATAGTAGTTCAACTGTATCTCGGCAAAATCAGTATGTGTAATGTTAAGAGAGGAGGCAAGGATATCTTCTTTGTGAAGTTACAGGTGAAGGTCAAAGTAAGCCTCACTGCTGTTTCATCTACCTCCTTCTCTTGTTTTAGGTTATTCTATTTCACTGTAATAAATAATGGGCACTTCACTTCACTTGCAAGGAAAAGCGGCATTTCTACAGGCAGAAACACTGAAAAGAACCAGAATCACTGGTGAACAACTAGGAGTACTGCAGCTGGCAAAGTTTTTATTTTACAAGCACAAACCTTTGGAAGAATCTGACTCTTTGGTGGACAGCCAATAAGACAGCAACTGGCGAAATGAGACATATTGATGTTCAGCCACTTAGAAAGCGATCAGTTGAATATTCCTTTTGACAGAAACCTCGAGCACAGCCAGACACATTGGTGGATGTTCAACTGGACAGCAACAAACTTCTGTTTGACAGGCCAAAACTGCAATCAGAAACAGCTTGTCTGTAGAAGCCAACTTGACAGCCAATAAGATAGCAATTAGTGGAAGTTCCTATTTCACAGGCAGAGACATTGAGCAGTATCAGAACCACTGAAAGTAATCAAACTGGACAGCAGTTAGTACAACTTCGATTTTTAAGGCTGAACCATTAGCAGAACTGACTTCTTGTTGATAGCCATCAGAACAGGCAATTAAAGAGTAAAAGATTGAATGTATTTGTTTTTTTGTTTTTTTTTTTAAGGCAGGAACCTTGGGATGAACCAGAATCATTGGTAGATATTTAACTGGACAGCAACAAGCAGAACTTTAATTTACCAGGCATGAACCTTGAGTAGTGTCAGACTTTTGTTAGATGGCCATCTGGACAGCCAGTTAGAAAGCAAAAAGTGTAACCTTGAGCAGAACCAGACTTCGTTTTGAGAAGTAATCTTGATAGCCATTGGTGAAACTTCATTATCCTGTCTTTCTGTCAATAATGTGGCAACAAGTTAAGCTGTCAGTCATAAGGCAGAAACCACGAGCAGGGCCAGAATCAACAGAGAACAATGATCTGGACAGCCATCTGTTGGAATTTCCCTTTAGATGAGTACAAATCTTGAGTAGAACCAGACACATTCATGGACAGCAATAGAGAGCTATCAGGGATACTTCAATTTGACAGGCACAAACCTTGACTACAGCCAGACTTAATTGTGAATGACAATCTGGACAGCCTTCTTATCTGTCAGTCAACTACTTTTGGCAGACTGAACCAAAATCATGAAGTCAAAGTCATATGAATAATCTTTGGTGGAACTTTCTTCATCAAGAAAGTGTCAGAAACAAATCGGAGACAAATATCAACCAGTAATTTAGGTTGCAATATAACTTTCTTAGAGGATTGTATTCATAAAGCTATTCAAAGTAGGTTATTGAATGTTTGTACATCATGTTTTAGTTGCTCTTGTGTGTGAAAAAAATCCATGATTCCTCTAACAAGGACTTTGTATAGTGTTTTGACTCTTCTTGTGATTGCCCAGTCTAGCATTTGTACCACTCCCAAGTGTGTCTGTTTACAGTACCTGCTAATTACCGGTGAATGCAAGTCAGTGTTTTTTCTTTTTTTCTTTTTTTTTTATCAGTGAGTGTGTTTGTGTATATTTTGGCAGTACCTTGGCCTCGGGGGCTCTCTGTCTCACAACAATGAAGAATAAAGCAAGAAAACAAGAGAGTAAAAAGGATGAGGCAGTGCGGTGAAAAGACACAGAAGGGAATCACTCTGCCTGACATGTAGCCTGAAGGATGGTGACACAATCACAGCCAACACTCAAAAACAGACTTCTTACAGTCATTCAATGTCATGTGTACCATTTGAATAAGACAAGCGCTGTTGCTGCAAAAGTTAGGTTCAAGTGTTGGGATCTCATCATGCTTAAAGTCAATTTCATGCTTAAAAAGGGTCAAAAGATGGATTGTTAAAGACTGTGTGTTGTTGCCGCTGATTTTGCATCTGTGTATACTCAGAAACCAACTCGCAGATATTCACATATGATGTTGAGGACATTATAGGTCTTTACTTCTTCTTCTGTGAGTTATTCATGGACAGAATCGCAACTTGGGAGGCCAGGAGTGTATTGAAAGATGAGAGTTGACATTGTCAATTATGTTAGCAACAACCTCAGTAGAGGGTTGTTTAAAGAAATAAATAAATAAAAAAAATGTCATCAGATTGACATTTTTTCTCTTTTTTTTGCTTTTCATACGGACTGTTTTCCTCAGTTTAAATGATCTAAACAGAAAAAAAAGGAAAAAAAAAAAAAAACACATTGGACAACACTTAAACTCTGAAAAAGTCCAAACTCACCAAACTCATCCCTTGCTTACTGATTCCTTATTCCTGCATCCAGAATCAATTTTGAGATAGGCAGTTGTGCAATGAATCATTAAAGTGGCAGGACAGAGTTTGTGTCAAGGTTTTGGGTCTGCAAACTCTTCCCCACAGCCATACTCAAGCTATCAGATACCACTACTTTGTCACAACTACTGGCATCCTGCTAGCGGCGCTTATGAGAGGGTACAGACTTTTGCCACTATTCAATCTTAACCCACACTTCACTTTTAAAGATTAATCTTTCACAATTCTGTTGTCTCGGACAGCAGTCAAGGGATGTGAATAGGTCAAGCAATGCAGGACCTTTACCCAGGAGACTGGACATGAGTCAAAGGGAATTACATCAACAGACTTGGCAATAAACGTTCATCAACATCCTTTTTTTCATGACAAAGATGGGATTATGAGTAAAAAGTAAACAAGTTAAGACTTAAAGAGAGTGAAAATTTTCAGATTTAAACACTTGGCACAACTCTGGTCCTTTTGAATTTGTAGAAGATGATCGTCAACGGTGTGCAGCACACCCTTTGTACCTTTTCAACTGCTTCATCAGGCAAGGAAGATCATATGAGCGGAAGCCATTTAAGGCCATTCATACGCAGGTAGTAATCTGAAGAACCAACAGCCACTTGGTGAGCATGGCAGCAGACATAATTAGACATGTATCACTGAAGTATTGTGAATAAGAATGGAGGTTTTTATTGGCATTTGCGGTGTTATTGTCCTTCATAATGAAACTATATGTCTCAGTAAACAAAAGCATGACTCACAGTACATCCTAAACCCATTCTCTTTTCTTTGGTTTACATTTATTTCATTGACACATTATTTCATTACAGCTGTTTTAATAGAAAAAAAGGATAACTTCCTTCAAATAAATCAATTTAATGATCCCCTATATGTGTGACAGAAACACTATTGTTTAGCAGGGGTGAAAACTGCATAAATGCGATAACTGATTGAATTCTATGCTTGCATTGTTTGGCTGGTTTTCCCCAGTATTACAAAACCTTTATCCGCTCTGCATTATTGAAATGGTTAACAATGGAGCTGTTTCTATTTCTTGATAAATGCAGAAACCACATAAATCTGTTGTCTGAGTCAGACTCACACAAATATTGATGCATAAAGTAATTAATTCAGAATTTCTCCTCTGCGGGCTCATTGATGATTTTCATTCAGAAACTCCCATTCAGATACAATGATTCCTCTGTCTTTCCAGAGAAGTTATAACAGCCATTTGTACACCTCATTGAGCTCAGAGGCAAAATTATGATCGCACAGGCTTGAAAACTATTGATGCGGCTGTCTATTTAATCAGCTAGATGAATTAATCTGTTTGGAAAGAGAAGAAGAGAGTATAGAGGCAAGGGAGAGGAGGTGATAATGGCTTGGCAGAGGAAAGGGTGGACTAAAAGATGGCATGAAATACAAATTAGCCCCATGTGTCTTCAGACTGACTATGCAGTGCTTGTTTCTTAGTGTGTGGAAGTATTTATTATGTGTGAAGCAAATCATATAGGCTACCCCACAATGTGAAAACCTCACGGTCTAAATTAGGTATTGTAACAGAGGCACACTGGCAAAATATTAAAGATATTTCTCTCTGGAAGCAGGAGAATGAAAAAGGGAAAATGTTGTTCATGGACAGGTTGGTGCTTTGAGAGTGGTGGAGAGGAGTCTCTGTGGTGATGGAATTGTACAAACTGTAATGGGCACAAACTGTTCCACTGCAGAGTATTGAGGTTCTCCCTTTGATAGGTAGACATTATTAATCCCCCTTCTTGGCAATGCCTTTAAAAGCTATAACCACTTATGACTCACTATAATATTATTTTCAGTTTTCTCTTTTGTGTTTATTTACTTTAATAACTAATTGACTAATTTGGATGGAGTGACTAAATTGTTCACCGTTGGTAATATAGGAAATTATATGTGTCATTGCATAGGCCACAATTTTGTCCCCTTGGCATCCTAAACACCCATACTCCGTTTGACAAAATAAATTGGTTAAAGTCAATTTTTTCCACAGTAGATTTGATTTTCAAATAATCAGAAACAAAAACTTCACTTGGTAGGTATAGATTGAAGTTGTAGGAGAGCATCTAGTTCAGAACACAAGCAATATCTTGATCCTTAAAGGGTCACAATTTAATGCGTCACACAATGTTAGGTCAAATGAAATGGTTAAGGTCAGTCTACTTTGTTGGTTTTGCTTATTTATGTGACCGGAAACATATGTCCTCAAACTTTTAGTGTAAAATTATAGGCCCTGGTTTGTACTATAAGACAGTTTGTGTGTGTCATTGTCTGAACCACATTTTGGTCTTATGGGGTCTTAATTTAGTGCATTAATCTTTATTTGGCAATGAAGCAATAAATCGGTTATGCTGTATACAACAGTTTTGATCCTAGAGCTTCAAGCTACAAACCCTTAATTTCAGATAATCACATTTTTTCTGGTGTGTTTCATGGGGAAAGAAACTTATTATATTTGGATCAGTACAGTACATGGTAACTGTTAGGTGAAAAAAAAAAAAACTAATTAGGCAAACATTGGCTCAAGATGATTATTTTAATTTTCTCAAGTATACTATAATTCATTTTGGCTTAAGTTTTGCTTTTTTAAATGTCCAGTAATGACTCTACTTGGTTGATGAACACCTGAAGTCCACAGTTGGTGAAGTCGGATAGTGGTTCTTGTGCTTGAGGTAATTTTTGATCCTTGTGGGGGGACATGACTCAATGTAGCACACAACATATGATGAATTAATAGTTTAAGTAAATTGTCTTTCTTGTTTTTGCCTTTTTGAGGGACTTAAATGGGTCCACACTTGGTTGGTGTCCACTGTCAGTTGTAGGAGAGTACAAAGGAGTTTGAATCTGTGCCACATCTTCGTCCTCTTGAGGTTATGATTCAATGTACCATACTTTAAGTATATGAGCTCCTCTGTCCTGGACAAATGAGCCTATACCAGGGAGGTGGAAAGACGAATGAAGACAGAGAGATAAAAAGCAAGGGGAGAAGATAACAGATTTGAAGGATGAGAGAATAGGTGGTTGCGAACTGTGCCAAAAGGTTGATTGGGACCACAAAGATGTGTGTTGCATAGTAAGAATATAAGGGTAAAAAACTGATTAAGCTGTAGTGGGAGATGGGGATAAAGGAAGAAAAAATGGAAAGACGCTTGGGGAAAGAGAGGCAAATGAGAGAGAGGAGATGAATGGAGAGGCAGCAAGATAGATGTGGATGTTAATTTGGGTTGCTGGGACACATTGTCTCTGCAACTTCAAGAGAATGGAAGGGAGCTGCAGAGACAAATGAGGGAAGTTAAATTAAAAAACGCAAACAGAAACAAAGCAGATACTGAGAATGTAGCACAGGAGGAAGCCAAACTGTAACTGGAATAAGATACAAAAAATAAGTCTGCAACAACAGCCAAGAAAGCTTCATCCTGAGCCTCCCAGCCTGGCTTAAATCCCAATCTATGATATCAGCACACCACTAAGAAGGTGCTTTAAAATCATCCTGGCATTAAATGGATAAAAGGTAGATCCAAGGACACACTATCTACGCTTCCCTTGCAAACCTACTCAGCTTAAGAAGCATCTCTCAAATTATGTAGCTGGCAGAGACAGGCTGACGCAGTGTGTAATTACTCTATAATCTGAAGGCCATACAGAGTCCCTGTGGATAGTTTTTCTCAAGACTGACCCTTTAACTTTGTCTTGAAATGGAAAAATAAATAAATAAATAAATAAATAAATAGGTGTGAAGGAGAAAAGGTCAAAGTTAACACTTGAGGGGTCCCCTAGAAAAAAAAAACGCACTGTAGCGCAGGCACATGATATAATTTAAACAAGGTCATAAAATAGATGTTGATGCTCAAGGGGAAGAGGTCAAAGGGTCTTTGAGACAAATAAGAGAAAATTACATGGTAGGTGATGTAGCACTGTTGGGTTTAATACAAAGGGAGGATGCTGCGACCTGCAGCAAGACCTTGGGAGCGTTCTCAGAGGGACAGTTTTTTTTTTTTTTTCTCGTTTTTTTCTGCACGCTACTACAATGAGTTAAATGCTATGGAGAATGGTGAGGGATTATAATTATTATATTACTAGAGATGAGAGTCAAACTGGGTCCCAGATCAGACCTGGTTCCAAGCAGTTGAAGCATCTACTTAAGGGTGCCTTTATCGATACCTTCCACTTAGTCCTATTTGCCATGCAAATAAGTTGCACTTCCTGAATATTGTGGCGTTCACAACAAAAACTCCAAAAGTAATACCCTGAAACATACCAACTTAACTGTAAAATCCACTCGCTGCTTGATTAGCTGACCATGCTAATGGAATGCTCTCCTCTATTGTCTGCTAATGTTGACCAATCAGAGGCAGTGTCCACAATCAGCTGACCATAAAAGACCCAATCGGAAGCCAGTATCAGCAAAGCAGCGAAGGTAATAAAACTTGTGATAACAAATGTTCTTGACGCAAAAAAAAAAAAAAAAAAATGCAGGAACTTACTTCATGTAGTTGATAAAGAAGTAAATCAATAAGCTGGATCAGTAATGGCATTGGTATCAATAAAATATAATCACTTCCCATCTATGTGTACTTCTGAATATTGCAGTTGATTCTGGTGTCTTCAGAAACTAGAATCTGGGAGGAGGCTGTATTGATAATTAAAAAATGAAAGTGAAAAAAAATTAAGTTGTGCCATCAAAGGGTTAAATTTGCCAGAAAATGTTTGTTGTCCTCTGAGAGTGATGCTGTAGATTTAGAAAAATCCTTCCAGACTCCCTAAGTGCGTTGGTGTCATTTGCACCTACGTTAATTTCACATTCTTTAATTGAAGTTCAGGCAGAGTAATTCAATCAGAAATGGTCAAAATATTCCTTTTCATTAGTCTCTGAACTTTTTTTGCTCAGTCATATCTGCTCAGAAGGTTGCTGTAGCTATTTTACATGCAAAGAGTCACCTGCCCATTGAAGCAAAGAGTCTGATCATCTCGTCTCAGATGAATAGAGAATGGCGTTTTGATCAAATGAAGGATGTGAAAAACTTATCACAGACGGATAAACTGAAGGTTGACGTCACCCAGTTAGAGGGTTGGATGGAAAGAAAGAAAGAAAGAAAGCATATGTTCCTGTGGCCTGACTCTCAAAATAACCTTAACAAGAAAACAAGAAAGAGAAAATTGAGTGGATGCAAACACATGAAGTCAAAGGGAGATTTTAGTGGTTGAAAAGTAAGGAAAGATGAGTTCTTGAATCTTTGGCTCGGAACATTCAAGTCTGTCGAATTCGTTGCAGATAACTGTCTCATAAATGGTTCAAAAGCTTTGAGTTTTTACCCTGAAAAGACTGAAATGTGAATTCCCTCTGTCTAATAAGATAAAAGTCCATTACATAAGGCTAAATGCAGCTACATGTCTACTGCCATTTCAGCTCCTCTGTTCGACTGTATTTTGGTGTGGTGCTGCACACAAGTGCAAAACTGTACATTTGAAGGTTGATGTAGACAATGAATGGTAGCGACACTTTAAATTTCTCTTGACTGAGGGAGATGCTAAGTTGATGTGACATGCTGGCTGGAGTTCAGGGGTGCATTATGGCCGACTGTTTAACCTTTTAAGACTGATGATAATCTAACTTTTACCTATTGAAACGTGAGAGGTGAATATCACTGAAACTACAAATAAAACGAATAACACCTGAATGCAACAACAACAACACAATGTCCTGATTTTATTTAGTGTGTTCACACTCAAGTAGAGGTGGGCACAGGTAATCAAAAATGTATCTCCTGTAACTGATCTTTAGTTATCAAAGATGTAAGCTTTGATTATAGTAAGTTGGTATGCTCTTGCTCAAGTTGTTTGTGATCCATCTTGTCATGTAAGAGCAGGGTTTAGATCCTTCTTCTGTCACAATAAACAGCTCCTAGTGATGGGGATTTGGGCACACCAGCTCTTTCAGCTCCAAAATGACTACCAAGTATCGTTCATGTGAAAGAGCTGGCTATAAGAGCATAGTCATTTGCATTTGACACATTACTAGTCCCCCCAGCTGAGCGTAAATCTGTCTACTGCTACAGTGCTTGTTCGTACAGTGAGGTTAGGTGACATGAAAGTGACAGCGATATAAAAAACTTCCTTTGATAATGGGCCTGCACAACTGCCCCTTTCCACCCTGTAGGTGTAGGGTCTAGACTACAAAGACAGGCTGGACTACCGCTGGTGCCACAAAAGAGCAAAGCAGATTGAAATCATCTCTGTCATCATGGCCAGAGCTGAATTACATTTCACCACTTGAATGAAGGGAAGTCAGTCCTGATGTATTTTCTCTTTCCCTACTCTCTCTCCTCAACACCTTTTCTCCCCCTCTCCAGCATCCCTTGCCTCTTCTGATTACTCCCCGCGTCTATCTCCTTGTCTCTTTCTCCCCCCACTATCACCCGCCTTCCCCCACTCACCTGCCCTGTCTGTCACCTCTGATTCTACATCAGGAGGCTTTATTGGCGGCCCCGGCTCACTACAAGCGAAATCCTCTGTGAACGGGTGTGCATGTCAGTCGCGGTGTGTTTTTGTGCGTCGAGCGAGAAGTGAAAGCGTGTGTGACCTGATGGGTGTATGTCCTAACTCCAGCAAGCTGCTTTTGATGCAGGCTGAGAAGACGGAGAAACTGGTCTTGAATGATAAACCGGAGTCTACCAAGGGGGATGAAGGGATCAGATGGAATCAATCTTAGTCAAACACTCCTTCTGAGCCTTTTCTTTCAACAGTTCAGACCTCTTTTTTTTGCCCCGGATTCAATATTTGTGGCAAATCTGAAGTATTATGATTGAATGTTATTGGTTTTCATGATTATTGATTGACAATGCATATCAGTCTACCTGTGTATTTAAAGGGGCCCAATCACTAAGCAGTGCAAGGACTAAGGATTAACAACGCTATAGCTGCCATACCAGGGTCCTCCTTGCAGATTAATGTCAACATACTTCTGTGTCCAATTTCTAGGTCAACATACTGCCAAACTACTCAGTGAAATACCATCTGTCTGTGTTTGTTTACATCCAGTGATTTACATAATTGATGTTCCAAACCTTAAACATAAGTCACTGCAAAAATCTTGTATGATGAGGGTCTTGTGCATGGATGGAAGTGTCAAAAAATCCATGTGCCCACATTGGACTTTTCCAAAAAGGATCTGTGTGGAAGCATGTCATATTCATGAATGTTGCTAGGCACATAAATCAAGTTAAGAAAAGCCTCTTTCACACATACAACTGAACAGAAGGTCAGTGGCTCAGAAGGTAGAGCGGTTGTCCAATAACCGGAAGGTTGGTGGTTCAATTCCCCCCATCCCTGGTCTTTGTCCTTGGGCAAGACACTTAACCCACCTTGCTTCCAGTGTATTTCCTCCACTGGCGTATGATTGTGAGTGTTGTGTGGTGGTGGTCGGAAAGGCCATAGGCGCAAACTGGCAGCCACATTTCTGTCAGTCTGCCCCAGGGCAGCTGTGACTACTAAGGTAGTTCACCACCACCAAGGTGTGACTGTGTGAGCGAATGAATGATATATCCAATTTAAATCGCTTTGAGGGTCTCTGGTAAAGTGCTATATGAAATCTGATGCAGTATTATTATTATTCAATTTCCTTTACAGAGAGTAGTGTTTTTCAGCAATATACAGACTTCATATTTAAAAGATTTCTGGGCTCTCTATCCAATCAGACTTGGTCAGTGACAGGAAAGATCCTTTCAGGTAAAAAGTCCAGATCCTGAGTTTTTATTTTAGACTGTAAGAGTGGCAGGACAGTGGAGTTTGATGTTACGCCAAACACAGGGCGTTGCTTTAACTTTAATCCACACTGTTCAATCTTCTGTAAAATTCTCACATTAGACACCAGCCCACGGTGTCAGTGATGGTGCCACAGTGAAACAGTTGTTGACATTTTTTACACTTCAGAGTACTCCTTTGACTCTGTTGAACATATCCACTTCAGTTGAGGTCAAGATGACCAAAAGAGGCTGATAGAGTATTACTCAAAATACTATTTTTGTGGATGTTTCTCTGCTGGAGTGGATCACTTTTATATTTTCGATTTCTTTTAATAACTAAAAGCAAACGTATTAGTTTTCATGTCAAAAAAAGAGGGAATGTCTTGTTTTTTAGTTTTGCTTTGGTTGCTGCTTTGGCTTTAACATTTCTCTGTGAAATTATTGAACCTGTACTATGGTCAGTTCTTGTTCAAAATCACTTTTTGTCAAATCACTTTTTTGACAAATATTCTTTTTGTCTCTTGGCTGCATGAAGATCACTATCGGTCTGTGAATTCCACACTCTGCTTAAACAGTCCCGTAAAGACTGGAATAGCTGTGCCTGGTAAAACAAACCACTCTAAAATAAATTGCTCATTTTGGCCTTAAACTTAAATAAATAAAAATCCGGACACCAAGATTTGATTCAAAGTTTGTGAACAACAACAATGCCTGAGTATACTGATCATTTCTGGATGTGCTGTTACTTCATGTTATTTTATTTTGCCAGAAAACAGAAGTGAGCAAACGTTAGAGTATTGCAACTTACCCTGCAGCTTGCACACGTAGCCCGAACTCATGCATTAAAAAAAACAACACTGACATGCGGTGTTCAAGTTTTGATGCAGGCAGTGAAGCCCTGAACCCCTTGGGTAAACTGGCTACCCTTCAAGTCGGAACAACAAAGGTCAAAGTATTGATCATTATTCACTCATACGAGCTTGGCGAGTTAGTGAACACAGTCTCTTTCCTCACACACACACTCATCGCCCTTCTCTCGGTGCGTGATGGTCAGGGGAAGGACTGCAGTGTGGCGTTTGAATAACACTCACTCCTACATTATCGTTTCAGGCTATACAGCAACAGAATCCAGTAGTGATTATGTTTACTCTGCAGCCTACATGGAAAAGTCAGTCCACACACCAATATACACACTCACACACACACACACACAGAGGCAGAAAACAGTTGAACTACTACACCAGTATTCCCACACACAGCCATAAAGTCACATGCTGAAATAAACATGCATGTATTGATATTTATCTTCACCCACATTCTGCTCTCAATATGAAACGTACAGTTTATCTCATATGCTGCTTCTCATTAATCAAGACGAACATTTGTTAGATGGTCACTCTGTTTGTGTTAATTAAACCCTGTGCCGCTGTTGTCATGCGGCAGGTAAAAAAGGCACAAATGTCTGAGAAAAGGTGCAATATCTGAGTCATGAACCTATTATGACACGTATCAGAGGACGGAAGTGCGGACTGTGTATTTGAGTAAGCGCGAGTGTGTGTTAAGAGGGGATGAACAGGCCAAAGGGTGAGCCAGGGGCAGGCAGAGTCACAGTCTGTTTGATCCAAAGCTAGCTTAGCATGAAAGCGTGAGAAAAAGAAACTGAAAATGAAATTGACTCCCGAGGCTGTGGGTGCTCTTTTTTTTTTCCCCCAAAGAGAAGCTCTTTCAAAACAGTTTTCTATAACAACTCCTCTCTTCTGTACTCCTCTGTACTTCCTCTTTGCTCGTCTCTCTCTCTCTCATTAAATATAATTAGATAAGTGTAGCAGTCAAATCATATCCTCATTTTGTTACATGAAATATTTTCAGGTTGCTCTGTTTGCTGTAAAGCTAACATACTATCAAAAAACAAACTTTTCTTTGTACAGCTGCTTGTGCTACAAATTCACAGTTCAAAAGTCTTGTCAAACACAGCTGTTATCTGCTTGTTATGTGTAGCTGTACAATGTCCTTGTCATGCATGTGGAGAGTGGCAAAGCCTGAGGCGGGAAGAGCAGCAGCAAAGACCCTCAGGGGAAAGAACAGAACAGGCACCAGTCAGTTTACATGCACAGTTAAGTCAAGCTACTGTCATGTGCCAGTTCACGAGCACCAGGCAAGAATCGGTTTATTGGCAAAAGCATGTCCTCTGCTGTAGTAGGCGAGGATATGCCCCCTTTCAGCTTCTTACTGCTGGGCTGCCTCCCAGCTAACTAACTTTATCACGAACCAAAGCAACAAATACGTTAGCAAGAGGCTGAGATAAAAAAAAAAACCCTGTCAGATCTACAGTTCTGTGCCTTGCGTATGCATAAAATGACGGCTTTGTCTGTGTTACATCCATAGACTGTATATAGCGTGGACAGCGACTGTCTCCTCGCTGGGTGAAGCCACTCTGACAACAGCACCCTCTGTTGATGGGCTGCAGTATAGATCATAAATCCCGCCTCTAATCCCGTTACTATAAGACTGGTTTGTGCTCAAGTCCTCTTTTTTCTGTACAGCTTCATTTTCAAAAGTTATAAGGGGGTTAATTTTTTGTATGATTGACACTTGATACAGCCCATGGGCATACGAAGATTTAGTAGCTAACCAGGGGGATACGCTGTTTGAGCCAAGTGACATCATGATGACCCTTGGCCACTCTCCTGCGGAATGCATTCAACGCTACTACGCAGGTGGTGGAGTTTGTACAACGCTGCTGCGCAATGTTGGTTTCAGGAAGTGGAGAAAAAACGCGGAATTACAGAGAGCTTTTCGGCTTCAAATCCGTATACTGGCAGAAGGCGGAACCAAGATGCCCATAGTATGTATAGTCTATGATTACATCCTTTATTCTGCCAATGATTTGTTTTTTTACTATCAAGCTTCCTGTCAACACATTAATGCCATTCAGCTTCATGGTCAAAGACTGAGATAAATCTGTGGCGCATGCTCAGAAAATCACCGGCAGTTCAGTTTTAGTCAAATGGAGGCATACATTGATCCCCAACCACATTGGCCAGGTATGTTGGTCTGACAATGAGAAATTTAATCCAATGTCATGTCATTTATTCTCACCTGTTTACGTGTTTTTTAAAAGTTCAGATTTAGCTTCAGATTTTTTAAACAACATATAAACTGAGTGATAAGACGTGTGACAGTGGTTGGGTCACAAATCAGTTTGCATAGGAACCAGCAGGTCTGGTTGGGTTAAGCATTCTAAATGGAAAAGCCATTTTGATGTTGCCAGGTGGATCCACAGAAGGTTATTGTCAGCTTATACAGGATACAGTTACTGGTCAACCCTTAACTACAAATCTTAAGAGAAATATTAGACAACATCTTTCAAGATCATTCATCTATGCTATTGAAAATTAATATTCTTGCCACATGTCAATAGGAGGAGGTGAAATAATGAATGTTATGAACGTAATGGACTTGACCTGAAAATGCGAAAAACCACTGACAGCCAACCCAAAAATAACCCTCTGACCCTTTTGTCAAAAAACACTGGTGGCTGTAACATAACCTATCAATTTAAAGATCAATTGAAGCTTAAAGCCCCTCTTTTTTATACTTTGTGATTGCCTAGTTGAATAATTGGAGACCCTCAGCTGCTTTAAAGTCAGCTCTCTTATTTAAACTAGCACCCGATGTGTCCTTCATGGCTCATATAACAAGTGTGCATCAGTCTAGCATCAGTGAAAGACGTCTTTGCGTTTGTGGTGTGATGTTTTTCTTGTATGTGTGTGTGTCTTTGCACTGCGATGGAGAGCTAATTGTAAATGTAGACTCCAGGAAGAATAGTGATGGCCTTAGCCAAAGCTAATGGAGATCTAATTAAATGAATATCTGAAGTCTGCTGTGGTGATGCCACTGGTCTTCAAATATACTCTTAAGAGGATGTAGCCCCTGAATTGGGACCATGCTCATATGTTCGACTGTACTGATGAGGCCTAGTTGTTTTATAAGTCAGCAAAAACACAATCTTCTCAAACAAAGGTTATCCACCTTTTTTAAAGACATACTTCAGCCATTAGATCTCTAAATCCAACATACTTACTTTTCATTTCGGGTGTTTGCATATTTTACATCTGATGTTCCAAACCCCTTTAAAGTGCAAACTGGTCTGAGTTTTTAAAAGGGGGGAAAGATAAATTAGTTTCCAGAAACATCATGAATGATGCAAAGTTTATTCAAAGCTTGGAACCCCCCTGCCTTAACTGTTCAATTATATAAATGCACTCTGCTACTGTCTTCTACAAAAAGTGTGCTGCTGCTACTTAAGGCAAACTCGTTTTAATCCAGGACTTAAAACGATTCCAGCTCCTCTTTTTGCAGGGCATTAATTAAACCACAGGTTGACATTTTCCTGTTACTCTCAGACAAGGAGACTCCACAGAGATTAAAAATATATATCGTTTTCCTGTATTCATTAAATCATCTTTACCGTCTGCTGCGTTCAATGACAGCAGCAGGCACTAAGCGTGCAGGTTTGGATGAGTGCTCTTTTATCTAATAAGCTCCTGCTGTGGTCGTAGCTGTGCATTTAATAAGTCTAACAAGTCATGTCACCATGGGACATTAGCAGGCAGTGGATCGATACCCACGAGATGGCAGTGCATTATCTTGACTTAATTATAGTGTCTCTATCTCTATATCAGGCCTCACCTCCTCACTCCCAGCAACACACATGGAACACATACTGAACACTCTAGTAATCTGGGGCCATCTTGCTGAAACAAATGAGGTGGACTATGATAACATACAGCAACCCGGCTACAAATCCCACGTAGCTGAGGGTTAAAGCCTTTTGCGAGGCTTTGTAATCATTGTGTATTCATTTTGTTCAATTGTAATATGTTCACTAATTGGTCCCTCTACTCAATTAGCAACCATTTTTGACCTTCACAAAAGGTTACATACATGCTGTTATATTATTCTGCTGTTTTGTTCTGGATTGTATGACTGTTAGAAATCAGAAAAAAATTATTACCAGTTAATCAAGTTAACGAAAAGTAACATTTTAAAGGATTATTTGACCATATTTGAAGATCAAACTTTAATCTACCTGTTGGTTTATTTCATTTCAAAGCTGATGCTAATGTTCAACATTTCAAGCTGAAAGGGCCGATACCAGATTTTCACCTCATGATTATCGTGGCCATAAAATATCACAATTATGATGTTGCTGGGATATGCTGTAAATTTAAAAGAACACAAAAAGTGATATTGAGGAAAGGCAACAAAAAGGTGGCACAACTTGAATTATATATCCATATTTACTACAGATTTATTTACAAAATATTTTATGATTTATCCACATCACTTGTGCTGTAACTACAGCTTCCCCAGAGAAGATATTGACTCATAAAATTATTTTTTGGCATGCTTTTATTTATTTATTTTTCTTACATTTTAAAACCACGCTTTTATTTTGAAGAGTAAGCGACTTCATGTATGTGAGTTACAGAACTGAATTGAAAATGGTCTGAAAGTACAGAGGTTTAATTGGTTATTAGCTCAAAGAGACACAAGCTCCAACATTGTTTTTGGACGTACGAAAAATCATCAACCCTCAGCTTTTAAAAGTGCTGAGTCATCTTTAAGAAAGCTGCAAGATAGTTCACAGACGGTCTGCTGCTGCTCCGTCTCTTCGTTTGGCAGCAGCATAAAGGACCACCACGATGAACTCACGGTATTACTGCTTTTAATTTTTAGCATGATATCAATATTTCATAAATTAATAAAGAAGGAATCTTTCAACACTGGCACATACCCACAGCCCTACTTCAAGCTAACATTACATGTTATTACAGCATGTAATCATGCCAAGAAGGCACTAAGGAAGAGTAATTTTAGCTTTGGCCATCTCCAAGCTCATTGAGGTAATGCACTGTAAGTTGCTAAATTTTAACATTAACATTTTTTTTTAACATTTTCTGTTGGTTTCAGCTGCTGATTGAAAGTGACTCTCCATGACTTATTTATAGGACTCAGCATTCAAGCTCTCTGTCATGAGTGTAAAAAGGGAAAGTGGTTTAAACACAAGGTTTTTGTGCTTTAATAAAAAGGATAAGCGCTCAGTAGAGTAACTCATTCCATTACGCCCTTATCCCCATATTTATACTCCACCAATACGTTACATAACCAACCACATGGCTGCTAATGTGTTTCAACATTTATGTATTAAGATAGATGGAGAGGAAAAGCCAAAGTCACTAAGGTTATCAAGTGAGCATCTCTATACATTGGTGTAAGTTCACTCAGGTCCATGACATCTTGTGGAGGCTAAGCAGCAACCAAACTGCACTGGAGCCACTCACCTTAATGCTAACTCTAACATCCCACCTAACCCAGGTTAAAAAAATAGAGGGGGTTGCAATTTCTACCTTGCTGCTAGGTCAATATATAACATGCAACCTTATCAAGGTTAACAGAAGAAAATAAGTGATGTTGTTTGTTAACATATATTAATGTTTAATTTACTCATGCTGTCCATTTATTGTTGGTTTTGCTGTCGCACTAGCAAAGTACAAGGCTAGCCAGGTGTATGCTACATGGTAGCTGCATGAACACACAAAAACAATATTATTTCTCTGATGATGCAAGCAAGCATGTTTGCCAAAGACTAAAAATAATGTGTGAGACTGTTGGACCAAATTTTGATCCAAAAAGTTGCTGTTTAGTGTGATTTTTGATTGTTGTGGCTCTCGCTAACTTAAAGCATACTGCGTTATCCAACTAGGAGATGTTGTCGATGCAGGGCTTTAACAAATCTGCCCAATTGAAAGGCATCTTCTTGTCTACGAACTCACCACCTGTCTGTGCAGACTGAGTTTTAAACCGCAGACACACTCTGCACACATGCACTGCCCTGATTAAATGTGGGTTATACTAACAGCATCAATTTGATGTTGAATTGATTGACAGCTGGAGTGATAAAGGTTCCTCCTCCTGCCTTTCAAACTGGCAGAGTCATGTCCGGAGGCTTCTTTACCCGCATGAGTCCTTGACTGAAATTAGATTTTAACTGCAATGCGGCTGGCTTGGAGTGCACAGCACACTGCTACCCACTTGGAATAATGTGTGTTAATGGACCATCCACTTAGAATGACTCTTAAACTTATACTGTCCATAAAGAGCAAATAAAGTTAGACATCTGCAGGATTAGAGAGAAGAGGAGGAGCTGATTCGTCCATGGGCACCAGCTTCGTCATGCATCTTGTGTTTTTATAAAGTGCAGCTTTTAGTTGTCCGGGGACACCAAGCTGCCCTTGGATTAACAAAAAGAACGCCATATGAACGCCAGACGGACGGATCAGGCAGCCTGTGACAGACAGTCGTTGTTGGTTATTATCATAACGTGCAGATGTGTCCATATGCTGCTTGTGTAATTTGAGCCTGAGAGGATTTAAGAGGGGAATAATCTTCAGAGATTTTCTCTTTTTTATTGCCTGACACTAGTGATTTGTCGGAATTCGATATCCTTTACAGCTCACACACCACACATACCATAGCGGGCGTATTTCCCTGTGCACACAAGATTCAAGGTCAAACGCTTTGTATTCATGTGTGAAGCATGTGCCTACATCTTTTGCATATTTGTGCAAACACATACTTACATGTTCAGGGAAATTAGTGTAGGTGTTTGCAACTGTGTGGAGGAAGGCTTCACATCTTGCTCAAACTATTACCTCTAACTGCTTCATCTCTACAGTGGACAGTTGTTGATATTAGTAAAATAAAGACAAAAAGAGTCTCACCTTATAGGGAAATTTACCACCAGTGACATAAAGGCTAATATACATGTCAAAAATTAGATCAACTTTATCCTGTCAACATGAATTTTAAATCATCCATATAGTATTATACTGAAGGCAGAAGCTTTTATAAATATTATTAAAGAAATAGAAATTAGGGATGTGGTGCTTTTAGTAGACTGTATGCTAGTGTGCATCAAAATTACTGGTTGATTTTATTGATTCTATTTATTTTAATCATTGCACTCCAGAAATGTTGGTCAAAACCTTGCCAGTAGCCAGGGCAGTTGCTTAAGTTTTTAAGTCCTGCTGTAATGTAGATGTTAACCATCACAGCTTACAGATATGGTGAAGCAGAGTTTGGCAGGATTTAATGAGAAAATGGAGATCAAGTTAAATTGTATAATCATTCTAGTAAAGACTAATGGCTGGTGGTGCTAGCTCTTCCACTGGTAGCCATGCTTGGCAGCCTAATTTAACATTATTTACCCACAGATGTTCTAATCTTGTAATTGGTTGTGTTATCAGGTTGTCTCTTCCGTTTCTGGGTGTCATTTTACCGTAAAGCTAAAATTAAAATTTAGGTTAAAAAAAAACAAGAAATTGCACACCAGAACATTAAAGTTAAATGTCGGTATTCCAAATTTTTCTTGAATGACATTTAAATACAATGTTTTGCAGCAAATTAAAACTCCAGGTGTAAAAAAAAGCTACTAATAATTCAATTTACTCAACAGAATGTTTCCTTCATTTCCAACATTATGCCCAACATCGTTAAGATGTTTGGCTGTTGAGCATGTGTCTGCTTTTGCTCAAGGTCTCTAGAAAAGGAGGTTTTCTTTTTTCCAATATTTTCAAAGTCTGGGCCTGTTCTTGTTTGTGAAAAACGTTGAAATAATATTTGTGGTGAATTAGCCTTATACATGTAAAACTTAGTTCAATAATGAATTTTGTTTTTTCTTTCTTCCACAAGTATTTTCAATTTCTTCATGATGGAATATTAACCTACAGCATTATTCTCTTACAAATTTAGTTCTCTTTTGTTAATCACACTCCTCCAATAAGAAACAATAACTTGCATTTATCTTGGCGTACCATTATTCCTTTAAACTACACTTTAAAAGACCCCCCCAAAATCTAACTCATCTTTCATTATTCACTCGCTCTCATATCACAGTGCTGAAACTCATAAAGTTTGCAGCCAGTGTCAGTTATTCCCAGACACCTGTTGTCTGGATTCACACTATTCTACCAGCCAAGGCCGAGAGGGGATACTGTGCGATTCACACCATCACCCCCCTTCACCACATCGCTCCTTAAGACCCTGCTCTTTACACACTGTCACTCTCCTCAGAATTCCTGGTGTGTGTTATTGTGAGTCAGTGTTCTATTGACGTTTGTCGTCTTTCATTCAATGGCTGTAAACCTTTTTTTTTAAAAACACTGAGTCAATTATTTACACTTCATATATCAAAGAAGAGGAATCCATTGATCAAAACTGCAATTTCATGTATTTAGTTGTACAGATTTAACCTCACAAAGCAAACCACTGTGCTATCATTCTTCCACCAAGATCAGATCACACAACCTCACCACAAATGAAGCCTGAGCAGACAGATGTAGGGTGTTTGGACCTATCGACCCCAAAAATTGATTGTTTTATCTTGTGTAGCGTGTCATAGTGAGCGACCATCAAGCACACGTTTGGGGCACTTCACAACCTCCAAAGAGAGAGTCTAGCATGTTTGAGTTTTCTCTTTGTCTTCTACGATTTGCTGCCTAACATTAAAGGATGGTCTTGGCATCCCATGATCATGAAGACAAAGTAATCATGATAAACATTACATGCCACCTGCCTATGTGGTGAATGACCCCTGAATAGGTCCCCTTTCAACCTGTATTGACAATGATAAGGAGAGGGAGCGATGTACAGGGTATGACTGGCTCTCTCGTGTACCAAGCAATATCCAGAATTGGCAGAATCAAGAATCCATAAAAGCCTTCCCTCTTTTCCCTCTCCCCTTCTCAGAGCTAATTGTTTCTGGCTGAAGAAGAACATCACCATCAAGAGCCCAGATCAGTGCGCAACAACATTTTGGCAAGCAAGGAAGCTGTGATTGCCAAAAACTTTGTTGGGGCCTGCTGTACCTTGAGCACATTGTGCGCCAGCAGCACAAAGAGCCATTTGACTACAGGATCGTGTTAAGAAGGGGAGCAGATGAGTAGGAGTGTGTTGGTAAAGCAGAGGGACAGAGTGCACAGGAATTGAGGGAGGCTGAGGGACTTAGAGAAATTTTTAACTTATGACTTGTAACCAAGAGGCAACTTTTTGGGCTGCAAATTAATTCAGTACAAAAATGCCAAGAACTGCAGTACTACAAGTGGCCACTAGAGGCTGTCTCTGAAAATGAATAAGTCCCCATATGGCCTAATGTTAAAATTTGTACAAAAACATTATGTCTGTCTTTTCTTTTTTTAATTTGATTGTTTAAATCAAATTAAATTAAGGCCAAAATGAATGCTAATTAGGACATGATCACCTTATGAGTTCTTCTACCCGTTCACTTGGGGTCGCCACCATTTTCCTTGTCAGTGTACTTTACCATTTGCACAATCAGTCAATTTTAGACATTTTTTATTGTATGCCAGAAGTAATGAGTTATGGTGTCAAGTAATCCTGATCTCTGTATCCATCAAAATAATTGCGATTATGAATTCTGCCACAACCAGGTAGCCTGTAATGGTAAGTCCTGTCACTATGATTTACAGCTTATACTGCTCTAATATTAAAATCAGAGTCACCACCTCTCTATACGTCCGACATTACAAGCAAGGTTGGTAAAATATAATGGAAACGGATGGGTCACATGGACGGATGTGGGGCTGTAGAGTATCTCTCTTGAATATGAAGCTCTTGTGTTGGCATTAGCGGCCACAAACATATTTTATCATATTTGCTCTGTAGAGTGTTTTAAAATTGCGGCACAGAAATCTCAACCTCTATCCTGCAGTCAGACAACCTTATTGACTCCAGATGACAACACTGGGGATATTGATGGAGGTGATTAAGATGCTGTTGATGAAAACAACCTTGACACTTAATGGCTTTAATAGTTCCCACTCCGACCTCTGGGATCTTATTTTCAGCCGGACATACTGAAATCATTCTGACAGTCCTCTGCCTCCACGCTAACACATCTTCCTTCTAAATCACATCCTACAAATGAATTTTTACTCAGCGCAGCCTTTCACCCTCCATCATCCCCTCCTCTCTACTGTCAAGGTTTCCTCTGTGAGTATACAGACAGGTCAATTATTCTTTCAGTCTCTTGGTGTCTCTGTAATTCTGATTGAGGACGAGTTGTCAATATCTGCAGGCCCTGCAGCAAGGAGTGTCCCTTTGCATGAGGAGGGTCTGATTATGTGGGGGAAGAGGAGGGGATTTGTGGAAACGCCTTTGTATTTACACAGGAAGCGCAATTATTAACTCTGTGGAGCGTGCGTCATGAGCAGAAGGAAAACACACGCTTTGAACACACATGTACACAAAAACAGACTGTGGAGCAGATTGGATTGGACCACCAATTAACAGGCGAATCATCCCTCCCATCCTCCTCTTCTCTCCTGAGTCGTTGTCTTCTTTTTGCTGTCAAGAACAAGGCCACCAATCCATCTATTTATTCCTTTATTGATCTAGCTTTTGTCCAATCCCCACTCAATATGTGCTTTTTTCTTTCTATTTTTATTTTTTGCATAATTTCTCTCTCTTTATTTCTTCCACCTCAACCTCTCCTGCTTCTATTCAATGTAAATATGGAGCTAAATGCCAAGTTATAGTACAAAGGAAGATATCAAGCTAAAAACATGAATTCCACATGACTTCACAGGAATTCTGTGCTTTAGTTTAATTTTTGCTGGATATATTTCACCACTTTTTTTTCCATCAAAACCTCCTGGATGTTGTGTTTTTGTAAATGTGTTACAGAAGCTTCGCTAAGAATTGAATTTGTGGACAGACAGCACAAAGGTTTAGCTTGCTAGCTAGCTTGTATGTAATTTAAGTAAGAGCAGGTGTACAACGTACCTTGGAATATGATCAGTGTACATCACTGAGCCTACCTCATTACTAATTTTTTGATAAGTACAAAACAATTCTTCCAATTCTTCAAGACTAGCTAGTTTTTCAAGGGTAAGGTTGATCTCGCCCACTGCTCTCTCAGTTTTGAAAAGAAAGTTACATTTACAAGAGGACAACAGAGGAAAAAACAAGTAACTTAAAACTCAAATGTGTGTGCGAAAAACATTTTTGATCTCTATAAGTTAGTTGTAGTATTAGATTTAGTAAAAAATTGTATCATTGCTAAAGCAGGACATTAGTTTTTCAAAATCATTACCAACAAAGACTATATTCAGTTGCGATTTACCGTCAATTTGCCTTATCATGGTCAGAATAAAAACAAGAACTGCACATTATTTGCCCCTTATTTCTGTCTTAACCTTCAATTCACAAAGCATATTACTACAATGAGACTCAAGCATAATGTCCATTAAGTTTTGGAGCTCCGTGCAGTTTGCTCTTGTGTTGCGTCTAACTATAGCGATAAGCTGTCAGCATCTCATTTCTCTGCTGCTCAGAGATGTGCAGTCCATTGTGAAGACAATTCAGGATATATTTGGATCAGATTTCATCATTTATAACAAAGCTTCTCGCAACAAGTAATTTAAGAGACTTGATGCGCTGACGAGGCATTTTAGATAGAGGTGTAATTGTTTTCTTGATCACTGTAAAGTTTGAGTGTTATCCTTTTAAACAATGAAATGTAATCACCACTAACTTAAACTAGATGGTATAGTTTTCATCGCAGCCGTACGTGGTTGTATGAATCATTGTAAGTGAATGGAAGTGTTTTTGGATTCTCATGGAAAGACCAATCTTGGCACAAATTAGCCTATTATGCTTCATTCTGATATGATCAAACAGCACTGGCACACCAAGATACTTTTTGTTCTGAAAATGTTCAAATTTTTTGGTGCAGCAACTTTTACAAAGAGTCTCTTTTACAAAGATTGAATTGGTACAAAAGCTGAGGCAATCTTTTATGAAGCAAGCCTTAAATGTACTCCAAGGAGAGAAAGGATCTGCAAAAACGATTAGTAATAAAAAAAATGGAGAAGGTCCTTCATGAATATCATTAAAGTACAACTAAAAGTTATGGCCACATCAAGAAATTTTTAATTTTGGTTTTGATATTTCTCTGATAAAGCCAGAGCATTAGGTGGTCAAAGTTGTGATGTGCTCTCTGAAAAGAAAAGAAAAAACTAGACAAGAAGAAAGTTGTAAATTAGGAGGAAAGAGTTATGAATTGTTGGATAAATAAGCTCATAAATTTACAAGATTAATTAAATATGACAAGAATAAACCAGCAATTTTACAGGAAAGAAATCTTGGTAGAAAAACTGATTGGCTAATTTAAGAGAATAACCTCATTAATTTAAGACATTCATCTTGTAAATTTACAAGAAAAAGGCTGTTTGCTTCATTATGGATTGTCTTTGGAGGTAAACTCATATCTGATGACAGGCAGCAGTTACAGAAGTGTGAAAAGGCTGCTCTTCTTTTCTTGCACGATAGATTCTGAATCGCAATTATTTTGCCGTTTGGTGCGGATGTGCCAAATTATCTTTCGAGGCATACTTAAGTATAATTTAATGAGATGCTCTTTGTTTCTTGTTTCAGTGCAGTGCTCTTCTGATCAGCCCCTTTAAAGTAAGACAGGAGCTGACCATAGCCTTTTTTCCCCTCAACAATTAAAGATAAAATCTCTCTCTTTTTTTTTTTTTAATAAGATGGCCCTAATACTTTAACAAAGAGGAGAGGGTCTTGTTAAAGTGACATACAAATCAAGGAAGATCACAGAATTATGGTGTGTTAATTTGCACATAATTTGCTGAACAAAACCAAAAAGTGGAAAACAACAGATGGTTGGAAACAAAAAGAGCATTATATGTCACTTTCACTCTTCATGCTGCCTTAAAACAATGTGTCTGGCCCACCTGGACTCAGGTTGAAAGGTTTTTCTCTGTCTCTTTTCTCCCTTTATTCCGTGCGTATCACTCTTTTCTGGTCTTTCTCTGTTCTTCTGTCAATTTTTTTTCCTGGCTGAACCCGAGGCTAACCTCCCTTTGTTCTAGCTATAAGAACTTATGATCACATTCCCTGTTTCCATACATAAAAGAAGAGAGGAGGACTGTGAAAGGTTTCTGTTTTGTCATTTGAAGCTCTCCTGGTGGTTCTCATTGTCAGAGAACAGCTGAATTTGCTTCAGGGGGGATAAAACTCAACTCGAGTTGAATTTTGTCCCGAGTCTCCATTATTTTGCTCTCTCCTCACTACCCTTCACCTTGTCCGTTCATCATCTAACGTTGACAAACCCTGATGGGGTCTATTGTTGACCTTGGGCCCTCCATCACCTTACTGTCTTCATCTCTATCTTTCAACTTTTCCCTTTTGCTCTGACGGGATTCCTCTCCCGCCATTGCTCTTTTGATTCACCCTCTTTCATCACCCTCCGCACTCTCTCTCAGCTTACCTTGTCACTGCTCCATCACTTTCTACTACCTTTTTCTTCTCTCTCCTTTCCCCCCGCTGAGCTCTTTGTCAGTCCAAGGAGAACAGTCAGAAGCACCCAGGCACATCATGGGATCAAGGCAACCCTCTGAGGCTATTTAGCTGCTGCGAGGGGGTTGGCAAAGGTGATAAATTTAGAGGGAGCGCACTGGCAAATGGGTTGAAGGAAGGAGAAAATTAGTTGTCACAAAGGTTGCATCAAAATAGGGTGAAGATGGTTTAGTAAGGGATGAAAGAGGAAGGGTGGTGAAAGTTCAAAAGATTTAAAACTAAGAGGGTGAGGTTTGTGAAGTGGACTGAAATTGAGTTGAATAAGCAGTTATGCTAATGGGAATACTAAGCCAAGGTTACAGAAGGCAAAGAAAGACAAAAAAACGGAGGAAAGGCAAGTCTCTCAGATTAACCAGAAGCAGTTAGGTTACTGTCCAACAAAATTATATTGATAAATGAAAAAACGTTGTCTGATCTGAATCTAAGGCTAGGAAATATGGCCTAAAAATAAGATTTCTGATATTTTCACACCAAATTTGATTACAATTCTGTGAATTTTTCCTTTCCTTCTTGATGAATAAACAGTGGATTTACTGAAAAACCCTAGTGATTAGCTCATCTTTACAGTTATCTGGTGTAAGCTATTAGGCATTTCCACTGTGTATATAAACCATAAAGGCTAAAACAGGATCTGTATTGAGCTCGTATTGACAGTGTCGCATATAACGCAGCAAATAGGCTGCCATTTTTATCAATGCAGCATCACGTATCGAGCGCAGCACAGCTAAAGATACACGACAAGTTTATTTTTACTGCTCTACGCTTCCAATACACGTCAATCCAGATGGACAATATCATTCAAGACAGGATGTCAAGCACGAAAACCGTGCATGTCATCTGGTATTTCAAAATAAAACACCATATCCAAACTCCTGACTGTGTATCAGTTTGTGTAGATGAGAAATACTTCCTGGTTATGGATTTATCAGTAACACAGAACAATCCGATAGTCAATCCCTGATCCATGTGGACCCCGACAGGACTTTTAACTGCTAACTCTGTCGTAAGGTAACAGCACATTATAAAGGAACATAGTTTACTTTATTAGACATGAGTAAACCTGCAAAAACCCAAACTGTAATATCACGTTGCTTTTTCACATATAGTAGAGGCTCAATGGTCACTGATTTATATCCAAATTAGCAAGGAATAGACCACAGGAAGGCACAACAACCTGTTGTGAGCATGTTGTTTCCTCTATACTGACCAGGGCTGCACTACGCTGCTGCCACACTCCAAATACACATCCTGTATGCGATACTCAGAGCTGCTCTACGGAGCAAATACAGAACGCGCTCAATACGGATCCTGTATGTTTTCGGCTTAATACACAGCACAGCTACATCAGTAATAGCTTCCACTGTGTCCTTTTCTTGCCATACAATATAAAAATAGAAAATGATTCTCCAAATGTTAGCCAGTTTTTAGCAGGTGTTTGTTGGCTGTAGTGGTCTTGTGCATCTCATAATGAGACACATTTCTCCCACTTGGCTGCATGTCTCTATTTAAGATGTTTTAGTTGTTGATTCTGGGAACTCTACTGATCTGCTGCTGCAGGACTTCACCATTGTCTATAACACAGTGAGTCATAGGGTCCTTCTGTCAAGTATTGTTGACCTATGAACTTATCTCTGGGTTAGGGTGCCACAAGGCTCTAATCCCGGCCCAGTGCTGTTTTTGTTGTATCCGTCACAGTTGGGCTTTTCATTGCTTTACATATGATACCTACTTCTACCTGCCCTTAAAATCAAAATCTTAGGATTATACACTGCTTAACTGTTTGGAAGATGTCCAACCAGGATGTTCAAAGTCTAAATGGAAATAAGACAGAAATTGATGTATTTGGACAATCTGGGTGATCGTGCTGCTGCCCTTGGCCCCCCAGCTGTCATCAAAGGTCAGTCTTTTTTTAAGAAAAACTTGGCGTAAGTTTTGACATTTCATTCAATAAAACAAAAGTTCTTAAACTGGCTTTTTCCAGCTGAGACTTGTAGCTAAGCTTGAATCATATCTTGGTTCAAATGACTCTAAGGGGGTGATCCATGCCTAAATTACACAGTATGGTGAAGACCAGCTTTTTTTGTGTGAATCATCTTGGGATAACACTCGTTATGAATTGGCGCTCTATGGATAAAGATTAATTGGTTGATTGATTGATGAAGGCTGGTTTACTGTAATTCTCTGTCTTTCATTTGGATCAGTTGTCTTTGCAGCACCTTCTGCTTGTGCAAATTGCTGCTCAATGTCCAAATTTAAGCGTTTTTGCACTGGCTTCCTGTCAATTTCAGGATTGATTTAAACAATGTATTGATTGTTTTCAAGGCTTTGAATGGATTGGCGTTGATCTTATCTTGCTGAACTCCATCACACTCTGGTTTGATCCGTAAGATCTACTAAACTGCTTGTGTAGTATTAGCTTTAAGTCCCTCATTTGCTCCTGGGAACCACTTAAAAAATGTGTGTACCCTGTCATTAAGTGTGATCTAATAAATCTCTGCCACTTCAGGATGACTTTCGCTCATAAAAAACTTTGACATCAATAAAACATCTATCATAAATTTTGTTACTGTCTTATGAATATGGCACTTTGACAGTAACTGAGATCGGACCAGCTGTTGCTAAGAGTCCCACAGCACAGGCCACCTTTTCGTTTTTATCTGACACATAAATATTCTCGGCACACATGAAGAAACTAAAGCATACATAAACTTGTCCCCCTCAAGAAAAAATGTTTATGGCTTTCACGTACAGACAGTTGCCCTGAAGTCTTGTATCGACCTCTCCCTAAATGTCATTGCAAGAAGTTCTTCGGTAATATCACTGGTGGAAACAGCTGATGTTTGCTGTGATCTATAATCACTTCACATCTATAAGTGCCCCTCAGGGAAGGATTCATGCGCAGGGAGTGCCACACCATCTCAGAGGGACATATAGCCTGGTGTTTTATTGTTGGGGGGCTGGTGATGAAAGGAAACAGGACACCTTATCGGTTTCTTCTCTGTAAAGTAGGATTGCAGAGTTGAATGTGGATGTTTTCTGGATTCCTGTGCATTTTTGTGTAATTATTCCTATTATTATTAAGAAAAACAGCCTGAAAAACTTTTGACTTTCTTTCAAATGCTAATGGAAACAAAACTTTAGCAGTTTCATTAAACACAAACTCAAACTGAACAAGGACTGTTTAGTTAAAGCTGCAATGTTCTTGCTTAACGTCAAAGTGTTCATGCTAGCATTAGCCATGTTTACATGTGCAAAATTTCTTGATCCTTAAAATTTGAGGGATCAGATAATCTGAATCCAGTGTTTATATGTGTGCAAAATCCAATAATCCAGTTGTCTGATTTCGCTAAAATAGCTGCAGAAGAAGAGTTGTATTTACGCCTGTGCTGTCAACAAACCAACAAGCCAATTCAGGATGTTCCCATGTTAAATGTTGTCACTAGATGGCGCCCTTGCGTACTTATTTAACTGTTCTGTCAAAAATTGCGCTGTGCGTGCAGATGTGACATCATCACGCTGTATGTACGCCTTGTTATGTTATCGGAGGAGCAGACTCGGCACCTGCGGTTGTATTTTATGCCAGAGTGTTAATGATGAAACTTCCTGTACTGGCCTCAATAAACAAGCCAAAGGCTAAAGAGTGAAGACCGGCTCAGGATAGAGAGTCACGATCCGATTAAGTGTTTACATGGACGTGTTTCGGAATAACAATTGGCATAAACCACCCCACTTCATCCGAATACAATTTCTTTCCGATAGAGCCATATTGGATCAGAATCTTCTGATCGACATGTTCGACATTTTTATCCCGATCGGGCCTTTATTTTGATTATTTGTGCCCATGTAAACGCAGCTAATGTTTCATCAATGATGTTCATTAATTACATGAATCTACACTGGTGTGTGAGATATGTTCCCTTTTTGGAAAACATGCTTAATCTGTTCTAAAACTGCTTATTTCTAAGCGTATTGTTACAGAAATTAAAACTATGATTAAATGGTTAATCCGAAGACAAGAGAGGGTACGGTTCAGTTAAAAAAATGATGAAGCTTGTTCTCTGTGTGAAGTTTAGGATTAGCTGTTTGATAAATTTTGAAGAGGCGAGGGTGAGAAACATTCCTTCATATCACTCCTGACAACACATTTGAGTTAGCAAGAGCTGAAGGCTGGATGAACGAACGACTGTACCTGTGTATTTTTTTTAAGCGGCTTCCTTGAGAATACTATCATCTCCTTGAAAGATGGGAAAAGGAGGAGAAAAACGTCAGTGTGAATTGAAGAGGACAACTTTTTTACAGTTCAGAACTTTAAATGAAAAGTTGAAGATAGATGAAACAGTGAGCGAAGAGGGAAGAGTTCAGACCAGATGGGGATTAGAGTACTGAGGAAGTCTCTTGGGTGGGTAGTGTTAGAAAATGGTGTAGTGAAATCAAAAGGCTTGAAGGAGGAGAGAGGAAAGGAAGGAGAGATGAAGGGAGGAGTAAGAGGAAAGAAGTCTGGCTGCTATGAGAGGCGGAGATTGATGATTATTAATAGTAATGCTTGATTAGCATGGCTGCAGTCAAGAAAGTGATACGGGCCAGCCTAGCAGCTTAACTTCACTGACCCTGTTCCGAACTGGACGCCCATTTTTCATCCAAAAATAGTATAGGAGGTCATGTATAAATCAGAGGGAAGAGGCACTGTTTCTTACTGGGCTTCCCTCTTGCACCTAGCTGGCCTTTTCCCCAAGTTTATGTCCATCAGTCATTCACAGGTAAGAAGAAGAAGAAGAGATTTGAATGAAATAGAGCTGTTGAAAAGATTTGCACTTACTTACATAAATGGCAAAGCTTGATGTTTTTTAAGTGTCCCTACTGATAGAAAACTCCTGGATGCTTGATCTGAACAATTTCAGGGTTCATGTATGAAGGTTGATATTAATTCTGAAGTGATTGTACAGTTCTTGATGTTTCTTTGTGGTTATATGGTTGATAGATTGGCCCATTAGGATGAGGTGGGGGCAGAGAACAGCTTGAAAAAATGCAATGTACTATCTTTTACAGTCTCCCCAACAAAATGAGATCGGATTAAGATACACAGACTGTATATCAACAAGGCAATTACCTTCACACAGCAATGGTTTGCTCCCAGAATAAGGACACAGGTGTGATTTCATTACTGTGCTTACTTGTTTTATCTTTCAAGGTCATATTTTAATTACACCTAATAAGACAAAATATAGTCTCCCTCTGTGCTCTAGGGAAGCGTAACCCAGTCAAACTGCTGATACAGTGGAAGGCGTGAAGTTGCTCTTGAGAATTAATTTCCTCTGATTCAATAGCTGATCACAGAGAATTTGAAAAATGTTGCATGTGCTTGTAAAGAAGATGAATGAACAACAATGAATATTCATAGGCAGAGCTATGCTAAAGTAGATGCTTTCAGTTAATTAATGAGATGGACTAAAGAAATTTTGTTTGTATGGCACTATGAAAATTCATGGCTTTTAATGCTGATTGCCTTTTAAAGCTCGAATAGTGGAGGTCACATCAGTATTGCTTTAAGGCAAAAGACTGAATGTAAAGTTTCAAAGTGGTAAAGTCTTTATTTGGCCATCATGGTTTTCTTGTGGTAAAATGTCTTATACAAAAACTGTAAGGTACAGAATCAGTTTGATGTTAGTTTTGAGGCCCAAAAATGGATTCCCTATGTTAAAAATGCTGACTGATCCAGGGGTGGAGCCATTTGTTGGCCTCTTGAATTCTGCTTGGCCACCCTAATAGCTAACCTAAAATCTGATACCGTGATTGGCTATTTGCCTTATCAGAGGCTGCACTTACATTGAAATCAACTGTTTCATTTGTAACTGACAGACTGCTTGTAACTCCTTTGCATATCAAGGTATCACTTTAAATGGTGGCGTTGTACCTGCATATCTTATGATCAAAAATTTGCTGTCCTGTTTTTACCTTTGGGAGTTAAAAGTAATATATATATATTTTTTTTTAACTTCTTCAAATCATAAATTAAAGTTTATGCAATTAGTAGAGAAGAGCCCCTCGGGTCTGATGTAAGCTCCCAGTCTACCACTTTACCATTCCTACAAAAGTCTGTACCCCAGCTTGGCCGGTTCAGCCTCTGGACTTATTCGGTTGTCTATCAACCTAGTAATAGATAAAAAAAGAGAAGGGTGAGGCAGGCCTTTGACCTTTTGGTATTAATTGAAATCAACCCCCTTTCAAGTGGAAATGGGCTTTTCAGACCCAAAATCTATTCTATTCTGGGCTGTAAACATGTTTATTACCGCTGTAAAAATTGGCATTTTAACAAGGGTGTTAATGGAGTCTTGTGAGCGTCTTGAACCATTTCCAAGTGGGCACTTAAGGAAGTGTATTTTTTTGGCACTTCCGCATTGGCTTCATTTTTCAACATCAGAGATCGCTGCCGAGTCAAACCATTAGATGAATTAGAAACGTCACCAACCCAGACATTCATGTCCCTTTAGAACAACTCAGTGAAATATGAGTAAAACTTTTGAACTTTGGATTAGGTTGCAACAACAAAGTGAAACTGCAGTTTCTCAGATGGCCACTTGAGGCACACTCCAAAATTCAGTCAATTTTCATAAAGGTCAATGTCAAGAAGCCTTTTCAACATAATAAATAGTAGTTAGTTAGTTTTAAACCCGTAATAACAGGTGGGTATGTAAGCACAAGCAGTATTTTGGCAGTTATTAGCATCCAACCTTAAGTAAAAGATCAGGTAATGCCGAACTCTATCCGTGCTAAAAGCACACAGTTACATATAAAGTGGCACAAACACACTCTGAATTGGGAAACTGGTGCTCAGTGTGGGAGATAATTAGCAAACCTTAGCATACCAACTTGCTTAATTTGAATGGTATCTTTATTGAAACATCTGCATATCAGTGTTGTTGTTGCACATACAGTTTACTTGCATGCTGATGGTGTAATTGAGCTCAGAGCCACTGTTCAATCATGAAATCACACTCTCACTCACACACATAAAACAAGACACACACTCATACTCTTATTGTTGCCAAGTGTGGTCGAGCTAGCCTGTCCTGTACCTGCCAGGATTAGACAGTGGACAGTGGTGATAACAGCAAGCTGATCCCCAGGCTTCTACACTACGCTTATCTAATCCATTCCCCCACTGCTAAGCATGTGTGTGCATGTGTGTGGGATGCATGGCTTCAGGCATGTGTGTATTTGTTTTTCTTTACACAATAGCACATTCTCTCGCTATCGGCAGCTCTGTAAAAATCAATAGGCAATAATAAAGCACACTAAAAAGATAGATCTGGCTGCATTTAACCATCAAGCTTAACTGAAGATCAACTCTGCGGATCAATAATTCAGATTAAGAACCTTTATAGAGGAAGAAAATCATTGGGGGGCCTCTTTGATTCAGGACAATGGCCAGCTAATGGTTTTTTTAATAAAGGTACATTTGTAACATTTTCTCAACCGGCTCTTTATGAACAGGGAACAATTCTGCATTGATAAACTTAATTAAGTTGAGTAGATACATCTAATTTTATACCAATATGACTACACCTGAACTAATTCATAATTTAAAGCCTCCAGTAAGGAACTGTGTGTTTTGTTGGTTTTGGCACCCCCTGTGGACAAAGAAGAATCGCTTACATCTTTTTTAGTGTTGCTGTTCATAAAAATCATATTATCACAACTTCAGAGTCATTAGCAGTTTCACTACCTATACTTTTGTAATATTTAGTGGAAAGACCAGAAGACCAAACATTTCCAAAGAGCTGGTAGTGTTTTTTGTCTTTGACAACATTTTGCCGCCGCCTCAACTTCCAACATATCATACTCAAACCTTTTGTCCTCTCATTTCTGTGGCTAACTCACTTTAACCCTTTCAAATTTCAACACAGATTTGAACACTGTAAGATTGCTCATTCTGAAAAGGAATCGTGACTAAGCTAGGTTTTTTTTTTCCATGACGACTTTCAACAAGGGAAGATGATGACTGTCTCAAGGAAGCTCTGTTAGGGTTAGGGCTGGGCAACATGGGACAAAAATAATATCTAGGATTTTTTTCACAAAAAATTCTATTAACAGTTTTTTATCATTATCTAGATTTAGATTTTTGTAAATCTTAAAAACTGTAAATGCAAATAAATCTATTTATAACACTGCCCTAAAACACACTTTAAAAAATTATTTAAAGTGCAATGGTGATTTGATTTGTTTGACATAATGTGACATGAGATATAACATTATGTTGTAAGACCTGTGAGACTCAATGGCAAAACTGATACGCTGAAACATAATTGTTTTTTGGGCCAATAATAAATAAATGTGGAACTGGGTTTAAGTTCCCATCCCTAATTCTTTAATTTACTGCTCTATATTAAGTTCATACTAAAAGGCTTGGGTTTAATTCACCTGGAAAATGTATGGCCTCAATTCTTAGTTTTTTTTTAACGTCAGTTTCTTTATGTAGATACATAAGTAACCAGAGACACATATAAATAACATTGACCTCAGTTTAAACCTCAAACAACAGAAGCTGAAGGGCTGTATGAGCTACACTAAACCAATCATTCCAAGACACAACACTTAGTTAAATAAATCAATGCAGTGCACTGATACACTAACATGAAGGGAAGAACTCCAAAAACACAATCCCCTCAAAGACTGTCTGAGTAGGACAAGGGTTCAACCCCAGTTCACAAACTGCATGTATTGATAGCAAGGGAGAATGTTTGCATGCGGAGTGTTCCCTTTTCTTCTTCAAAACTGGGTTTTCTACTTCTGCTTTCTGCGGAAAGTCCTATAAACATACACACAACAGTCAAGAGGACACTGCAGGCTCATATTCCTTTTTTAAGCCTTCCACCTTCTCACCCTCGCCTGCTTGGCACCCTCATTGACTCATATAAAAGCAACATATTCACACGTTCATGCAGCTGTTCTAGTAGGCTGGGGAGCTGGCAGCCCCGCAGCATGGTTAGGTTTCCCACACTTAAGAGAGAACATGATGATGGGGACTTCCCATGAAGGAAACCCCAGTTCAAGAGAGCTCACAGGTTGATCCTATGTTGATGGACAAAACCATACAATTTAATTATTTGTCGTTTTTTTGTTTGCGCAATACCTTCTATTAATTTTTTGGTTTTACCAACATTGGCTTCAACAACAACAACAACTAATCCTCTCTGAAATAATCCAAAATATTTCAAGTATTAACTTTTCTGCTTTGGCTTGAGTACATTTAAATTTTGGGGAAGATTTTAAGGGACATTGTAATTAGAGGAATTTGTTAAAGGCAAGTTTCAGCCATGTTATCCAATGAGTCGAGCTTCTGGGGTTCATAATAAAAGTTTAACATACAACAACAGGTTGTCAATGTTATGGTGACCAAAGACAAAAAGGTTCAGGGTGATAAAGGAGCATCCGAAGAGAGAATAGAAGAGGACCAAGAGTAGAACCTTGAGGAACACCACTATCACAACACCACTAGTACCACGTGTGATGTAACTATTGAAAAGATGTAAATGTGCATCTATGAACAACTTAGCTTTTGAGATGGAGCAGGTAGATGGCATGATAAACAACCACAATCTGCAGCAGGGTTGTACTTGGAAAAAAGTGGTACATTCTTCTTTTGGCCATTGATTGAAAAATATGGATGTAGTGGTAGTGATGTCATCAATTGGTTTCTGAAACAGAGTATTTCAGGTGCAAAAGTGGTGGTCACCAAATTGGCAATACTGATTCAGCCTAACTTTAAATGAACCTCGCAAGACACAAGGAGGTCGAGACTGGGTGGGTCTATAGCCTTGTGGCTAACAGCTGCAGTATAATATATATATATATAATTCAAAGTTTCACATTCTGCTGTATAGGACTAGGTTAATTTTTAATGTGGCTCAATAGTTGATGTTTAGGTCTAATATCAGTGTCTAATAGTATGACAATTTAAAAGGAACCAGCCAAAGACTCTTCATGGACTCTTCAAGACCAAAATTGGAGCCAAAAAGGAGCCTATATTAAAATTCCAGTCAATTTGAATGATACTTAAACACTTCTCATTTAGCTGGTGATATTATACAAATGTTTTTTTACTATCTCTCAATGGCAACATAACCTTAAAGACCTCATTTAACTGGCCAGTGGAGAGAAAGAACGCTTTGAAGATAATCAGCCAAGATCAACAATCTGTAGAGAGTGGCCGCAGATAAGCTCAACCACAACTTGTCTTTATAACTCCCGGTTGAATAAATCAATGTGGCGTAGTTTATACAGTTCCACTGGCAGCGCACACATGGAGATATCGCAGTAAATCAATCTCATCCTCCCCATTTCACGGTGAATTGTTTCTTTTCCCCACAGACCTCTTTGAGGTAAAGGTCAGGGAGGGAGGTTGTGTGTTTGTAACGACGATAGATTGGCTGTGAGGCCACACACCTTCTGTGGTGTTCTGTATCGATCTTTGTGTGCAGTGCATTATGTTACCAAAGTAGATAACAGCCTACCTCCAAAGACGCTCATACATCAGCTGATGGTGCTGGAACAGATTCAAAGAGAGGTTAACGAACATTTATCTTTGTGTTTTATCAAAACAGAGAATGATCAGGCTGTGGAGTTAAGTCTTCATTTCTTTTAATTGAGTTTGTAGTCAATACAGAAATATTTTTATTAGTAGGGCTCTCTCAAGTCAGTCAGAATTGATTTTACTCACTGGTTGATAATTCACTCTGATCCTCAGTGGAACCTAGATGAATGTGGGTTTTTAATAGTCACTGAACCACATCATGGCAGACTTAAATGAGTGAGTTTATTTGGATTTCCTCAGGCTTGAACTAGAGAATATTACCGTATGTGAGGTTGGTAACAGGTGGAAATGTACAGGTCACTCAGACTGTATTTCCTCTGGGAAGGACATAACAGAGGAATTGTCAAGCTCAGCATTCTGTACAGTGCGGACAGAACAGTGAGGACGATAATAATACATTATCGTTTCTGTGACCTTTCTGTTTCTGCTTAATGTTTCTTCCTGCTCTGCATCGACAACACAGATTTTTCAAGTTTGGAGTAAACCTGTGGCACTTGTTTGGAACAAGTTTGGTCGCATCCAGTAGTCAAGTTTAGCATCAGCATTTGTTGGGAAAGTAATGCCCAGTGAGGGATCTATGCACAAAAAAGAAACATGTTCATCATGCCTAGAGAGGATCAAATGATTTTTTATACAGCTAAAAGTTTCAACTCCAAGAGCGGAGACCAAGTCCAGGGATTTGAGGGTGGAAGCAGAAGCAGCATGTTAAGTTATAATGACCTTTGTGAACTTTTCTCTTGGTTTCTGTCTGTGAACAGGTCTTCTTGTGTTTCTTCTGTGCAGCTTTAAGGAGTTTAAAGCGTATTATACCTGTGCTTTAGCCGCAGCTCTGCTCTCCTTCTCATCCTGATCAGATGAAGAATGATGTATTTTTTTGTTTTTTTGGATTTAATAGTTTGAAGCGATGTGTTGTGTTTGCCCTTTAAAATCTACAAATTTGCGCTTGCTTATTTGATATGAAAAAGATTATCTGGGAGGTTATCCTGAAAATCACAGAAATCATGTGAGTTTACAAATGAAGCTTTTATTCATTTATTCAAATTAAACTAGGGTTGTTTTTGTTGGGGTTGCACCACAGATGCAGCTGTGTTTGAAGTGTTCATCATTATGTTATGTTACGATTACAGTTTTCAAATATTTATCGCAACCTTCATTTAAACTTCTTGAAACAGCCGCGAAGGAATCAGACATTTTTGGTGGCAATATTTCCAAGAAGAAAACAAAGTGTTCACAATCCTGGCGATAATGACGTGTGTGTCTGCACAAAGATGGCAGAGGAGAGAAGAGCAGCAGTCAAAGTCAGGGGTGACTCTTTAGAAGTGGCGATCGGGTTCAAGAACAAAAAAAACCAACACTCAAAGCACCGTGAAGTGCTGAGCTCGGCTTTCACAGTGTGAGGAGGAAGACGATGCTCTGATCTGGACTGGGCTGACAAACTGAATTCTCCTGCGATATTTCAGACACAGCTGAGACTCAGATGGCCCGTGAAAACTCTGCGCCTCTTTCATCTATAACAGCTCAAGGATAACACTCTTAAGAAATAGAAAACACTGATATGGACACCTCGCTGGTTGTTCTATTTTGCCCTCCCTTCCTGTGTTTCTTTATTACACTATTTTCTTTATTTGATTTTTGATGACTCTGCTTCTGCCTCCCTTCAACACCCTCCATCTCCATCCCCTTTCTCCTTTTGTCACTCCTCCCAGACTGTCACCATTACATTCTGTCACTCATCACCTCCTGCTCACATGTCCTGGTTTCCTGCTCCATTTCCAAAGTGTCACCAGAGTAATACGAGAACGTCTCTGTGTTCTTTCTCTGCTCTCTGGTGACCTTGTTTCTAACCTCTACGTCCTTTTCTCTTCTTCTCTCTCTTTCCAACAGCAAAGATGGCAATGAGCGGCATCCTCAACGCTGACGACATCAAGAAAGCCCTGGGTGCATTTGCAGGTAAAGCACTTGTCTTGTGTAAATTAGGTGGTTTGGATGCAGCCTGGTGGCACACTTTGGTTTGATACAAATACCACTGTTTTGATGTTGCACACCAGAGGTACTTGTTCACAGAATTATCCCATTATAATGAACATACTAGTATAAATGAGACTGCTACAACAAGACCTCTACAGGCAAGGGTTGTTTTCTCTAGTGGCGAACAAGGGCGAATGGTCTGTGCCACCCCGATGGATTATCCTTTTGGGGAGTCCAGCTACCAGTCAATGCCACGCTGCCAAGGACCAGAGTGCCTGTCCTTGGCTGTCCCTTGGTTCTCCATCCACAATGTCCCTTTGGGTTGTAGACCCACTAACCAAGGTCATGATAGTTTTTGAACTATTAAGTAGTTTTTATATTTTGTTTTCAAAATTTTCTTTTGTTTCCAATTTTTATTTGTTTTTTTTTTGTTGTTGTTTTTTTTACCCCTGTAAAACATAGATATTGTGTTGAAAAAGCTTAAAACATCATTCAATTATGCAACCTGCCTTTTTAGAGACAAGTTTTATGCAAAATTAACCAAATAGACAGTTTTACAGAGAAAAAATCCAACATGTGTTGGACATCTTGGTTCTGCCTTCCACCAGTATATGGATTTGAAGCCAAAAAACGTTTTTTCTCCATTTCCTGAAACCAACATTGCGCAGTAGCATTGTACATTTGGCGGAAGAGTCGCTGTGATGATGCTCGGCTAAAAAGCGTATCCCCAGAGTGAGCTACTCAATCTTCGTACGCCTCTAGGCTGTATCAGGTGTCAATCATAGAAAACATGAACCCCCAAATAACCTTTAAAAACAAAGCTGTACCGAAAAAAGAGGACTTGAGCACAAACCAGTCTTACAATAACTACATGTCGACATTGCAAGCAGGGGGAAGAAAAATTTATATTCTGTGTAATAACTTTCTAAAGTTTGTCCACAACTCCATAAAGATTTGAGGAGGTGGGATTAATGACCTATAATGCAGCCCGTCACCAGAGTGTGCTGTTCTTGGAGTGGCTTCACCCAGCGAGGAGGCAGACGGTGTCCATTCTATATAGGGTCTATGGTTATGTTGCACTGCAACAGTTGGATCCATGCTGAACAGAGGTTTCTGTTGAGAGCAAAGTAGGTCTACAGTTAAAGACAGGGACAAAACTGGCAGGTAAAAGTAAAGAAAGTTCTCTAGTTCTCTCAGCACATTGATAGTCAGCATGTGAACAATTATTATTATTTTTTTTATATTTTAAAAGGGACCATGTACAATACTGAACATAAATGTTACTATTAGTGCAGAGTTAGCTTAGAGATTATTTACTGTATATTTGCAGGAGTCATATGGTCAAATCTCCTGTGACGAGTTTTTGGACATTACCGAAAGAAAGCCTTTTTATGGTATACAAAATTTAAAAAAAGACCAACGGGGACATGATTGATGATATTTACAGTAAATCGTATTTTTTTTTATGCTCATTCTGTCTTTATTGTTTCCACATAAAATATTCAGAATGATCTATGCACTCATCAGAAGACACTGTTGAAGCATGTGGTAGACATGATAATGAACCCAAGCTGAAAGTTCCTCACAGGAGGTTTAAATAAAATGTCACGAACAACAGGGGCATCAAAAAATAAAAGAAAATTTGTAGAAACTGCTCGGGGGCGCCCCTGCTCTACTACACATCAAGAAAGTGTTCACTCATCTATTATTCAGTAAAACCAGAAACTTAATTTTCTGATTCGATCTAAACTGACTCCTAATCCAGGGATGTAATTATTCAATAAGAAGTTTTTGTTTTCAGCCTTCACAGTATCACAACCTTGGGCTTTATTTCACCGTTTTGGAAACAGACAGAAGCAAACACAACATTAACTTCCACCTCACAGCTCAATAATTGTACAGAGAGTGCTACTTTCAGATTGTTATCAAATAATGACAATATTCTGGGGTTTTATGTCTTTCCAAGGTGTAGGGTTGCTTCCACTGATAAAAAAAAACAAACATCATTTTAGAAAAAACTGAGAAGCTACTGAAATAGCTCCTCCTGCTTCAAAGCTGTATATCTCTGCTATATGAGGATGTTCTTTCACATACATGTACACCTGTATGTGACATATATGTACATGTACTTTTGCACAGACAGACCGAGGAGACAGAAAGAGCTCCATGACCCAGAACTGACGGGGCCTCTGGCGAACACATGTTCTCAATATTTAACCGCCGCCCTGTTAGAAGGCTGCCTCATTACAAATAGATTTTTGCCTTTGGGTCTTATCACTTGGCTTCACACAGGACGAACAATTTAAAGTAACTTCTGGAAGAGTTTCATCACACACTGTACATCCATTTGCGGCTTTGTTGGGAAGATTAGGGCGTTTAAAAAGCTTGCAAACTTCTTAAATGTTTGCCTCTTTGTATTTGTGTTTGTGCAGCTCCTGACTCCTTCGACCATAAGAAGTTTTTCGAGATGGTCGGTCTGAAGGCCAAGTCTGCCGACGATGTGAAGAAGGTCTTCACGGTGCTGGACGCCGACAACAGCGGCTATATAGAGGAGGAGGAACTCAAGTACGATACACACTGATAAATACAACAACAACAAAAACTCTCTCTGCACATTTAGCTTCTGTTTTCTCTGACGCAGATTTGTTTTGTTTTTCTCTCTTTGTACAGATATGTTCTGAAGGGTTTCACCAAAGATGGCAGGGACCTGACAGACAAAGAAACCAAAGAATTTTTAAGAGCAGCCGACAAGGACGGAGACGGCAAGATTGGAGTTGATGGTAAACATCACATTCAATCAGTTTGGGTGCTACAGAATCACGTTAGCAGACAACAACAATTCAAAGAGACGAAGCACATGCACTCTCATACTGCAGAGCATGATGAACCACACACTCATCTTTTGATGGAGTACAAAGGCTGCTGGTTCATTTTAGTTTTGCTCATTTTTATTAACTTACAGATCAGATTTTGATCTTGCACTGCACTGCTTTTTGTTGTTAGTTTGACTTTATGTTAAAAATAAAGTATTCATTGTTTAACAGAGAGAAACTTTAGCAACATAGTGATTCCAAAAAGATGTATAATTAATTTGCATATTTCACATCTGGCCCATTTCAAAAGCTGTGCAAAAATCACTGGTATTGTTGAGCTTCATTTATTGTTTGACTTAACCCAAAATAAACAAAGACGGGAATTGGCGCTTACCATAAAAAGAAGTAAACATGACGATTGGGACATCCTGTTTACTGCAGCTGCTCCACTTAATGAACAGTTATCACCACTCTCACTTTCAGTGGGCCAACGGGCTTTTCAGCTGCACTGATGTTTTCACAGTATTCATCAGCAGCAGAGCATAAACAATGCTGCTTAACATTCATATTACACCATAGGAGAACTCTATGAGACAGTTAGTTTGGCGTATATATCAGAATAATGTGGCTGTGACTGTTGAATGGTTTTAAAGGTGCATGTTTTAGGGAGCTGTTCAGTCTCTGCTGGATCTTATTCCGACACACTGATCCTCTAGCAACCTAAATAAAAAAAGGATTATCGTCCTTTGCTTGTAGCCGTAATTATCTATTCTTCATACTTGTGGTGGCAAATTTCCTCAGATGTTATTCTCTGGGTGTTAAAGTTAAAGCTGTGATTAAAAGGGTTATCTGTTTTTAAAAAGGTAATAAACACAAAAACTCTAATTATTTAGCTACTTAAAGTCCCACTCCACTCGTTTTTTTTCTACTTAAAGTGTTCTCAGTGGTCTTTAAATTGTGATTACGAAGTTTTTGGCCAAAACCGTGTTACTTGTGTTGTGTTCAAGGGCTTTTCTTCTGCAGCGGTCCAATAGATCATTAGCAATTCGAGTTGTGTGCGGAGACAGCGCTGCTCTGCACACTCTTCTTCACGTTAGCTTGCAGCCTAACATTGCCTGTGCAGCAGAAGTAGCAGGTAACATAGGAGCTATTCACTCCTGAGACACTATTGGGCCTACAAAAGTTTTGCGTGTACAAAAACACGTGCAAACTTGATAGCGCGTGCAAACCTGATCTACTAACCAGGTGCATGGTTAGCATGTTTGCCTTCATGAATACCCAAAATGTATGTAGATCATCAGAACATGCAAAATTCTGGGAGGTGCAGATGCAAATGAAATCATTTAGCACCCACAATGGGATTTATCAAACCTAGAAACCGATTGCGGTCGCTGTTTGAAAAGCACGTGCAAACTGGAGCAGCGTTACGCACGGTCACTGTGGGGAGAAGGATGCAGAAGTGTCATGATACACGCCATGATTCTTGTCCAAAAGCTTGTGATTTTTTTCGTTTTTCCAGTAAATTATGATTTTCATGAATAATAAGGTCAAACAAGAAACAGACGAAAAAAATTATCTGTTTGTCTTATTGATTTTAAATCGTTTTAATCCCTTTTTTGATTTCTAGTAGATCTTCTTGCATCTGTAAAGCACTTTGAATTGTCTTATGTATGAATTGTGCTATACTTGCCTTGCCTTTTATATAGTTCCCCAAAACCATATGTGCAACTCCATGGCTTCAAACACTCTGCTCTCACAAACTCTCCATGGTGACAGCCGATAGCGCAAGCAAAATCCCCGTTTAAAGAGGGCTGTCCGCTACCAATTGCACACGCAATGATGGTAGATCACCCGCAACACGCCCACAAATAACACGTGCAATATTTTAGTTTGCACATGCAATTTAGCGTTTACAATTTTGGATCTTAGTAGATCAGGCCCTATTGTATTTAGGGGCACGATGAAAGCTGATCAAAAATCTCTTATGAGCATTGTAATCCCCTAACACACACGCTTGTTCCGCGATCATCCTCTGTATTTCTCCTCTATATGATCAGCATCAGAAAAATGCCATGTGATCATGTATAAAACAAGAAAAACATGATTTTCATTAGAGTGGGTCTTTAAAAGTTGATCACCAGCTAAAAGGACAAGAATTGATGAATGCCTTGATGTAACAGCATTCAAGCGTCACAGTACAATAATAACTTTACTTTGCTAAACAATCCAACAAGCTGTAATATAAAAAAGACTTTCCAACTGGATATTCCTTGACCTTTTGTCATATTTCTACTCTGAGCTGCTTTTTTATTGAGGTTTTGTTGTGAAGTGAGGTGGTTTCATACATAAAATGACTCTTGCCCTGTGTGTAAGGGTCAGACATCAAATAACTCCAAGCTTACATGACTGATGGAGATACAAAGAAACAGGAAAAGCCTTTTTTAAAGTCAGCTAAATGCTAATAGAAGCAGCTGTGTGTTGATGACTGATAAGTAACTGATGTTTTAACTTGATATATGCCAAATGATTTCAGTTTTTGAAACACTTTGAGCATTGTGATTTGAGAATACATTGCACACACTTGGGCATATTTGTGCTCAAACATTCAAAGTCATGTGTATCTATTCATTTATTCACTAACTTACTTCTTTTCTCGTCTCCTTTCTCGCAGAATTCACCACTCTGGTGAAGGAATGAAAAGCTACCTGGTGTGACTGACCGGCACTCCAAGATCACCTCCAAACCACCGCTACATCCTGACACCTGCTGGCTCCCCCCCCTTTTCCTCTTCCAGCACCCCCACCCCCACCTCACCACCACCACCACCCTCCCGTCCCACTCACCCTGTCTCCCAGCCCACCAGACTGCCTCTGACTCCTGCCACATGCACTCTTCTTCCTCACCTTCCTCTTCCCACACTGCTGTTTTCACCGAGTGCAGTGCAATACAAAGTCCCCACAGCTATATTTATGATCATATTTATTTCCTCCTTTTTATACAAGCTTTTCTTCTTTCCTTCTGTGTATAGATAATAAACATGCCTGCAGGAACAAACCTCACATTTTAAAGCATTAAGTAGATATTTTAAGAAAACTGATTATAAGAGAATGACCCTCAATTTTCCTCCTTTCTTTCTGTTTTACTCTCCTTCTTTAAGTCAACTCTCCCTTTCACTTTACCTCCTTATTTCTCCTTTTTTTCCCCCTGCATCTCTCTCACCTCTAGCACTGTTCCCCCTCTGCATTTCCTCCCCTTCTCTCTCTCTCTCTCCTTCCCACACTATCCGTCCATTTTACTATCTATCACCCCCTTTCTCCTCTGGTAATGAGCTGTTGTAAAACATACCAAAAGAAGAAAGAGGTCAAGCTGTGAAAGAATCAAATAAAATGAAAGTTGAAAAAAAAAACACAAAGCCTCGAGAAACACTGACTTACTGTTAATTCTTTCTTTTGATGTGATTCATCTATCTGATTTTACACTCTCAATTCTGCTCCTCTTTTCCCTTTCTTTCTCTAAGTCCCTGTCACTTTCACTCTTATCAAGCAGAAGGAGTGAAGCATATCTTTACAGCGACCTAATAATGTATAAGAGGTGTCTTTTTAATGGTGTTTATCTTCATATTAGCCTCCAGTGTGATTTATGAGCGTTGATTAAAGCTGACCTTGGTGTCGCAGAAGCAAAAGAGGAGAAAAACATACAGTGAGATTAAAAGTAAAGTATGTTTTCACAGATGGTTGTATCTGCAGCACAGTCCACACTGCATTATGGATGTAACTTCAGTGAAAGAGGCAAAAGACAGTGGAGACCACATTATTCCACCTGCCAAAGAGCCTCAGCTCAAACAGTGCCGTGCTACTTTTACAGAACCGTGCCGGAAAGCCATTAGCACAATTGGATTCACACTGAGGGGTTCAATTTAGGTTAAGTATCCCCGGCGGAGGACCCCGAACAGGCAACGCGGGAATCCTGATCTCTTTTAGTAGGCCATTTTACTGCCTGAACAAATAAACACAGATCTGGAGCTTAGAGGCCATCACTTTAAAAAGACGAGGAGCAGGACAGCTTTTAACTACCAGTTACAAGACAGGAAGACATTGAGGTTTTATGTGGGAGAGCATCTTTAACATGTGCCACATGCTGCTTTAAAGCAATAAAGGAGTACAAGTGATAAAATGATCATTTAAAGCTCCTGTGAGGAGTTTTTTTTTATTCATGACAGATTCAAATTCATTTTATTACCTTTCTATGATCTTCAAAAGCAGACAAGACCATCAGAGAAGTGATTGATGATTTTTATACAGTAATTTTTAATGCCTTGATAATTATGCATCAGATTTCATATAGCGCTTTATCAGAGACCGCCCTTTACATGGGATACATCATTCATTCACTCACACAGTCACACCTTGGTGGTGGTAAACTAACTTAGCAGTCACAGCTGCCCTGGGGCAGACTGTAGGAAATGTGGCTGCCAGTTTGCGCCTACAGTCTCCGACCACCACTACACAACACTCACAATCATACACCAGTGGAGGACACACACTGGGAGAAGGTGGGTTAAGTGTCCTGCCCAAGGAAACAATGGACAGATTCAGGATAGGGGGGAATCGAACCGCCAACTTTCCGGTTATTGGACAACCGCACTACCTCCTGAGCTACTGCCGCCCCTTGAACTGGTGTGAGGGGCAGCTAAAAAAAAAACAGTCTGGTTTTTACAGCTTCCTCATAACAAATGTCACAGTAAGTGTTACATTTGTAGAGGAAAAGATAAGCTAAGACCACTTCATCCACAGGGGGCGCCAAAGTTTATTCAATCTAAAAGTTCCTCACAGGAGCTTTAGTAATCATAATGGTAGCAATAACTTTATTTTCATTCTACTTATAACAAATCTGATTTACAAAGTGCTTTGGCAACCTGCATTACTAAAACAGCATAAGAACAGAGTTAGAAAAAAAAAAAACACATAAAAAACCCTGAATAATTCAGAGAACCCAAACAAACCCGTTAATAATTGGTTAGGAGTTTGATGTACCTAAAAGCATAATTTTATTACAAGTTTCTCGAGAAGAGTGATGGCCAGTTGATGGTTTTTCACTTAAAAGTTTTGTTTTTTGAAACATGTTTGTATGAGTTTGTGTCAGTGGTGAGTGTCTGACCCACAGAGAAGTCTCGTTGTGAAGACACTGGCTGGAAAACCGTCACAGAAGTCAGGCAACTGGTGTGTCCAATTTGAACTTGGAAGCTGGAAATTCCTAATGCCAGCAGGACACACTTTACACGAGAAAATTAAGAGGAATTCAAGATAGCCAGAGAACCAAGATGGCTGCCCCTGTATCAGCTGTAAGAGAGCTTCACTTTTAATGGTTAGCACCCGTGTCCTATTTTGTGTAATTTAATAAATCACTATCAAAAATGATAAATCAATTCATTTTGTTCTTTGTAAGTCTCATTTATATATTACAGATAAACACTAGTCTTGTCTGTGCAGCTGATGAAGTAAACCAGAGTGCTAAAATGCTGAAAGGATGATGTTGTGCAAACCATGACTGTGTGGCACTTTTTATTGCGAGTTCAAAGTTTTAATCCAGTTTTTAGACCATTATATTTCCTCCCAGATTTACATTTTCAATTGCAACATTTTTTTTCCTCCTAAACTTTTGTTCCTTGACTAGGTAGAAAAAAAGGGACATGAAAAGATTAAATGAATTATACATACAAGGTCATTATAGATGAAACATCTCATAAAAGCTAAAAGCAACTTTGATACTTACTGGCACATTTTTAGCACTGATTAACTTTATAATATACACACATTGTAAACATTTATCCTTTAGCTCTAAATATAAGATAATGAAGTCTAAAAAGTCATTCACGTGTTAAAATACAAGAGTTTCAGAGAAGAAAGAGACAGCAGGTGAGAACCATGAACTGCTATAACACATAATTACATGATGATTCCACATTATTGTAAAAATCACAAAATTAAAGCCATTTACAAAGAATTTAAAACAAAGACAGGCATTTCATATTGTAAAAGTTATTAAAGTGTTGTTTTTGGATATACAAATATCTCAAAAGATATATCTACAATTTTTCTTTGAGGATCAATGAAGTTCTTCTTCTTCTTCTTCTTCTTGTGCAAACGTAAATATTTTTAACTTTGTGTCACTGCAGGAGGACTCTTAAGCAAAGTAAGTCTTTAAATTGTACAAATCATCTGCTGTTTAAACAACTTTCACTTAAGGTCCACATTACATACTGCTTTATGAACAGCTATGTCTGAAGTCCTAGTGAAAGCCTTTTTTTCCCGCTGTTTAGAGTAAGATGTCATCATCTGCGTAAGCGTGGAGCCGACCTGTCATCAGTGTGTGTGGGCTTCAGTTTGACAGTGGCAAATGGGTTAGTACCCCTTGAAAACAAAACACACCGTCAGGAGAGAGAAAGATGACTGTTAGAGAAAGAAATAAAAAGGTGAAAACTCGCAGAAATATCTCTGAGTGTCTGAATCTCATCTATGCGCCTGACGGGTAAGGTTATGACATGAGAAATGAGCAATCCATTTCAAACAGTTCAAGCACCGTTCAGCAAACTGCTCACCTGAAGTCAGAGTGCCAGTGAGAGTGATAGCCATTCTTTCCAAAATGACTGTACCTGAAATGGTTTCTGCGCTAAACTGCACTTCAAACTCCATTGAAAGGAAAGCAATTCTGTTCTGTTTTGAGCACTGCTCTCCACTGTTGTTCCCTGATTTAACAGGTTCAAGATATACTTCAGAAATATCATTCAGAGAAAACATTTCACACACAGCCTCTGCTTTCTGATATAGTAACTGTCACATGACTTTTACCTTGGAAAGAGTTCAGGTCGAGATCTCTGCGGTTCTGATCCCTGTGGAAAAGTATAAGAAAGGTAGAGGTGAGTAGAGGCCAAGATGTGGACACATGCACTAATGGAGGCTCAGCAGGCTGCAGCCCTTCACCCTTTGCTCTTTAAATTTCAGGCAGTCCACCCACAGGAATACTTCACACAAACTTCAGAGAAAGTCCAGGACAAAAAACACATAAAATACCTTTTTGACAGCCGAGTTGGACAGGAGCACAACAACCAAACCATGCAGAAACTCTTGTAAAAAGAGGGCACTCTATCAGCCAGACATTCAGCTTTAAGTACCAACATGCGATTACTCTATTTACTTCCAAATCTCAACAGTTTGAGGTGAATTATTATGTGATAATAACAAATAACAGTGTTGTGCTGCTTAAGTGTGCTCTATCAGTCAAAAATCAGTTCATTCACATTGTTAAATCAGTCATAACTCAAATTAAAGCTGTCAGGAACTTTCAGTTTGTATCAATTTTGTCAACTCTTGTGGACAAGAGGTCTTTGCTTACATCATCTCCTCTGACAAAAAAGTATATTATTTCATATAAATGATCAATGTTAGCTTTTAGGCACTTTATAATTGTATCCCAATTTTAGGCTGCATCCTTACCCATAATGCTAGCTAGTTAGCATTCAAGCACTTTCTGGGTTGCATTACATGAGCTACATTTAGCTAACATAGGGTGACCATATGTCCTCTTTTACCCAGACATGTCCACTTTTTGGGGAGCTGTCCGGGCTTGTCCGGGGAAGTTTATGAAATCCTCCAAATGTCAGCGGTTTTGTACTTAAGTTTCAAGTTTGTGTCACGCAGACTGACTGAGTTAGAAGCATGTAAAAGACACTCGATCTGACCCGAAAAACTCTCAAAATCAACTTCTTGCCACTCCCTGACTCCGCCCCAGCGTAGTCATGTCCTCTTTTTGGGAAGTCAGAATATGGTCACCCTAGCTAACAACATTAAAACAATCCATTAACTCTGAATGAAATCATAAGAATATGGGCCTTTACCACTATATTGCGTAAAACTCTCAAATAGTACAAGTTTTCATCTACTATCTAGCTAACAGCAACATTAACTGTATCTCAATTCATGGGTCGAATACTCAAAGGACATATTTCAAGATTGATAGTATATAATGGCAATGGCAGTAAAGTTACATGATGCTAGCAGTATTAGCTAGTTAGCCAAATAGCCACATATTGCCTGGTGACAGGGGCATTGCTATGTAATGCTAGTGTAAGGGTGGAAACAGCTAGTGACGCTTACAGAAAACTCTTGAAACCAGACTGTCTCGTTCAAGTTTAGAGTAAGGCTGAGTCCTACTTCTGAATTTGGACACAGCTATCATAATAAATGCACAAATAAAGCTCAAGGAAGGGCAAGAGCAAGTTAGCAAGACCTTGGTGATAATAAGTTGGAGGCTGGGGTTCGAAGTAAATGATGCTAATGCCACATCATCTACTTCTAACTTAGTCTGGAAGCATCGGTCACTGCAGGTAACACAGACCACACCAAACTAGCTACCTAAATTCAGTTTCAGTTTTATGTATCTTCATGCCAAGTAAAAGGCACCCAAACACATGCAAACCACCTCCTCATCAGTGCACCATCAGCAGCTGGAGCTTCCCCCCTGCATCCACCAGAAAGACGGATGTGGTGCCATTGAAAACAGCACCTTACTACAGTGCCCCTGCTGGAGGGACTGGAAAAATATTCTTGATGATTATCAAAGAAACTGAAACAACACAGACGTTAATACTCTGGCATATCAGGAGGATGTAGTATATCAGCGGTGAATCAAAAGCTGAAATCAGATCGATGGGGTTATATAATTTCCTGCCATGACTGATGATAAATTGTTGACTTTGTTATCAGCTCTGGAGCTAATAAAACATTTCTGATCATTAAATTCTACCAGACTGTTGAAAATTAAGCTGTCATACCACTTACTGCAGGGAAGAGACAAAGATATGGTTTAACAGTGCATTTATTTTCAGCCAAACATTATAACCCTGTTGTTTTAAGGCTTTTTAATGGTAGTGGCAGCAAAATAGACAGTCAGAAACCTGAGAGGATTTATGAATGGGTGATATTCAGCTAATATGTTTTCCCCAAACCTCATTTTTAAGATAGATTATGACTGTTCCAAAAATGCATTTATAACCATCATACTTGTTAGTTCCTCACAATAGCTCTGTCAAGGTGCTATGTTCAAAAAGGGCTTTTAAAGAGATATATATAACCAGCTCCCAGCCGTCTATATTTCAGTGTCTGTTTGTGTACTTAAAGAAAAAAATGGATAATCTTGTAAGGAGGGAGAGACTTGACTGATAGCAGCTATGCTGATCGATAAGCATGACAGTTGTACCTTTTTGTCTGAGTGGGACTGTGCCTTCTTTTTGCGGGTCTGTTGGAGTGGTTGTGTCTCACGCTGTTGGTGTGAAGATGAGGATGGCGGTGGTGGTGGAGGGGGTGGGGCTGCGCTGCGGCTGCTGCTGCTGCTGCTGCTGCTTCTTGGTTGGTAGATTTGGCTGTTCATGCTGCTGCTGCTGCTGCTTACAAAAGAGCTATAGAGACAAAAAAAACATGATATTGTTCTTGCATTTAGTATCATTTCCCCCGATACAAGCCTTCACTGCTTAAAGCATATCAGATACATAAAAATGAGCTAAACCAGTGGTTCTCAATCCAGTCCTCGAGCCCCCCCTGTCCTGCATGTTTTGGATGTTTCCCTGCTCCAACACACCTGATTCAAATGATCAGCTCGTTAGTAAGCCATAACGAGCTAATCATTTGAATCAGGTGTGTTGGAGCAGGGAAACATCCAAAACATGCAGGACAGGGGGGGCTCGAGGACTGGATTGAGAGCCACTGAGCTAAACCATGCTTTGCTCTGAATATAAACAATTTAGTGCATGTGATCTACTTTTCTGGCTTCAAGCTGTAGCATGTGCACGCAGTGACAAAGCAAAGTTTGAGTTTAAACCCTCCTACTGGTTTTCCTCACAGCGATGGGTCACCCAAATTTCATAAATAGTTCATGTTATTATTCCAATCCTGAGATTCATTCTGACCTTCTTTTGGAAAAGTTAGGCCCGGAAAAAACAAAACAAAAGAAAAGACATCAGAATCTTTCCTGTATTTATTCTGAAAGGTAAACATCATGCAGAAGGTTTTGTCTTTGGTTTGAAATCTTTTCATCCATTTTTAATGAGGACCATTATAAAGAATTAATGATTTTTACAACATGCCCAGACTTGCTGCTCTTTGGACTTTAGGCAGTCATACAAACATGTGGAATAGCTAATAAATTCTTGAAGCATATAAAGGTTTATTACTGTCCCCAAGATGACTATGTTTATTCCAAAACAAATGCACCAAGAATTTACACCCTATGAGGTGGAAGAGATGTTAACCCCGCTGTTTCATGTTAGCTAGAACACTTGGCACAACCTCTCATTGATACAAAGACATGAGGAATTTGTAGCGTCCGGACAAGAAGAAGTTCAACTTTGCCACCATAAAACCAAACTTGATGTTTGAATGTGTTAGGCACAGGGGGAATTAAAAAGTATCACACATCATTTAATGGGTTTACGCCTAATTTAACCTTTGTAGCCCCAAAGTTTCCAAAGAGGGGGAATTTGACGTCTCATATACTCATACTAACACATCTCAACAAATCTCACAAATCTTCCCTTTACTGTGACACCAATATTATTTAAACAGGCCTTGTGGTTACATAGTTGTATCCATTTTATTGTGGGTATGAAATTTTCAAGCAGAAAAGCTAAAAAGGCCTTGGGTATTAACAGATTTTTAATCACATCTGTCAGACCAGTTGTTTCCCTCTGCTAAACTAGGCTAACCAGCAAAGGTTTTTAAATTATGGTGGACCCTGTTTGCATTATGTTGCTGGATATTACAAGTAAAACCATCATGGTTTAAATCTGTAAAATACAACAACATGTTTTAGTAATACACAACAGCTGAGCATTTGTAATATTTACCCAGAACTCCTTGGAAAATCATCCACTGCTTCCACAAATGAGGCTGGAAACCATCCCTTCCTGGCACTAGAGAACAAGAAAGTGAAACATTTAGTTGGTAAGATGTAGATGTGTATAAAGTGAAGCAATTTAAAGGACATGCATATACTTTTTTTCTTCATCACTGTTGTTTGGTGTTACCCTGGCGGCATCAAATAGTGACCCATCATTCTCATTATATTACATCACATATTAAGTGAGTCTTGCGGACAATCATGAATCCATTTGAGTTAATCTGATTTGAACTTTGTGATCCTGCAACAACCCCCTCTACCCACTTTAGGTCATAATGATATTTTTTAAAAAGGACATTAACATCAACCTCTGCTTAATCTAATCTTAATGGAAGTGTGATCAGATTACCTGAAAGATAAAAAGGGGAACAACTTTGGTTTCACGTGTTTTGACTGAAGTTACTGTTGGTGTTTAACCTCTGATACCAAAGTGTACTACTCAACATCCCGTGACAAGCCCTGTCTCATTTCCCCCTACATAAATAGTTAAACCTGAAAGTAGCTGTTTTGTAGCACTATAATACTCCCAATCAGACATAAAATTGGCCAAAGTGATCTGCCCATGCTCCTCACTTTGCATGTTGGGCTATTAGCCAGCAGTTGAACAGCATGAATGTGTTGCTGGTAGCTGTGACCAAAACTTAAAGGGATATTCCAGCATAAAAGTAATGTAGAGTCAAGACACTATTACACTGTGTTAGACACCCCACTGAGAGATGTTGCCGACTGCTTGCTTCTCTAGTTATATCAACTTTAGCAACGACTGCAGGGTAGCAATACACAGTGGTTTGAGGAGCCACACACAAACCTCACACAAAACGGGGTGACGCAGCTCAAGGAAGTACATTTATGACAATTTCTTCATGGAAATGCAGTCAGAGTGAGACGCTAAGGCAGAAGAACTACCGCATCTGCAGTGCAAAATGATTAATATGATGATTATTACTTCAAGGAAATGAAAATAATGATCATAAATGTTCTTCCTTGAGCTGCGTCACCCCACTGTAGTCCGTAATGGACTGGCCCGAGGTCCCACTACAAACAAGCGGCTGCTGGAAGAGAGTAGGTGAGTTGTGTTTAGTCTCTTTGCGAAAGAAATCAGGCAAAGCTAAAAAGATGTTTGGAGGCTAGTGCTGTGGCTGGGACACTATATGTACTGTTGATGAAGTTAGGTGCAGTTCCTGCATACAGGCTAAATATATGAGCAGCCACTGAGTACAACAGTACTTGGTAGAACAAGGTAAACAGAGGTATCAGCCTCCACACAACCATAACCTGACACTCTGAAGGGAACGTCACGCACCGTGAACTGCTCTCAGCGCGTCCGTACAGCCAGCCGTTCTTGGGCTGTTGAACCAGCACAGTGATCATCTCTCCCCTGCTGAAGGACAGCACATTGGGACTGGAGCCGACAGGATGGTGATCCGCAATCGCCCTCATGGTCCTTCCTCCCTCGCCGCCACCAACACTTCCCATTGACTCTGCTCTGGAGCGAGAAACGCCTCCCTGGGGAGACGGGGCTGCAGAGATGAAAACAAAAAGAGAAAAATGGTGTGTTAAAGCACAAGTTAGCTGATAAACCCTCTTTAATGACTACAAAATCTCCAGTGAAATGACTAATTAAAAATGATGAAAGACCAAGATTTACTCTTTTATTCATTATTACCCCTGTGTATTCAATTTCTCAGTGCATAATCATTTTGTTGAAAATGCCTTTCATTGAATTTAACCAAGGAGAGAACATTGTTTTCCTCTCCTCAAAGCATCAATGCAGGAACTATGTGTAAAGTTGAGTCTAAATTAATGTGTTTTAGTGGCTATATTTTTGTTTTTTCACTGTCACATTATTTATTTAAACCGAAGGCGAAGGAATCAAGCTTGAATTATTAGAGTGAGTTTAGCAGAGGAAAGTGAAAGCTGGGTGATATGAGGACAAATTGCAAAATATGAGAGGAGAGAGTATGTATCAGCGAAAATAATGTGAAAGGTAGAATACACAAAAGGTTCAAGGTAGAGATAAGCAAGAAATATGCAACCAGAAGAGTCAAGACAAAGTGAGGATGGATATGAAAATTTCAGACAGAGTGTATCTATGAATGTCAACATCGATCTCCATGGCTGGGAAATGAGACAAGGATAAGCGCAAAAAAACTGCAATTCTAAGAGTGGCCACTTGAGGGCGGCTCCAAAATAGACTCAATCCCTTTTGAAACTGTGTTAAAGTTTTACAGCTCAGTTCAACAAGAAAACAGAAAAGGGAAACGGAAAAAAGAGGTAAAAGAAAACAAGTACATTTTTTTTCAATAAAACAGTTTTATTCCAATTGGATCCATATATATTTTTAAGTATTTTCAAATCAGTTTCCATCACAAATAAATGTCAGTCAACAATTTAAATTGTGATTTTCTTTTTTTTTGTTACTTCAAAGCAGAAAACTAAAAGGCTTCTTAAATTTTTGTTCCTTTTTTTAGTCACTTTGCTTGATGAATAACCCCCCCCCCCCTATGAAACTAGGGGTGCTGGACAACCCCCTGTGTAATAGTGAAAACACGGATTGTCTAAATATCTTGTCAGTGGTGGGGGCAAAGTTAAATTTGTTTAAGGGGCTACTTTTGTACCTGTCATCTGTTCAAGTTATGCAATGTATCAAGGCTCGAAATGATCTTTACTTAGGTGCATGGCAAGAAAGACGGGTGGACACAGCTAGCCCTTACTTCAGCATAACTACACCTTATCTAGTCACTAGACTCAGGCTACACCCCCACATATACAGACATTTTGGATTTTCTGGGACTTTTTAGAGGTATTTCTGATTGTATATCTGTCAAAAAATGGTTGAAAACACTCATATGAAGCATGCAATAAGCAGCAATAACAAGCACAGTTCTTCATGCTGTGAAAAAGAGTGAGTGTGATATGTTTATTAGCCTCCAACTGCAGAATAAAGATGAAGAACAATTTGAAAACAGTGAGATCTCCTTTTAAATATGAGATAAACCTAATTAAACCAGGAGCTTTTGAACGCAGCTTTGTCTATGTGACAGTAACAACTCACCTCTTGATGGCATCCTGCCGAGGCTCTGCTCCTCTCTGCTTTGTCTGAACTCTTCCCTTTTATCCATCTATAGATGAAAACACACATTACATCACAAACACAGAGGAGAAACACACAACTGTTAATTTATCTAAATGACACAAACATGCACAGTGAAGCACCACAGTAATATTCAAACAAAAAGAGAGGCTTTTGTGCAGGAAGTATTTTACACGACTGTAAAAGCACAACTCTGATACCTCTCTAAAGTGACTCACTCTGTTAAGTGCAGGGATCAATCTCACATCATATCAAAACAAACATATAATCCCTGTTAATCCCCTGAATATTATTAAAGTAGCATGTTTGGATCTTGTGTGTTCATCTTCATGCTGCTGTGAAATGAGGAGCAGACTGAAACCGACAGGATTTATCTCTGGGGATCTTTGTTTTGCACCAGAATCCTAATTGCTGCTTTCGAACAAAGAGGCAGATGGTGTAAAATTGTGAATTATCTATGGAGTTAATCCCACTGTTCTGGGATAAGAGCTCTGCATACATACTTAAAGACTTGTATTTATATTAGTGGCTTTAGGGGTTTGGATTTAGATTAAATTTAGTGTTTGGACATCACTTAAAAGTCTGAAATGTCTTTTTTTTTTTTTACTTTAGCTGCAGGTTTGACAAAAATAATTCCTTCATACAAAAGCTGTGAGTCATTCCTCATTTTTCATTTGCTTTAACCAGCAGAGGGCGCCCTAGTAACAAAAATACCATTCAAATATTTCCTTGATAACACTGTACCTGTACATGCTGCCCATTTCTGTTTTAAAATGAATCTGACTTTTCATCTCTATGTTTTGTGAATGAATAACCCTCATTTTAAAATATTCGCTGGGCATGTTCATTTCAGTTTCTCTAGATATTTGATTCCCTCAGTTCTTACAGATTAAACAGAAATGGATCTCACACCAGCAGAAACCAGCTCTGACTGTGCTTAAATATTTGAGTAAACACAGCAGATTTCTACAGACTTTACCCATAAACTCACAGAGCTGTAGTCAGAGCCGTAGTCATAAGTAGGTCTCCTGGCCTCCGGTTCTCTGGTGGCGTTCACCTCGTCTGCCCAGTTGTCGGCTGTCCGCTGTAGAGTACCTCCCATCTGTACAAACAAACACAAAGGAAGGTCAAATGTTATGGGAGTTTTATATGAGCCTAAAACATGCACACTATTAAATAAAAGTAAAAACAAGGTTACAATGAGTGATAAAATAAAAGAGGCGATCAAAATACATTTAGTAAGAGGAAACTATTGTTGCACAATAAACTGCCAAAAGCCAGCACAAAAGACTTGGTCTTAAGCAATGACTAAACAGTTTTTAATGGTCAAAAAAGTTCTGTCTAATCTCCACAAACACTACCATCAGTTCAACATGTCCAAGACTCTAGCTCTTTCCAGCCAGTTTGTGCAACACAGCACCTATTGCAACCTTTTTTTAATACCGCATGTTGACACCTGCGACTCCTTACTGCAGGCCTACCAGCACACCCATTCAAAACTTGCTGCACATTATCTCGCTGTTCATATCCCCTCCACTGGTTTCCAGCTGTCAGTTATATCAAATTTTAGACCCACCAATTAAAAATCAACTAAAAATGGTCCCACCTATCTTGAACTCCATATCCATGTCCACACTCCCTCACCTGCTGCAGTCTTCCCCTCCAGTGTTGGGATGAACCCACCTCCATTCTGATGGTCCCTCTCTACATTTAAAGGTAAACTAATGTACATCCTGCAGCCTATTAGAAGTGGTTACCATATTGACCAGAATAGTTGACCTTTCTAATATATTAGTGTTATGTTTGAGATAGAAGAGAGCGATGTACAATGACACAACTTTATGTAAAATCCACTCGCTTTGTGAGACCGGCAGCTTCAAAGACAATAAACTTTGTGTGTCTCTACCACATCTAAGAGCTTTCTTACCCCAGAGAGATTATTGTCAGAGACCTGGATCTATTTTATAAAATACAGTGGTAATTTTTGTTTTATTTAATTATTTTTAGCCTCAGCCTTTGTAATAGCTCTTTCAGTTTATTCTCATATTAGAAAGACTGACCTTGTTCACTTCAGTATGTCGGTTCCATCATTATTACTTTCTATTCAAATTACTTTCTGCATAAAAACAAGATTTGACCGTCTTATTATCAGGGGTTTTCCTATACTTGTGGTGGATGTGGTATTTTTTGGTAGCCATGTTATTGTTAGTATATAAACACACACTTTATAAAGTAATAAAAAGTGAAGAGTCAGGGCAAATTCTATGTTTAAAGTATGCATTTATATGAGTTTATAAAGAGTTATACAGGCACAGGTATTACATTACCTTTTGTTACAGTCCCATGGGGCTTTTTATTTACAGCCTTGACATGATAAATGGGTTAGACTGTATAGGAGACACATCGTCAGGTATTCAGGTCAGGAGAAAAAGGGGTGATAAAAAAGTAAGCAGGGGTCCAGAGTTCAGAGAGCCATCCTGTTAGAGTGAAAACTATGATGTGAACATCAAAAGCTGCTCGTCTGTGATTCACCTTTGGTATAAAAAAGAGAATTTCCCCACAGATCACTAAAATCACTCACAGTCATTAAACATCACTGTGGACTCTCTTTCTGGTATTGTCTTTCTGATGTTCCTCTCAATGAGATGTGGGACAAACCTGACCCAATCGGCTGCTGCAGTGAATATGCCAAAACAAACCATAAAATATTGAATCCACACACGCTATTTGAGGTAAGTTTCATACCTTATTCATCAGCTGTGCGACGGATTGTAAGAGGCCGCAGTGTTTCTCAGCTAGATAGCGGTGTCTTCTCTCCTCCTCCAGCAGAGCCACCCTGTAGCTCTCTCTGAGGAAATGCACGTACTCGCCATAATCCTGAGGAGACACATAAAAGACGGAATCATATTGATATAATACACAGTGACAGGTTCATGAAAATGAGGCTGAATTTCGCTTTGGGGGACAGAAATGAAGAAAGACACACATACATGGTTGGTTCCCCTCCTCGACTGTCTCTCCAGGTTGTGGACTTCCATCTCGTAGTGTTTCTGACTGCCCTGGATGACACAGAATACACATCAAGTCTGTCAAATCTCAAAGTTGGCATCTCTCTATCCACTCTCATTTATGGATCGCTAACCCCTAATCATCTGTCAGTTGAAAGGTTGTATTAGAAATAATAAATATTAGATTATCTATGCTGCAGATTTCAATACTTGTGTAATAAAGTGTTTCAGAAACACATTAACCTCAATATTAAATACAGAACATTTCTTATTTAAGCTTCAGTATGGAATTTTCAGTTTGTATCAATTTTGGCGCCTCCCTGTGGACAAAACAGTCTCTGCTTGTTTTGTCCTCAACAATATCATTTGACATTGAATCCTGCCGACTTTTGATAGTCAAATTAATCATTTTTTCTGAATATTGTATATGGAACTTGTTAAAAGACCTGACTTTAATGCTTCAAATCCTGGCATTGGAAAATACTGAAAAAAAAATCAATTATGTTGCTGATAGTTTTATTTGCTTTTTTTGGTATCATGAAAAATCATTAATAGGAATTCCAGCCTATGTTAAAGAAAACTAATCAGAAACTAATCACAACACCTTCAAAATACAAGGCCTCATAGACATAATCATAAAACCTAACTCTTAACCTAAACTGACAAACTTGATAAAAAAAGAAGCTGTAAAAGCCTTTAAATAAAAGTATATTTTTAAAATTTAGTTCAGTAGGGTGTGAATATACACATTATGTTTTTTAGTCTTTATGTCTACAAATTTTACCCTTGATGTCATGATATGTTCTGTTCATTTAGTTTTCACCTCATGTTATTTATTTGAGTGTATTTTCTGTGTTTGTTTTTCTTGTGTTTCTGTTCCTTATTGTTTCTGTTCCCCTGTAGTCCAGCCTTGTGAGTTTCAAGTTTTTGTTTGACCCTGTTTCCCTCCTGTTCTCTGTGTTTTATTCTTTATATCAGTTTTCAGTGTGTCCTATTTTATTTTGTAGTAGTTGATTTTCTAGTCTGGTTTTTCTTCCCTAGTTTTTCCTCCCTCGTTAATCACTCATGAGTTTCACCTGTGTCTCGTTTGCCTCACCTGTTGCTCGTTTCCCAGTGTGTATATAGTTCCTGCCTTCCCCTCTGTCCTTGTTGGTTCATTGTGTATGTATGTCGGTGTGTGTATACCTGTGTCTCCAGCTGCTCCATGTGATTTTGCCCCAGTCATTTTTGTGGATTTTGCCTTTTGGATTTTTTCTCTTGTTGTTGCTTTTTTTCCATTTACTTCTGCTAATTAGATCCTTTATTCTGCATTAGGGTCTTGATCTCTGTTCAACCCTGTGCGTCGCAACACTTTTTTTTTCAATAATCGTGTCCACACACAGATACATAAAAAAGTTAAGAATTTTCAAAATGTGTTATTTTCAAAAAGATAAATCTTCATATATTCTGTTTTCACTGGATGTAGTATTTATGCTATTACACTATTCAATTAATGATAAGCTTAATAAAATACTCATGTTTCAAAATACGTTCAGTAGATTATATTTATCAAAACTGGAGTAGAAAAATGCTTGATTTTTTCATTTTGTGTTTACTGTTTGTAGAATAAATTACAATTTCTCAATGTTAATTTGATGACAGTTAAAGCTCCTGTAAGGTACTTTTGTGTTTGTGTCCTTTTGTCTTCTGAATATTTAAGCAGTATCTTTTGAAAAAAAAATCTCATCCTGCTAACTTTTGACAATTAAATGATGATTTATTGTAAATCTGTCAAGAATATAAAAACACGGTTGTCTCAACAACTGCCAGGCTGCCACCTACCCTCTTACACTAGCTTCCAGTATCAAAAAATGCAACATAGAAACTGTCAGTGTTGCTGCTAATGATCTTGTTTGCTATAGATTATCATAAAAAGGCATCAGTAAAAATTTCAGTCTAATGTCCTTACAGGATCTTTAATATTAAGTTATTGAGATGCACTTGTGAACAAGCTAACATTTCACTCACTGATATGAAGTCAATGTCTTGTCTAATGTTGTTATCCATCTCTTGAAGAACCTCCACGCTGAACCAGCGAAACTAAATAGAAACACGTAAAAGAAAATAAAGAGGAAACATTACATTGATAACACCTGAAAGTTGTAGTGGGGAATTATTTGTGTCGTTAATGTGACGCACTACTCCCTCCAGCTCCATGGTGAGTCTTCTCTGGTTCTCAGAGATCTGAATCAGGACATCTCCTGAAAGATAAGAGCATTTTGCAAAGATTATACTAACTGAACATATGGGTGAATGGATTAAAGCATCTGTGAGAAGTTTTTCACTCACTATAAGAATACTTGTCAGGCATTTTGTATGATCAACAGGAAACAAACAAACAAACAGGACCATCAGTAAATCTGCAGATACAACCTTTAACACATTTACCAAGTCAGAGAGCTCCAGTGATACAGTTTAGACAACATGTTTAACTCCAGCCACTAAACTAACAGGACTCACTTTCAGAGCGGTTAAAAGGAGCACGATCTGCTGCCTGTCGTCGTCTATTATTTATGCTGCCTGCTGGCATCTGATACCTAGCTGCAGAGCATTTGACTTGAACTTACATCATAACAAACTTAAACATTTACAGCTACAATATTGTAAAACATTGTCATTCAATAACCTCTCATAGTTTGTCAAATCACACTAAGTCATGTACGCACTGCTTTTAGTAAATGTGAAAAAGTCACAACGTGCTTCCTGGGTGTAAACTAAAGACTATCCTGGAGTGTAGTTAAGGAAATGAAATCTTTCTTTTACACTTAAAGATAAAGAGAGGTGTGTTCACACATACCTAATGGGTGTGAGGATACACTGTTGAAAGCCTTCTCTCCAATTTTTGACAGCGCACTGAAGTAGGCCTCACTCGTTTCAGCAAGAGCTGAAACAAGGACAAAGAAACAAATGAGTCACTTAAAATGCAAATTGATGTTGTTGGTGTTTGATTAAAAGCAGTCCTGAAAAATACAGAATGACAGAGCCATTACAATCAAAAAGAACAGAAATGATTCAAAGCATGCACTTTATTTAGTTTGCGCAAGTTTCTCATTAATCATCCTTTTTCTGGATTTGTATATTTTGGAAAGATATACACATTTCTCTGTAGTAGCATTACTGTTTAGTCTGACTTTAGCTCTTTAGGGTTAAACCTTGACAAATTTAGTTTTTTGTTGTCATGTTTTAATCATTTTCATGGACCACTGTTTTTTTTAAATGTTTTTTTTTTATATGTTCCAGCTTTAAAAAGAGTAATTGAATGCTGTTTATGAGCTACCCCAGTTACAATGTTGATTTTAACACAGGAAGTTCAAATCACGTTCAGTTGCTGACACTGACCAAGGGCAATTTTGACAGCACATTATAATAATAACCAAACATGTCACACAAGTATCAAGGACCATAAACTACCTTGAATATGGATGCCGTTAAAAAACGCCATGTATTATCTATAGACAGAGGAAGCCACTCAATTAAAACAGCATTTGTGTGTGCTGGCTATTGCCTCCCAAGAGTCTCCATGTTTACAATATACCCGTCATCACACAGACCTGCTGGTTGTTAAAACTTACAATATTATTCATATTGACCTTGATTCAGGTAATTACAAGGAAATGTCTGGTTTAAAACCTCAGGCTGACTTTCAGACAGCCCACCTTAGAGGAAACGATTGAGATGACAGGAGCACGTCTCGACTCCAGCAAAACATGTCAGTTTTTATTCTGACATCAGAGAATTGTCTGTGACAGTGCAATTGCAGGAGAAATCACTTGGTGTGAGGCCGGCATTAGACAGTCTGTCAGTTGGCAGGCAGGGACCACTGCAGAGCCGCTGCAGAGTCATACAGAGTTCATGGATCCATCTCAGTCCTGACGACTGCTATTTGGTACATCACCAATGTGTTACATCTTGACAATATATCAGAGAGACAAATGTATCCTACAGTAGTAGCGCAGTAGCTGCTTTGTATGTTAGATGGGGTCAACTCTCTGTTTGACCCCATCTCAGATGAGATGAAATAACAATTCAGCCCCCGTTTTAATATAAATCTTGATGTATTTTATTGCTTTGATTTGATTTCATTTGAATTTTTTTTGTCTTTTTGAAATATAAGGTATTCACTAGCCTTTTGGTACACTTGCTTCCACCCATCCGTGCTGTTAGTTTTTACGAGAAAGCAGCTAGCCTTCAGGTAAAAAGAGGTCAAACCACTCTTTAGCCTCCATTTATATCTATAGCTTGATGTTATCTAACATTTCCATCCTAAACCATTTTGTTATATTCTGAGTTATTGCAAATGCTTGTTGTTTTGTCTTATTTTGACCACAAATTTAGCAAGTACTAAGAAGAAGATGAAGAAAAAGAAGAGGAACAAGAAGAACTTGATTGATTGCCAAAGGGAAATTCATTTGTCTGTAGCCTCATTTGTCATGTCTCAAAAACTCATCTTCTATTTACAGAAGAGTTGTACAGTCTGATGGCTGTGGGTACAGAACATCTCCTGAATCTTAGACCAGTCCAACTAATTATCCAGATGAACACCTAGATATTTATACGGTTACACCACCTCGATGTCCACGCCACAGGTGTTCAGTGGCTGAAAAGGGGGTTTGGATCTGTGGAAGTCTATGATCATTTCTATTGTCTTTGAGGTGTTGAGTAGGAGGCAGTTTTTGTCACTCCACTCACTGAAGGCTCTTATCAGATCTCTGTATTCAGCTTCTTGTCCATTTCTGGTACTTGCCACAATAGCGGTGTCATCTGAGTATTTCTGGATGTGGTAGTTCGATATGTGAGCAAAGACTATATTTCATTCTTTCAGTTGAGTGAGCTCCAGCTGGATTTTACGCCTTGTTTTTAAACAGATGGGGCTCCAGACAATACCAACCAATCAAACGCACAGTCCCTGAGGCTATGAGACGAATGGATTTCAGTAATGAACACCTGTGTGTTAATGTTTTAATAAAAGTAGATTGGGGGAGTCTGAACTGCATCCGCTGCTTAGATTAAAGATAGATTCATTCTAGCTGCCTTCATATAATCAATAAAGAATAAAAGTTATATAACATTCTGGTCTTGGCTTGTGCTCATTAACATGTCATGATGTTATGACTCTGCAGAGAGTACACGGAGGGAGCTCACAGCCTCTGGGTGGAGGCAGCTATAGAGACGTTATCATGTATTTTATGTCTGCAGGGTTTTTGCTGCAGTGACGCCGCTGTGAATCAGTTGTTGATGATGTACCTCAGTGCATAAATTAAGCAAAAACCTATAAAATGTAATAGAAATTGTAAAACTATCACTGCGCTCCTGGTTTCAAACCTCATTTGCATCTTGCATTTGAACAGCCCTCTATATTTAATGCATTGCACAGGGAATAGAGGTGATTATGATGAGAATAATTAAGATGTAATATAGACCCAGTTGTTGTACCTGCAGGTTGGAATTAAAAGTTTGTTTGAAAAAACTTTTTTTTAGCATGAATTAAAGGAAGCATGCCTACTGTGAAGCTTCGATAAGAATAAAAAAATAAAAGCCAAGTCTATATTTAATATCCAAGTCTTAATATGTGTAAGAAATGAAGATAGGTTGCCTTGTTTGCCTGCTGACAGTGTACTCATAACACCCTCTGCAGGCTTCATTTATGGGCCCATAACCCGGGCTAATCACCAGGATATTCCCAAAGCAAATGGACTTTGGATTCAGTTCCAGTGAAAATAAAACTCATGACAGCTCCCTCATTCTGTGTGCCACCATTACACTTTGTTTCCTTTATAGCTCTCATAAAGGCAGGTGTGTGAGGGTGTTACACACAACCAGCCAAAAAAAGTGAGAAACACTCACGGTTATGAACAGATTTGTCTGAATTTTTTCTGGTCTTACCCTGAAAAGCTCGGACATAGCTGTTCCCCAGTGATACCAGTCTCTGCAGGCCTGGGTTGAAGTCATCCACCAAGTTCTGTAAAAAGGGTAAAAACACACAAACCAACACACACATAAGCTGCTATTTAAGTGGAGTTTTCAAAGTTTGAAAAACTCTAAGCCCCACCTAAAGGGAGATCAATAAAAACATCTATAATTCAATCTGTATTTATGAGCCTCAGACTCATATCTCTGGTGTTTCCAAGCAAAGGCAATACTTTTCGAATCTTAAAACCACTTTTGTGAACACAGACCATGTTTGCTTGGCTAAAACAACTCTAACTCAGCTGAGTAAATTGATAAACATTCCTAAATCTTCATTTCTCAAATATCTAAACAAGAAAACACATTCTGAACTTGTGTTCTTGTCTATCACAACTCACAAGTATATTCATCTGTTGTCTAATTTGGGCCTCACAAAGTATCCATTACTTACCGAGTAAATCCCCAAGGTGAGGTGGTGCAGCTGGCTACTATTCATCTCCGACATGTTTATATCCATATCAGCGTAAAGCTCAGCGAGGCCTTGAGTGTGTCTGCGGGTCTTAAATCATCCAGAAAGTGTAGCGAAGCCTCTGGGAGTCAGAGTTAATCGTAGTGAACTGTGAGGAGAGTAGTGTGTTGGTAATCGACACCGCTGTGGCCTCAGAAAGACTGGAGTAAATAATTAAACATGGCTGAGCTATAAAACACACTAACATATGCTGTAAACCCTAACTGTCTGGGCGTGTGTGCATGTGCGTTCAAAACGTGTGTTTTCACCACATGGTGTGCTTCATTAAAGATTTGTTTGGACTCTGATAATAAAAAAATGTCTAATCCAGCACGTGCTGCAGTTCATTGGTTGTTAATAGTTTTGAGACTTTGGCACAGAAGAACAAGTTATCAGGCCTTACGACTTGATCGTGGAATTACTTAATTACTTAAAGTATTGGGAATGTTTTCTGTCAACGAATCCAACTATATGAATGTATTTCCTCAGAGTATAGTTGTTCTAAAACTAATGGCAGTCTGTTTCAAACATATGAGGTATCAAGAAGAAAGCCTTTCAATTCACCAATCCAGCAGGGGTGGATCCAGAGGGTTCCACTTGAAATCTGATCAGCCACCATAGGTGGAATTTCAAAACCCTTAAGTTTGATTGGCTATTTTACATATGAGAAAATATAAGTCAAATGAACTGTTTTGACAAAGGCTGCAAGAAAATTTCATTGCAATTAATGAGAACACATTTCCTTTTGTTAGTACCATAAACTGTATATAGAATGGACGCCGTCTGTCTCCTCGCTGGGTGAAGCCACTCTGAGAACAGCACCCTCTAGTGGGTGGACAAACAAATTTATTACATAGAATATAGTAGTTATTTATGTAGTTTATTTATGTAGTTATTGTAAGACTGGTTTGTGCTCAAGTCCTCTTTTTTCTGTACAGCTTCATTTTATTATTTAAGTTCTTAGTGGGTTCATGTTTTCAATGATTGGCACTCAATGCAACCTATGGGGGTATGAAGATCACTTCGCTCACCCTGAGGATACGCTGTTTGAGCAGAGTATCATCACAGCGACTCTCTCGCCGAATGCCCACAATGCTACTGCGTAATGTTGGTTTCAGGAAATGGAGAGAAAACGCAGAATTACCGAGAGCTTTTCGCCGGAACCAAGTTGTCCATAGTATATACAGTCTATGGTGAGTACTTACTATTGTGACTTTGGACATACTTCTTCTCATACATCATACTTCCTGTGGTTTGACAACCTTGACAAATTTTGACAGAAATTGACACTCTTTTTGGAAATCATGGTCCACACATCTGCTTTAAGTATAGTATGGAGTGTCAACTAAATCTGGATTACAAATATAATCAAGGTGTTCAGTACCTTTAGTATTACACAGTGTTTTTAAAAGTAGCAGAGCTGGCTAAAATTCTGAGGGAAACAAAGTGGGAAATGTCTGTTAAGAACACAGAGAATTCAGTATACTTGCTTTACTGCGTGTCTACTGTTAGACATTTTTGAGAGGGTCTGTAAGACGCACATTTGTGAGTAACTATCAAATATCATATATGTACAGTGTTTCTTCTCTTCCTAGGCTCCTTGTTTGATCTACTTTGTACACACTAGTTCCATCACAGTCTCCCTGTCTCACTGTGTACAACACTAATATTAACGCTTGAATTTTAGGAGGTTTTAAGTCCATTTAAATAGTCTGTGAAAATGTGAAAACTTTACAAATTGCACCTGTTATTTAAGGATTTCTGTAAAAATATGTTATTCACTGAACTAATGACACCCGTATCCCCACAGTTGAATTCATCGCTGATATTAGCTAAAGCCCGTGTCCTAGTAAAACATCTCCTGAGGCAAAATAGGGAGTCATCTTGGAGTTGGAGCTGGAATTGTGTTTTAGAGAATCTGTGAGAAGAGGTGCAAATATGAGGAAGAAGGTATTAGCACCTCTGTGAGGGCATGTGGAACAGTGTGGGAACAGTGAAGGTTGTATTCTACTCCATGAAAAGCATATGCCAGTGTATGAGAAGAAAATTAAGACAAAGTAACAATGAAAACTGTGAAACCTTTGGTTCTTGGGTTAATAGTGCAGAGTTTGAGAAATAACAAGGGCTGACAGGAAGAAAGACAGAGATTGAGAGAGAAAAGAGAGGGAGCCTCGTACACTAGATGGCACCATAAACTAACCGGAGACATGACTGGAATGTTAAACAGCTCCCTCGCACACACAAGAGCACACATATACTTTCCTTCTCTCTTCTGTGCCCTCTGTGCAGAAAAACATCAGCATGCTACTCTTCCATACAGATTTAACTCACAGATAATGATCAATCACAGCGTGTAATAATGGAGAATACAACTCTGACCTGAGTGAGTAACATTTTATAAAATGGAATTACTCCACTCTGTGGCATAGACTCAAATGAAAAGCAACTTGAGCAGATATATCTATACAAAAAAGGTTAGGCACAGTTTAATAATGCATGTGTTTTCAAATTGTGTAGGTTTTTACTTTGTATGATTAAGATTGATGCTTTACTGTCTGTGCACAATTACTACCTTTTTAAATAAAGTTATTTCTGTCTCAGGAGCCTTGAAGTGTACGAGTAACAATTTGCAACTCTAAAAGTATCCTGACAATGAAATGATCTCATAGTGTATATAAAGATGTGATGTTTTATCAGAGTTAGAAAGTGTGTCGGCTGCAGAGCCTTGAGGAAAAGAATAAGCCCAAAATGAGCACATAAACGTCAACATCATTATTCCTGCAGAACACTGGCTCACCTTGTGTCATTTTACAATCAATGAAAATATTTAGTTCAATGTGAATAATGACAAAAAGCTTCTTCATATTTTACCTTGACTGTGAATTGAAATGTTCAGATTGACGTTAATTTAGCAAAAGGCTGATAATAGTCTGTTGCCATGGAAGCATGAGCGACTGTGGAATTGGAGGGACTATTTTTATTTGCTGTTTAAAGAACAATTTTCTGAATAACCACTTGTAAAAGAAGTTTATATCATTTTCACCTTTCATTATGTCAGTCTGGGACACCTAAAAGTAGCTTTGCATGATTAGTGGCTCAAAAAAACTCCTTATTTTACTCCTTATAACACACAACTTGTGGGTGTTACATTTCACACGGCCTTGAAACAGCCTGAAAGATAAGCTTTTGTAGAAAGAGTCTAAGGCTAGACATTTGCTCCCCTATTAGCCCCCTACTGCTTGTGGTTCTGGTTTCTGTGTACAGTCTTCACAGATGGAACTGCCACAAATTCACTAACAATTCAAATACAAGTTTGGTTTCTGCTCGCTTTTGTTTGCAAAGCAGTTATCAGTGAAGTAGCAAGCACAAACAGCTACAGTATGTTGTGACTGTTACTGTCCTGAAAACATAAAATCTTCCCACTTTCTTGGGTGTCTAAGAGTTTGAAAAAAGGACAAATGGCGCAACTTTCCCTCACAACAAAAACACCACTTTAAACTTTCTGTGAAAAAGCAGTGAAATGGACTTCCTGAGTGAAAGAAAATTTGAAAGAGCCTGTAGGCAGTGTCAGACTAAGGCAATAAATAGATTTTTTTTAAGTATGTGTAAAGGTACTAACTGTCTTGATAGGGTTAGGGGCTGACATCAGGAAAGGGCAAGGCCGTAGAAACAAGCTGTTTAGGGTACCTGGAGACCAAGTCTTGGGGTAACTTCACTTATGTTACTAGACTTTGCCAGTGTTTATCATAAGTATCCAACATCCATGGGCTAAATTTTGATTTCAAAGTTAGGGGGGACACGTGAGTACTGTTGAGACATATAGCCTAGCAAACTGCACATCTCGCACACAAAGTAACAGAGGAGGGAATACAGCCAGCGGGTGGATGGAAGTACAAACCCAATACAGGGATGTAAATGAAACCTCTGATGAATGTGACGTTATGGAGGGAAAATGAACGTCGCCCTCCTGTAAACTTACATCGGCGAATAGCGATGTTCTTGGACTGACTCTTATGAGCAACTTGCGAAACACTAGTCTGGTGGGCATGGAATGACTGACAGCAGGGATAGCCAATCACACACATAAAGCAGCCCTGCGGCAGTGCCAATCAAGGACCTTGTGGGCGGGCCAAACTGAGGGAAAACAGTTTTCGGCTTGAGCGGCCGTTTGGTCCTAGTGCCTGATGTGTATTGGTTTGCTATAGGGTAAAGTAACATCGTTTTCAGATGGTTAAAACTGCAGGGGACCAAATCGGGCTTTTGAAAAAGCGGGACATGTCCCCCGTGTCCCCCCACAAATTACGTCCATGCCTACATCGTAACATTTTATCTATGCAGTAAAAAAATGGATCAGTATGAACAGTATCCTTTAAATCCATATTTTTTTTGTCAACTTGTTTGTATTTTTATGTACTTGTTCACCTTGTTGGGATTGTACTTTGCATAACCACCCACTCTGGACGCATTATCCCACACAGGAAGGAAGTCAACTTCCCAACATGAAGAGAGAAAAGTCAAAAAAGTATTAAATAAGATAAACAAAAACATTTTCTATCTAACAGTGTCAAGGCAATTATAAAAAATGTGACTAGCAGCCAAACAACCCTGAGATGAATGTAGCTCTGTCTCTAAGTAATTTTCACTCCCATTATACTCCTTACAGCTTTGTATTCATCCTCAATTTAAGCTGTTTGCTCACAAGGACAAATAAACTGCATTACTCTCTGTAAGTGGTAGAAACCATGTTTTTAGACATTTCCAGGAACTAAGCAGCTCCGTCCAAATCCCCATCCTAGATTATCAATCAAATCCTGTGCAAAAAGTGCATCAACAGAATGAGAGTCCTCCAACTTAGGAGAACTTTAAAGCACTCACATCCCGCAGCATGGAGTGTAAAGGTCACGAGTGACTGATGATGAAGTGAGCTCAGACTTGGTGGCTGCAGAGACTTTTATGGACATCAGCAGTTTACTTTGATTAATATATGAGCCGACTGCTTCACTCACTCTGGCTCTTTAATGCACTTGTATCTCCTCTATTCAGACTTAGTGGACTGACGATGGATGAGGCTTTTGTTTTGAGTCTTTTATTCAATTTAATCCCATAATGCATTAATGCACATAGCCCGTGTTTGCGCCATCATCACTCTGGAATATTACACACACAAAAAAAAAGAGAAATACTGAAAAGCGTAAAGCATCCTGCAATGCTCTCAGGTACAGTGCAGCACCAAGCATAAGGAAAACTGTGAAACTTGCGGCCCACACTGCTGCTGCGGCTGCTATCAGGCAATATGCCAGCAGTGACATTTAACACACTCCCTGAATACTAATACATGAAGAGTGATTGGTTTGTATTTATTTTCCCCAGGCTTTTGTCAGCTTCTCCTCAGGACTACTGGTAATTGACTTGAGAAACTTGTGCTTCAGCTGTTTCTGTTTTTATTGTTTTTCGTGTCTCTTTTTTTAACCGGTAGAAAGGCTTGTGGGGTGTTTGGGGAGATGGGCTAGCATGCAGGATTCCCATTTTATAGATTAAAATGTTTTATTCAAGCCAGCTGAATACAAATATGGCCAAGTAAGTCAATAAAATATGTAACAATTGGTCATTAAGGATGGTGTCAAATTGGAGCCTGTAGAATATAGAGCAACAACTGAAACAAATACAAGCCCAAAATTTGCACATCCAGGCAGGTATTTGTTTAATAAAACCATCTCTGGATGAGCACTGGTTAGTTTGTGTAATTGCACTACAGTTGATTGTACAAGCTACATCCTCAGGTGTTGAAAAATGAAACCTAAGCAAAGCGCAAAAAAACTGCACTTTCCTAAGCGTCCACTTGGGGCTGGCTCCAAAAGCTTAAGTGTATGCCTTTACACTCATTTTTAAATGCCAAACTCTGGACTAGCTTCAGACTAACTTCTGTATCAGTCCCAAACTGCCAAGAAAAATGTGTTGAGCTAACCTAAAATGAAGAAAAATACAGGACAGCATGTTTCACGCTTAAAAGTATACTTGGCTGCTTGGGTGTTCTGGGGCTTGACCAAAGGGATGCTGCAGTGACATCTTGCAACAGGATCAACCATAGACTGTATATAGAATGGACAGAGTCTGCCTCCTCGCTGGGCGAAGCTACTCCGAGAACAGCACCCTCTGGTGACGGGCTGCAGTATAGGTCATAAATTCGGCCTCCGCCAGCAAAGCTTATGGAGCTGTGGACAAACTTGAGAAATTTTTACACAGAATATAATTTTTTTTTCCCCTTGCTTGTGATGTTGACATGTAGTTTTTGTAAGACTGGTTTGTGCTCAAGTCTTTTTTCTGTACATCTCCATTTTTAAAAGTTATTAGGAGGTTCTATGATTGACACTTGATACAGCCTACAGGCGCACAAGGATTGCGTAGCTCACCCGAAGGATACGCTGTTTGAGCCGAGCGTGATCACATCGACTCTTGGTGACTCTCCTGCTGAATGCATACAATGCTATTGCGCAAGTGGTGGAGTGTGTACAACTCTACTGCACAATGTTTGTTTCAGGAAATGGAGAGAAAACACGGAATTACTGAGAGCTTTTTGGCTTCAAATCTGTCAACTGGTGGAAGGCGGAACCAAGTTGTCAATAGTAATCTATGGGATCAACATACAGAGATCCTGCTCAGCAAATAGACTGTGATTGAAAGGATTTACAAACAAATGCCTCAGGAGCATTTCAGAATTGTCATCAGTCTCATACTGAGTTGCAAACCTGGATAGTAGTCTGCTAACTTGGGCACATACATGTAAATAACTACCATGCTGTCACAAAGCAGTCTTCAAACATCTTCACCTAGGAGAGTGTTATTGAAAACCTCCCTTTTTAGTGACCTCCATCAGCATGAGTACAAAGGGCCGAAACACACAGAGAAAAACACACTTTTAAAAATACCTGCATATGTTTCAACTTGACCTATGAGTCATGCACTTCAAGGGCTATGACTGAGCTGGCTTTCAGGCGATCATGATGAAGCTCTTTGCAAGGATACTTCATACCCCTCAACGTCACTGAGCTTACATTCATGTTTTATTCTGTCTATGGTTTTAAGCTAGGCTAGTTTCCTGCATTCAGATGATGGTAGCTGACAGACAAGTGGACAGAACTACTCAGAATACAAACAAAAAACAGAACCACCACATATACTGTCTTTAAACCACTGATAGAATCTACAGTTCAATCAATCAATCTTTATTTATGAAGCGCCGATTCGCGATAAGTGTTCTCCCAGTAAGGCACATAACAAAAAGATCTAAAAAGAACCAACGTGAAGACAAGATAAGATTGAGCAACATCTTCAACAACATAAGTGTAACACTTTGCAGCATTTAGGGGAAAAACTTCCTTTGACAGGTAGAAACCTCGAGCAGAACCAGACACATGTTAAACAGTCATCTGCCACCACTGCTAGACATGTTGTCCCTTGAACTCTATGTTGCACGGTCTTATGATGCAAAAAAAAAAACCTTGAGGTGAGATCTTATTCTGAAAATTTCACAAATGTACAATTACTTGCTAAAAGTAGAAAAGGCTTGGGGGGTGTTTATGGTGGTTTTTGTTGTGTAACTTTGGAAGTTACATGACAGCAACAACAAAAAAATAAAAATTCAGCACAACTTTGGGTGGATTGGATAAGTAAGAAAAATGTGAGCTGGATTTTTCTCTCAGCTTTCAGATCAACATTGACTCGAAAGTGAACCACATATTGAGAGCAGAGACGGAAGACTGGTGGCACATCTTTCTTCTCACACATCACAGTATAACACATCATTCAGCGGCTGCGACTTTGAGAAGCCTTAGCTCAAATCCCTCTAAATACTCGTGTGAGAACGCTGTACGCACACTAATTTTATTCACACACATCCCTCCTGTTGAGAAGCTTTTTCTCACACCTGCCTCTGTCTCTATCTGCGTCTCATTTTCAGTGTTTGTCTTTACTGTGATGACTAAATGTGTTTTGATTATGTAGAGTGTATTGCTGTGAGATTAACATGCATTTCTACTGGTGGACCTGGTTTAATGAAACACACTAACCCAGCCCCCTTTACAGGACCATCATTCAGTCATCTCTGCAGCTGAAGAGCTCTTCCACAGGGGGCCTTGAGGCTGACTTACGACCGTCCATGCATCACATTAGCCTATAGTAGGCCTGTAATATGTTGCTGAGCAGGAACATATTACAGCCAACAGGGGGAGGAAACTAATTTCCTTGTTACTATGCATGCAGAGAGGATCCACCTTGAATATGCATCTTTAACTGAGAGCCCAAGGAAAGAGAAAAGTCCCAGAAAAAGACACATGCAGTCTTTCTGTTGCATCCAATGCAGATTTTCTAAAAACTTGAGAGTACAAGAAGCTTAAACACTGTTGTGAAAGTTATCTCTGTGCTACATGAAGAAGACAAAATGTTCAAAAAGTGTTCAATCACACTGCATGAAAGAGGTTATCTCTCCCTCTCTCTCTCTCTCCCTCTCTCTTCCTCCTCCTCCGTCTCTCTCCCCCTCATACTGCTTCAGTATTAACAGGCTAGATTTCGCCTGAATCCCGAGGACATGCGCGCTGCACAGGAGGAGGAGGAGGAGGTGTAACATAGCCTGCTTTCTTCTCCTGTTTTGTCTCCATGATCGCTCAGTTATGTTGCGGAACTCTCATTTTCTCATCGCATGTTCTTGTAGAGTAGAAGAAAAGTGAGGAGGGTTTTTTTCGCCCCTGCTTACATTCAAGAAAAAAAGAAATTTGATGCCTGTTTTTGTTTGTGGAGCTTTCAGTTTCTAGCAGTCAGAGTCCAATTATTAGATTTTTCTAATAATCGTTCCCTTTCGCCGCAACCCTGAAGTTCATCGTTATAATCTTGGCCGCCGGGATGGTGGCCTTCATCGGAGCGGTTATCTGCATCATCGCAGCCGTCCATACAGGATCCTCCAGGGCAGCCGCGGCACAACAGCAACCACCAACCGACAACCACTCGCTCTACACGGATACGGCAGCGCAGACCCCCGCTTCAGGGGGCTCCGTGGCCCGGGTCGGATCACTTGGAGCTCTCCACGGTTCTGAAACACCAGATTCAGAGGCACCTACTTTTAACATTGGGCTCAGCGGGTTGGACGGGGTCACCGGGCTAACAGGACACGACCCCACGGTAAGTCGACTCATCTGCACGCCGATCCCCGCCGGAGAGTGCAACCCGAAAAACTTTCAGCAACAAGCGGACGACCCGGCGCTCTACGCGGGGGAAGACTGGGGTTATCTCCGCACCAAAGCGGAGGAGCTCCGACAGACCGTCCTGCAGCAAAAAGACCAGATATTAACGGACCAGAGGACCATAAGAGAGCTGACGGGAAAACTATCGGAGTGCGAGAAGGGGCTGGACGGTAGGAGCAGCCGGGAGGACAGACGCGGCAGCGCAGCGGGGCTTTTTGGAAGCAAAAGTCCGGCAGAGGAGACGCACATGGAACGGATCATGGTGCGGGACAGCCCGGGTTCGACGCCCGATAGTGCCCACCTGCTCACCGTCAGGGCTGTGGACGAACTCGAGCAGGCTATCACACAGCTCAAAGACCGCATAGAGAAGCTAGAGGTAGGTAAAGAGTTAAGGAAATCACCGCTCCACATAAATCACCCTCTGCAGAAAACCATAAAAATAGAGCCCTAAATCCGGAGGAGCAGTGAGGGGCCAAAAATAATCAGCCGGATTGACCCAGAACGGAAACTGAATTTCGTGGAAAAACACAGGGTAGTTTTCAGCGTCAACATTAAGCCCTTTAGCCTATTTGGTCATGTAAAATAACTCAAGCTTTATCAAATAAAGGGCTGCATCTGTCTCTATCCACAGTCAGCTTTTTTTCATCCCATATTAAAATATCTCAAACTCGAGCTCGAGTTCACCCAGCCTCACTTACATTAAGCTAGCTATACAATACCTTACACTTATGCAACACTTAGCAGTACATCAAGCGTAGCTAATATCCCAAGGTTTGGCTTTGTATTTCTTTGATAGCTCAAACTTTGGCTTTTTCATGGTTTAAACTCTAGCTACACTTTGTATTAAACCTATGCGGCAACCTCAAATCTTAAGAAATAAAGTCAAGTTTCAAAAGCTGCAGGTCTTAAATGTTCATTTGGCCAGCTCCAAAAGCAACTAAAGCTTATTTACATGTTTATACCTTGTCCCAGTAACTTAGTTTCTATACAGGGATTTAAATTAGTTTTACACTTAAGTGTTGTTGAAGAGGACAAATACACCATTGGGGGCACTGCATATTATAAGCACATTGTAGCTGTTAGTGGATTGTCTGTTTGTCTTTTTCTTGGTTGACCCAAAAGATAATCAGTATTTACAATAATGGGGACCACTTTCAAAACTCCACTTCAGAAACCCATAGGTCAATTCAATAAGTCTACATCTACCTGTTTGGCTGTTTATGGTTACATTTACATTGTCAACATTTTCCTGCAAATTTGTAAGAAGGTTTGGCTGTAAATGCCAATTTTTTTACATGTCATTATAAAACTTAATGCTTTAGCTCTATTTTACACTAAGCCTATAGCTTCATGATCATAAACAGCTAAAATTAGCATCGATTCACCTTTAGCTATGAACGTTCCATTTCAAGCTTTCATGCAGTTATCTGTATCAACGCATACTTAGCCACATTAACTTCAGCTACATTTCCCCTGTGATGTCTCCAACCCTTGCTACATTGCACAACAGTGCAGAAAATAAGCCTACTCTAGCAACATCTTGTTACAAAAACTCTGCAACCTCAATTTTCGGGTACATTTCCTTTAACTTATTTTGCTTGAGAACCTCTTTTCTTTGCTGCAGTTTGCAGTCATAAATTAAGCTAGCCAAATGTTGACATCTTACTTTCAACTCTACTAGCATTTTCCATTAATCATTTAAATTTCATGACATTTTGCTGTAAAGCCTCAAACTAGAGCTATATTTTGATGTTAAAATGTTCCACTCCTGCAGCATTTTGTTGGAAATCAGAATATTTTTGCAACAACTACAAAGCTTCCAACATCTTGCTTAAAAGTCTCCAACTGTTGCCTAAAAATTGCTGTAAACTCTCAAGCTGAAGCTAGATTTTTCTGTTTATCAATAAACTCGACACACATATTGCCATACTACATTAGGCTTTAGCAATATTTTACTGCGATCAATCTTAGTCTAGCTATATTTTGCAACTAGAAAAGCACTCGGAGAGCGCAGACCTCCGCCAAGCAGCTCATGTCCCCCCTTATATTGTGATTCACACCAAAACTTTTACTGTTACGTGTCTTTTATTTACTTTTATTTGTGTTTAAACTGGTATGTTCACTGTTCATAATGTTCCTAAAACAAGAAATGCCCTGACCCAGATTCGAACCCAGGACCTTCTTGATGTGAGGCGACAATGCTAACCACTACACCACTGTACCGCCAATCTACACCACTATGCCGCCCGTTACTTATCTTTCAGCATTGAACATTCCAACGACACCCTCATTTTTGTGTGTTCTGGATCACAGTATCCGGAATTTTGTCTGGATCAGGATCAACCTTTGACACCTCATAAAACTCATTGAGATCCTTTTGTGTAATTTTTTACTAAAGACTGGACATTTTTATAGAGTTAAATGCAAAAATTCCAAAATTTGCCCTATCTCACAATGATAAAGAATCCTTCAAAAAATTCCTGGATCCAGAAGGCGATCCGGATCACCACCAAAATGTAATGGGATCCTCCTGGGGCTGAGACGCACCTCTGGTGAAATTTCAGGTCAATCCATCTGTAACTTTCTCCGTAAAGTTGTTCACAGACAAACTAACAAACAAACGAACCAACCAACAAACCAACGCTACCGAAAACATAACCTTCTTTGCGGAGGTAATAAAACTTACAACTTTGGTTATATTTTGCAACCACACAGTAACTGTCCTCTCTTCAATTTCAGCTACATTCAGCGGCTATACCACAAACCCTGAGTTTATTGTTTTGCTGTTCAACCTTTCAATTTAGCTACATGCTAATGCAGCAAATTCTAGCAACGTAGTGCTGTACCAACGACAAATCTTGCAGTACTTTGCTCTAAAACCTCGAGCTCTGGCAGTCTTTTGTCATAACTTAACTAACTTCAGCTACATTTTGCTGTATTAGCATAAACTTTAGCTAAACATAGCTTGCTGTAATAATGACACTTCACTGTATCAGGTGATCTGCAGAGAAGAAATCCATGCTCCAAGTGTCTATTCTTTGTCCCTCTTAGTACTCCTGGGCTGGCATGAGTGGTTCCTGAAAGCAGAGGTTTAAATTTTGAATGAGAACAAGTGAGTAACCCAAATAGGCAGTATGGTTGATATGAGATACTGGAAGCCAGATACCCCTTCTGTCATAAACAACATCAAGTAAAGCTGCACACAGAAAACAACAGCAAAAACCCTAATTTCTGACTAATAGAGGTAATCAATGAAAAAATCTAATTAAAAAGGTTTTTTACTTTTATGCACACTGACAATAAAATGAAATTATAGACGCTGTTGACGCAAATTGCTGATAAAGACAACATTTAGTGATTCTGTATTACAACATGTCATCTGGGACTTCCCTCTAATCATACATGAGTTGATTGCTTTGGCAAGATTTCTTCTGTATCATGCCAAGAAAACAGACTGGGGTTGAAAATTAGAAGAAAGACTAATGAGAGAAAAAAAAAGAGGCAGGGGACACAGATGGAAACATAAGGGAGAAGGGAGATGTAGATGACGGCAATAAAAGTTGGGGGAGGAGAAAAAAGGGGGAGGAAGTGGGGGAGAAACATGAAACATGCCCTTATCTGACCAGATTCTGATGATGTATAACCTCATTTTTGGCAGAAGGAAAACCATCCATTATTCATGAGTTGCCTATATTTGTTGAAAGCACAGACCGTACGTGCTCCTCTGCGGTATAGTGTTTTTCACGCACAGGTTTTTATGTAGGACATGTCTTTATGGGTCATTTTCTTTGTGGATTATACACCACCACGCTCATGTGAAATTAAACCTTCATTTGGTAAAGAATTGAATAATCTACTGTATAAAAATCTGTCCAGGAACATATTCCCCTTTCACAGGATAAGATATGAATGATTATCACAGCTCTTATGATGATATGTCCTTTATTGCAAAACCCCTTACGTTTTTTTTTCTTTCCTGTTACGTTGATCCTTTTACCATCCAAGTCACGTTTCTGTGTAGAGCAGGTATTTGGCCTACTTCAGTGTGTTTACACCACATCCTGTGTTCTGGTGAATACACAACAGGAGCGCTCATATGGGAATACTCTGCAGGTCAAATAACCGTGTTAGATTCCCAATTTCCTTCTTGAGTGCGCTGTAATCATTGTGAATCATCATGTAATCCCCTGGGCAACTAAAAACTGCTCATTAGATATATATCGCCCTACAACTGTAAACAGTCAATGCCAGCATTCGCCACAGTTTACGGAAGACCCATTTAAATCTCCGGGAACATACCTGAATTGCACTTGACATGCTGGTTCATCTACATGCAAAGATATTGGGCTGCAAATGGTTTAAAATGCACTGGCAATACTGTAGTTTTCCATTTGTCTTTGAAGAAACTTGCCGTCACCTATCATATTCACACAGCAGCTATTTCCCCATTAAAAATAAAGTGGGCAAACAAATGTGTGATACATTCAACTGAGTACAAACACATATCTAGAATGACTACAGAGATGTTTTATATGATTACACTGGATATTTTTGAGCAACAACCAGGTTGAATGTAAAAACCTCAATATCATGACGCCAAAAGGTTCAGAGCTCCCCCTGGTGACTGGCAGCAGTATAGCTCTTTAAGTCTGTCTCATCCATGTTGACAGATGGGACATGGGTCAAACTTAAAAAATAAAAATGTTAACAGATGTGGCTTCTATCATCACAGTTGCATCTTTACATGTCAGTTCATGTCTTGGTGCTCTTTATTCCTGAGGGGGGAAAAATGGTTTTCAGTAATTATCTGATGTTACAAGCCTGACATCTCTGTTAATAAAGGCAACACTTTCTGTATTCTTTACCACTTTGGTAGACTTAAGAGTCAGGAGTGACCATGAGTGGACATATTTTGAGAAATGCTCCCCAACCCTCTTTTAAGCCTGAGGCATCAGACCTCTTTAGAAGCAAAACTCTTTCATGTGATCTAGGACTTTACTTCTATATTCTTTCTTCTTTCCCATTTCCAGAATCTATAAACGCACTGACTTTGGAAAAGCCGCAGAACAATTTCTCTATGACCTTACTTAATTTTAGATTTTCATATGCAGGGTCATTCCAAGGTTGGTTTGGTGAGCAATCAAATACTACTTAAAGTTAAGCAGATGTTTCTCACCATTTAACTCTAACCTTCACCTTTCTGTTTAGAGACCTGTGTGCAGCTGTGAAGCTAATCTTAAGGGACTCTACATCACTGTATTTTGTGTTTAGGGTGTTCCTACCAAGCAGCAACTTTCAGAGCTGAGGAATGCGTAAGTGCAAAAAAACTGCAATTCCCCTAGTGTCCACTAGAGGCTGGCTGCAAAAGACTTCATACCCCCATTAGATTCCATGTTGAAACTGTCAACTTTAAATCTGAATTAAACATGTTTACAGCCTGATACAAAACCAGTTTGGGATTTGTTAGTCCTTCATTAACTCATACACACCGTACTGCTGTTGATTTATTTAATAAAGCATCCATCAAGATAATATTAAGGCCAAGAGTTAAACATTGATTTTCATTAAAAGGGTCATTCAAAGGACAGGTGGGTTATACTGTTGCTGTTTGTCATAAAAGCAAAAAATAAATAAATGATAAAATAATATAATAATAGTAATAATAATAATAATAAAAACCCACCTTATTCTCTATGTCTGTTTCTGGGTTGAACCAAAGTTGGGTTGAGTCAGCATTTCCAATATAGTGCCCACCTTCATTGATCCTGAAACAGCCTCCTCAGAAACTTATTTGTTACATCACCGAAACTACAACCTCATCTAGTTTTTGTCTTTGAAACAATGTTATTTCTATCCGTCTAAAGATGAACAAAAGATAATTAACAACAAAGACTGTTGCATATTTCTGAACAGATTAAATACATTTCAAAATAAAGTGTTTCTAAGGGCTGGATTACCAAGTGTACTTCTAAATATACAGGGTGAACTGAGGATAATGTTAAAATTTCATCCCTGGTGGGGCTTTTTTGAGACAAAAATCAATACCTGAACTTTTTCACACCTTTAAATATACAGTTATGTAACCTACTTTTTCTCAAAACCAAGCTTTCCATGAGACTCTCTCTTTTTCTGAGGCGTGCCTGTATGTTCATATAGGGTTGCCATCGCATGATACAGTCTTCCCTCACAGCCTCAGATGTATCATCTAACACAATATATGTGAACATAAAACACACAGTGTGGCTTTTATGTATTTTTTCAGCACTCTTAGTGCATTTTCAGTATTGATTCCTCCATAACCACATACTTGGAAACATATTTGGTGGATATAAACTGGACTCTGCAGGGTTTTGAAATTCAGCAGAGTTTGTATTTCCCATGTTTCCTCCCTTGTGGTATGGGTGTTTATTTCAGTGAACCATTATGCAGCAGAGCCCAGAGTAATTTGGTGTTGACTGAAATAGTCTGTTCTCTCTGCAGCCTTTCCTGACTTGCAATTATTTGTTGTGCCGTATTTAATTGAAAAGAAATCCCCATAGAGACGAGTTGGCTCAGCTAAGCTTAATTAAGATCTGTTCATTCCCGAAACATGATGTCTGACATTTGGATTTGGATATATTTTGTTATTTTTCCTATTAAATGAAATGTCAAAAGAAATCCTATAAAGTCAACAACCTGCTGAAGCCAAGTCACTCCATGGTTTAGAGAAAAACTTTCAAGCATGAGAAAGCAGCTGAGAAAATTCACAGTTAATTGTCTTTGGATTAGCTTAATTGGGTTAGCACTGAAACGGTGGGAAAAATTATCCCAATTATATCAGCAGTCTGACATTTTTGGAAGTAAACAACAATTTCTTTCCTTTTTTCTTACTGAGAAGCAGAAAATAAGCTAGATGAAACTCTCAGGTCTGTTGAGTATTAGCCTCGACTGTTAGCTTACCTTAGCATTAGCAGCAGAGCACAACAAAATCAACTCTGAAGCGCTTCTAAAATTTAGGGATCAACATGTTACATCATGTTTTTGTCATATGTACAAAAATGCACTGGCTATCATTTTGAAGCACTTTTGGTTTGCATCAATTTTGGCGCCACCTAAGGACAAAGAATTATGTAAATCTTCTGCTATGTTTAAGTACCTCTGTCATCTGTATCCATCAGCAGTCACAAACTCCCTGTGAGGAACTTTCAACTTGTGTTGATGTTGGCGCCCCCTGTGGACAAAAGAGTCTTAGCTTATCTTGTCCTATACGCTCTTGAAGCTAGTGCGATGAGGTTTTAGCTGATAACTAATCAGACTGACATTGACACTGATGCTCCCATGAAAGCAAAACAGACCATCAGTGAGGGCGATGGAGGTGTCAGACAGATTGGCTAACTGCAAGGGACCAAAGCCGCCATTATGTTATGCTTTCCACGGCAAAGATATTTTATGGGCATTATAATGTCCATAAAAATAAAAGCAGGATGAGATTTTTTGTAAAAAAAAATGTGGCTAGGACTGTCAGGCGTATCATTTTCTCGTGAATATTTTACGTTGAAAATGTAAAAACAGGTCTCTTTCCTCCGCAGCTCCACTGACACCTACCCTCTTGCACTGGTTTCATGTGTTAACATTACAACATAAAAACTGTTAATTTTCTTGCTTTTCTTTTTCCCTGAAAACAGTCCTTCAAAATGACTGAACTACTCCTTTAAGGGTGAAACCTTGTTAAGTCAGCCTCTTGATGTATCCCTAGGCATTATGTTAAGTTTCTGCAAAATCAATAATAGATTAGGGATAATAGATTTCCTCACATGGGCATGCAACCAACATGTGTTGAGAGTCCATGCTGTAGCTGGGAAATCATAAATTAAACACCTAATAAGCCTTTGCTGTGTACATTTTTCCACACAACTAGGAGACTGTTTTGTTTGACTATAAAAAAACCTACTTCATGAAGGTTTCCATCCGCTGTCTCCCGCCTCTGCAGTCAGACATCGGTCCATTTCCACACAATCAGACGGACAGCAGCACCTCAGGGGTACCAGGGGAAAACGGGGTGTCTGGCAGTCCAGAGAAGTACGTTGATCCAGGGCACAGAGCAGGCGCTGACAGACCCTGGAGGATGGAGGACTTGGAGGGGGAGCTGGAGAGGAAGGTGGAGTTGCTGGACAAAGAGAGAAAAGCCCTACGGCTGGAAACAGAGAAACACAGACAGGAAATCGACCAGGGCATCAATAAACTAAAACACCGTATTTCAGGACTGGAGGAAGGTAAGCATTTTAAGAGAGAGGCAGAAAACCAGAACAGAATCAGACATGTGTAATTTCTAACATTTGAATTAAGATTTAAATCAAGAGGACTACAAATGCAACCTTTTAAACCAGGCCACTAATGATAAGAGATAATCCAGCATAAAGGATACCTCATGTTTCAGTTTGTACTATCCTTAATCAAAATCAAGCTGCAGGGTTTCTTTATGATGAATTAATTATATTAAGCTTATGTGAAAGAAAGAAAGATCAGAAAGACTATGAAATTCAGGCGCTGCTTTGAAAAATAGATCTAATGTTTTCAAGAGGAGATACTGCAGAAACAGCGGTTGAGAAAAGCCAGATCACTTATATAACTTCTTATTTATCCTAATTTTTGTTACTCTAATAGTGTTTTCCCTCTGCTTTTCCAGGTGTTTCAGGGCATTCATTCCCACAAGGCTACAGGCTTTCTTTCCCCACACGGACTAACTACATGTACGCCGTGGTGAAACACTCCATCCCTAAGCTGCGAGCCTTCACCGTCTGCCTGTGGCTGCGGCCTGCAGAGAAAGGAATCGGGACACCTTTGTCCTACGCTGTTCCTGAGCAACCCAACGAGCTTGTGCTGCTGCAAGGCCTGCACACCGCTGCTGAACTGCTAATTAATGACAAGGTATGAAGACAACCTGTGAGGCATTGTATTAATCATCATCCGTACAACTGTGCTCATCTGTCTGCTTCCCAGTTGCAATGAATTCCACAAAGAGATCATTGAGAGGGCTGTCACCTCATTAAACCGTCAATGAACAAACATGAGTCTTTTGAAAATTCCAAAACTCAGTACGCACAGTTAGTCAGCTTAGGGAAGTAGCTCTGTTGGGTAATCTAATTGGACTACTGGCCTTGTCCAAGTTTAAAAGAAGTGTTCAAGAATTGATTTATCGAGGAAAGCATATCCACCCCCACTATAGTAGGTAAAAATATGCCTACTTGGCCATCTCCTGGTTGGCCAACTATGTCAAGTACCAAAACAATCGACAGAGATGTTTTCAAGTGGCTGACGAGATGCATGTTGAAACGATAAGATTAGATTAGATTAGTTTATTTAAAAAGGGGACAGCGCAATTTCATAAAACACATGATTACACATGGTTAAAAAAAGCCAGAATTAGCCATGAGGCTAGTTTTCATCTGTAGTCCCCTGGCCATGATGTGAAAAAGGCAGTAAAATTACAATTTAAAAAAAGGAGAAAAGAAAAGAAAAGAAAAGAAAAGAAAAAAAAGAAAAGAAAAAACAACACAATACATGTACACATAATACAAAATACATATTTAAACACTCACTATACAATTAAGAAGAAATACATCACAACATATCAATTTATCATGATATCAAAACATCACAACGGGCGTTTCTTTTAGTGTTGGCAGCTGTAGGTGTTGATAAGCCACAATTCCAATTTTGTTGTGAATGCCTTGTATGTTGGAAGCAGTTTAACTTCCTCAACGATGAAAACAATGTCACCGATACAGCATCAGCTTTGTCTTTTATTTCACCTGTTTGTCCTCTGTCAAGATTTGGTTTACTACACAGCCTCCTATCCGTGTATTTATGCTATTCAACTTCTGGACCATAGTGAGAAATGATCTGTTTGCCGCCTGATGATCATTGATTTCGACAAAGAGATCAATATCATGGTCAAAAGGTCATCAATACAATAATGAGCAACCCTTAAATGGAATAGGAAAGCTAAAGTAGAAGAGGCGTCTGATTCTCAGCCTGGTCTGGTCACTGATCCAAAAGAGAGATGTTCAAAAGTCAAAGGCTCTGCCTCCCATACTAATCTAAGAGACTTCAGGTAAACATGTCGAGTGCAGAGGATGATAATATACTGTGAAACTGTACTGAGCCATGGGGTGATTGATTTTCACAGAGAGGTGTGTATCAGGTCACAATATGTATTGATTAACAGGTACTATCAGGTTCACATTAGCTTCTGTATACACAACTTTATTTTAGAGACGTAAGGTATCATATACCAGGAGTGACCTTCAATGACGCACCCAAGGGACAGAACAAGCTTAAAGAAAGAAGTCTTGAACATTAGATCGAAGAGGTAAAAAGAAAAGCTTCAGAGTCCACTCTGTATAAACAGAAAAAATACAGATTGTCAAATTCATGATTTATCCACAGAAACAGAAAACATTGCCTCATACAATGATTGTCTTTTGATGCTTTTATTAGATATTTTTTGTCTTTCTTGTGTTGAGATTGCCTTATTGAAAGCACAGTAAAATGTGTTTTTATTTTGAGGTATATTACTTCTGGTAGGTCCAAAGCTCTGGGACTGAATGAAAGCTGTTTAAAGAACAGGTATTATGTGTAAATGTTCAATTGATTAGTAACCTGGAGGAGCACAGGCTTAAAAAATTGTTTTTAGTTTCACAATAAATCCTTAAATGTATCTGATTGTCTCTCAGAGGGCTACTACAGCTAACAGCTTTTCATCTCTAGTCTCTTTTAAGGATCACTCTTATGAACTTGTGGTATAACCATATGTCAAATATTCTTTATTTATTTTTTAATGTAAAAGATATTCATCATCAATAATGGTGTTTTGCAACAGGCAGAGGTGAAATGTGATCAATTTCTCTATGTGACATGATTTTTCATCATGTGTGTGAGCAAAATGCTACTAAGAAGTGTTAGAAATTGTTGCTACTAGTGTTGTATTTGCTGTTGAGACTTCATCACTGTTAACACAGTTTTTTTTTTTTGACCAATCAGAATTAAGTATTTAACACACTTAACTGTTAGCCACTTTTTTTCCCCCCGAAAGTCTTACATTTAATTCTTGGTCAGATTTGCCATTTGCATCTTGAAGCTTCTACTTCACATCTTTTTCATGACCAAAGGAGTCAGTTCTTTTTAAAATTCTGCCCCTGTATCACAAATCAAAGGCATTTTAGTCCTGATTGGACTTTGTAATGCCTATCACAGCATATATAAAGCCACATTAGCATACAAATAACCAGAACACATCATATAAAGGAGGCAATTTAGCAGACAAGCTAAGTTGCATCATCCAGGAGGGTGAAATGACAAGCTAATCTACAGCCTTGACAGCATTGCAGGGTGGTGTATTGCTGTGCTGTAGATTAAGGTCTAATTTAGTGACTTTATTATGGTAATACATGCCTAGAGGAAAAGTTCTGTGTCCTTGGAGGAAGCGCAATGACTTTGGGACTTGGAGATTAGTGTTTAAGAGGCTGTTTTGAAGACAGGAGAGAGAAACAGGATGTAAGAGAAATGTAAAATAGCTGTGGAGATGCCGGAAGACAACGTCAGTGTCTAAATTGCTCTCTCCCTCGTTCCTAGGTGGCGCAGTTGCCCCTGAACCTCTCCAGAGGCAGCTGGCAGCACATCTGTGTGAGCTGGAGCCAAAAAGGAGGAGCCTGGCAGGCGTACCAAGGGGGGAAGCTGAGGGGCGAAGGTCACGCACTGGCGGCTGGTCATCACATCAGACCTGGAGGAGCGCTCGTTCTTGGACAGGAACAGGTGGGTGAAACTGAATGAAAGAAGTTTGACCAGATTAGGGATCCATAAAGCTGTTAGTGAAAAGAAAATCCAATTTAGTTTGCCCTTCAGACTTCTGCTGACTACAGCAATGCAAGCAAATAGTTCTTCACTCACTGAGACCCTTACAGCTGAGTTTTGCTGAAGTTGAAAACTTTTCAGAGAAAACTGTCCAGAGCAGTGGTAAAAAGCGCAGTAAACCTAAATCTACACAGACCATTAAATCCACAAACAGAGCCCGCATGCATTAGCAGAAGAAACAGCCAAGTTTAGAGCAAAAGAGGTAAAATTCCCATCCTGTAATGCAGTTTCTTCATCCTTGTGTTGTTTTTCACAAACTTTAAAAAGACAGACAACTCTGTTTAATATTCAGAGTTACAAAGTTCAGAATCAATTCTGACATTTTAAACAAAGAAATTTGTGATAACACATCTGATACCAAGTTTCTCAATAAGTTCCACCAGTTTTTAAAATGTAACATGATGTAAAATATTGCCAAGATGTTCCGCTGTTCCCCCAGTTGGCCCACCTAACTTCTGAATCATCCTGTCTACCATGATCAGATTATACAAAATAATTTATTACTGGGAAAACCACCAGTCATGAATAATTCAAAACGATCAGAACTGATGTGTTTTCATGTTCTCTTAATCAACATATCAATCACAAACAAAAATATCAACATAAAAAAGGCATTTTGCAACAGTTTGTTTTTTAATTTAAAACTTTGCAGTTTGACTCTTAAATACAAAAAGTCTATTCATAAAGTTGATTTATAAGGTTATATGACTGACATATAAAGTTTGGTATTGTGCTCAAACTGAAGCGATCATCAGGGCAGTCTTTTTAGCTCCTGTCATGGTGTCCTCCATATTTTCAGCTGTGTTGTATAAAGGACATTTCTCTAGCAACTACCTGCAGGTTTACACTACTCCTTGGTTTGTATTAGCCAACACCATCCCAGTGTGAGTATAGACAGGAAAATTGTCCCCATAGTGTGTCTTTTCAAGGGACTCCCAGGCGAATAGTTCTTCCCCAGAGAGGTTTACTCGAAAAACATGTAAAACTTTTCAAAACCAGATTCTGTACATAGAAAAATCTTTGGTAGCTTGGCACCCTCCAGGTTTCCGCTCTGTCATCCATCCGAGTACATTTTCTTCTCTTTTCCTCGTTACAGGATTCTCTGGCCGGTGGTTTTGATTCATCCCAGGCCCTGGTGGGGGAGCTGTCCCAGGTGGGTCTCTGGGACCGGGTTCTATCATCCAACCAGGTGGCTAGCTTGGCTCGCTGCGGCAAAGTGACCCAGGGCAGCGTTGCCCCCTGGACGGAGAGCGGGATTGAGGTTCACGGTGGGGCAACGAAGGACCCCGGGGAGCCGTGCAGTAAACATAAGAGGAGTTCTCAATGACAGACGGGGGGAGGGGGGGAGAAAAAACAGGGGGGAGAGGAAGCTGGGTCCACCAGGGGTAAAGTTGTAGCGCTTTGAAGGTTTTCTAAACAACTCTATGTGGCATGGACTGACAAGTATGAACACTGAAATATAAAGGTATGTATGTACATGACATGAGCTGATAGTGTCTTTTTAGTTACTTCACTACTTCACCTTTTGTCAACTCCTTACTGTAAACGGCAAATCATCTAAAAATGAAGCTCAAACTCTGTCGTTATTAGTCCTGACTCACTGCGCTTCGTTAGCAAACAAGCTAGCTTACTTAGCGTAACTTCACCTCTAGCAAGCATACGTGTTTAAGGTATCTTACTTGATAAGAAGTGAGTGTAAAGTTGATATACATCCGCCAAAATGTTAGACTTTATTAAATGGATAATAAAGTCTGCCCCCCAGTTTTGGTGTTATTCACTGCCTCTGTACTCTAAAGGATGTTGACATCTACTCTAGCTGCCAGAAGCTGTAACAAGCCAGCTAAAACCCCTCAATGAGTCCCAGTGGGTCAGACAGAGAAGCTTTGGAGTTTTGAGTGGAGGGGAGGTAATAAAAACATTGGGAAAGTGTTGGGAATATTAAGTAGTGGATGGAATTATGATGAAAGAGAAGAGAAACAGGGATAAAGAGTCGGATCCCGATGTTTTGTGGGGTGATGGTGTGTATTCCCACGTCTGCATGATTGTACTCATCTACCTGTATTGTCTTGCCACTGCACTGTTCAACTCAAGTGTGTGACAAATGATGCCTCCTGCGTCACGTCTGGCAGCTGGTGTCTCTTTACGTTTGTCTGTTGAGGCCTCGGGGTCTCTTTTGTTTCTTAAATAAGTTACTAAACAAATCCAAAGTAAGACATCACACTCCCTGAGAAGTCGGCATCAGAGGCAGAATGTTTTATTTAACGCAGTTTTACATGATTCACAAGCTGTTGCCCCATTTATGTCTGACTGTGAAAATGTAGAATATAAAGGTCAAATTACGTGCTGCAGATATTTTCAACTTTTGACTTTCACTGAGTTTGGGATTTTGAGCTTATTATCTCGAATTTGATATTAAAACACATGGAACATATTCTCCCAATGGAGTCTATTTTTAACACTCTTAGTTGCTGATTGTTTTGTTTTGCTGTTTTCAGGTGTTCTCCCTCAAAAATAAGGTTGAACAACCTGCAACCCCTGACTTTACTAACCTTCTACAACATTCCATGCATGAGTTGTTCTGTATGCTTGTAACACGCCTCAATGTGACATGTATGTCTCTAAAAAGCCATCTCTGATAATGTTTCAACTCTTAAAATCACTCAGATTATAATGAGGGGTGTTAATATAATGAACAGAGTGTTGGGATAAGCCAGGTGTTGCCCAAAGTTGAATTTTGGGGGACTTGCGAATTTGCGATTAAATTCATCCAATTCATAGCCAATCAGGACACGATCTATAAGGGCCACTTTAGTGAAAAAAAAAGGGATTTGGGGAATTAACTGGTAAATTTACAAGAATAAAGTTGTTATGATACAGAGATGAATTTCAATGAATATCTAAATACTCAGTCCAGATTCTGAATAAACTGTGCAAGAGTCAGTCTGATCTGCAGATACGTAGACTAACCGGTCGCCTTTATGAAATCACTGTTGAGTTAAAGTTCACAGAAAGATCCCAACCTGTATTTTAGTGCAGGCAGCCAGCTGCTTCTCCCATATCACGCTATACTTTACCTTACATATAAATTAGTACTAGCCTGTAGTAATGACTTTGGTCTCATTGAATTACAGCTTTACTTTTAAAAATTAAATTCCCTTGAATTTAATTTTTAAGTGTATTCTTTAAGATTTAAGATTTTTGTCCCAAAAATATTCTGTTTTGATTGGTTAATAATTTTTTAGTTCATTCTCTGACACTAACATATTTTTCCTTGAAAATCAACTTTTTCTTGAAACATTGAAATAACAATTTCTCTCAAAATGACAACTTTATTCTTGTAAATTTATCACTTTTCCTTTTGAATTTACAATTTAAATCTTGATTTACAAGTTTGTGGTCAAAATTTATAAACTGTTTTTGCACATTTTTGACTTTACTCTTGAGAAAATGTACTTTTACACCCTCTTAAAATAAGAACTTTAATCTTGTAGATTTATGACATATTTCTTATAAATTATCCACTTAAAACTGATTTACGGGTTTTTAGTTGTAAATTTACATTTTCAGTCTCGTAAGTTCACTGCTTTTTTTGTTTCTCATAAATTTGTATTCTTATATATCAATGACTGATTTGTAATACATGATCCACTTGAATCCAATTGAAAAGATTGTTGTCTAAAATTTACAATTCATCCCACAAATTTACAATTTTATTCCTGTGAATTTTACTTCTTTTGTTTGAATATTCCAAACTTTGTTATTGTAAATGTTCTACTTTTAAATCTTGTTTATTTACAAGTTTATGGTCATGAATTTACTTTTTTCTCTCTTAACGTGGCCCTAATCCCTCTTTGTAAATTTGCCCCATAAATTAGCATATTTTGGCAAAGTTTTAACAAAAACATCAGGATTCAATACCTCAGCAATCAGTGTTTTTCCATAAAAAGTTTGTATATCTATTACAATTATGATATTGGGAAAACACTTTGAACAGTACAGGCCAGTACTCAAGTCTAACAAAGAAAAGAGGGAAAAGGTGACGACCCACTTCTTTAAAATTATTCTCCATAGTCCCATGATGTTTTTACGGAATTTTCACCTTAAAACTCTTAGACCACCGGCTCTCCCCACTAGCAAAACAATATTCCTGAGTGAAAAGTGCCTGTAAGGTTTTTTTTTTTTTTGTACCCGTGTAAACGATCATCACATTTATTGTCCTGTTGGATAAATCGCACTGCGAGGTGTTTTGAACTAATTTAACATCAGTGGTTTCGTCCTCAGAGAGCTTTAAATATTTAATATGTCTGATTAAAGTGAAATGAAAACACAAGCATGGACTTCAGCGTGCTGTTACCAAACTAATGCTAAATCAGGTCAAAATCATCTCTCTGCGCCCACTGATGTCTTTGATGATGCCTTTCAGTCTGCAGTGTTATTATGAATATTATGCCTGATGTCTGTTCAGCTCATGCCAGAGCTTTTGTTGGCTTTTTGATAGTTGTCTGGCATTTTTATGTTTACAGATACTGAAAGTGAAGCTTTTGAATTCTATTGGTGATGGTTGTCTTTTCTTACATGACAGTTGTATTATTTCTTTTGGTCAGTGTATGCATTCATATGTCTTTTTCATGTTGTTGTTTGTATAAATACTGTATGTCTATGTCTTGTACGGTGTTGTATTGTTCTGCATATGTGTGGTGTGCAATCCTCAAATCTAAATAAAAGTCCTGATTTTATCACGAGAGAACCAGATTCCTTTTTTTGTATTTAATGCAGAAAAGCGCTGAGAGTTTAGTCTTGTAGAAATTCAGTCATAAATTCTTTTATATTAAGGACACACACTTAATCCAAGCACACCTGTGACAAAACCTGCAGTCAAAGCAAAAACCTCCATCAACTCAATGAGGTTAAATTCTCCTTTATACGAAGAGAGAAAGAGTCTCTTTTTCTGAGTCCTCTTCTTCTATTCATTTTTTTGAGGCCACAGCTCAAGGAGAAATGCCTGCAGCCTTCTGCTTCAGGTGCAGCAGGAGTAGCAGGTGTAAGGTAATAGTACACTGAGTATTTGGGACACCAAATGAGTCATTCGTCCATTGTGTATCAGCCAGTCTAGTGATGAAAACACTGGCTCTTTTTCTAGGCCGCCTGCTGTAAAGGCTTAATGGATCCATCATACTTCTGAAAACGTCTCAGATGGACAGCATCTTTAGGTCTATAAAAGCTCATTACACAAAGAAGACTCTCTGTATATCTAAAACCGGTTACTAATACAACTGCCTTTTCATGCCGTATGCTGCATGTAGTAGCATATGGCATGAGAATGACGCTACACCCGAGTCGACAGTGCTCCAGTTAACAAGTCGGAGAACCAAGATGGACGCCTACAGTTACCCGTTGTTAGCTGTTGTTTACAATTGTCAGCTGTCGTTAGCCGTTGTCAGTTGTTGTTAGCTGTTGACAGCAGTTGTTAGTTGTTGTTAGCTATACCAGTTGTAAACAACGCACAACACAGTATTTTACTCTACAAGCACCATAGCACCGTGTTCACAGTTAGACGTTTGGCAGCACGACATGTACCACTTATTTAATTTCACAAAAACAAAACAGAGGTGCTAATAAATAATACATTATAAGAGCTTTTACTGCTACTCTTTACTGTTGATGCACTGCGCTGCCATCTTGAATTATGACATTGATGTCAAGTCGGGGTTGGCGAGGATCGTCCAACTTTCTGAGTTGGAAATCCGACTTCAGGGGGCGTTCCAGATGAATTTCCGACTCAACTACAACTGGAACGTAGCACTGTTACTGTATGTCTGTGTCAACCCTTAATAGCTTAGCTTATCTTAGCTTAGCTTAAATCATGGAAAGAGTGGCACCAAAATCAACAGAATTTTTTTTCCAAATGTCATGGTTTGGTTTCGCTCAAAGTGTAAGTGAGGTTGCGTGTGTGTTTCTTTTTTATTATTGTGCGCTCCTCCAAAACACGACACATTTGCTGATGACATGGCAGCACAAAGAAAAAAAAAAAAAAGTCTAGAATTTAAGCTTTGAGTTATCAGATTTGCTGAAGAGGAATCCGGAGGAAAAGCAGCAAGATGTTATTTGATTGATTGAAAAAGAGCTGGATAATGGCAAAAAATTTAATTTGATCTTCAGCTTCTTGTTGGAGCATGATGAAAGAAATGCAAGGCTATCAGGGCTGGAGCTTGAAATATGTGAGTGGATACACAGCATGCAGGCACATCATCTCAGGGTTTCCCTACAGGCAAAAGAAATCTACACCACTTAAGTGACAGCAGGTGAGCATGATTTCACCACATGCGCATGCTGGCTTTAAAGCTTTCTCCTCAGAAATCTCTTTTCAGTTAGAAAATCCACAACTGTTGTCCAGAAAGATACCAGGATCTGAATATACAATGGAATAAATGATAAGATATTTTTGTTTTAGCTGTGGAGACTTCATGAGAAAATAAAGACCTGTCATTTAATGTTACAAAGAAACCGAAAACTCTACCCTGTTGTGGCGAATCGTTTTCCTCCTGCTCTGCTAGATTTCGCCTCCAGCTTTTGACATGACCTTATCACAACTTCAACCCTTAGGCTGCTTTTGCAAAAGCCTACAGGCGTTGGTAAAGTTAAGAGTAGAGGAAAAGTTCCCTCTGAGTCACATCCAGTTTCCATTTTAAGTTTTTCTTAAAATGTTGGCGATTCTTTTGGACTCCTTGGGTTACATAAACTCCCGAATGACTGTTAACTCCGTCTGTTCGCACCATTGGCCAACAAATGCCGGTCTTTCTTATTCCCTCGTAGTAAGTGTTGATCCTGTTATATCTATCCCAGTATACTATTTCGGTGCCATCTCTATGTCTTCAATATTGATTCTTACTCTGTATTCACTTACCCCACCTCTTCGCCACCCTCTATTCTCACCTTCCTCTCACTTTCTTACTCCCCCTCCCTCCGTTTCTCTTCCTGTCAGCCAGCCTTTCTAACTCAGACCTCACAACCTCCTCCTGCATCATCTCTGTTCATTGACAACTGTCTCCATCTCTGTATTTCCTGGCATCGCATTTCTCAACCATTCCTTCAGCCAAGACACCCTTAGACATCCTCTGGCAAAAAAACAACAACAACACAGCACAAAGGGGCAGACTCCTCCAGGAAGCTGTCACCAACCTGTCAGTTTTCAGACAGGTTGTGGAGAAAATGAAGCGTACAGAGATGGTTAAAAACAAGCAGATATGAGCAGGGATTAAAAACAAATCACTTTATCTACGCTTTACTGCCTAAAGACATAAAAGCTGCAGCTTCAATTTTCTAAGTCTTTATTCTCGGTAGCCTGTGCGCACTAAACCATAAAGCGGTATTAAGTATTCTGCCAACAAGTTCAGTATCTAACACAACCTGTACAGCACTGAGTAGTTAAGAAGAAGGACAGCAATATCTGTAATCCCTAATAAGCATTGGCCAATCTGTTCATCCGTTCAAGTGGATGAGCCACCACTGAGTGTCACTTGATCACGCAATCCTCTCCTTCACTAATGGATTTACAACTTAAGCCCATCAGCTTCTCTCCTACTCATGCAGGACGGCCACCATCAGCTGGCTGGTGACACACACGTTGGATTTAGACCAAGTTAAAGTCCTGTTAAATTGGTCACCTTTGACTGAGTGATAGGTTTAAATATGTTACACTTTATAGCCGAAGCTGTTCATTGGGGAAAAAGATATCAAGAACCCTTACTTACACTTCATCTTAAGTATAGGTGCCAAAAAACTGTACTGCAAAATCTACAAAGCTGGTCACATTGAGATAAAAAACACTGTCAGTATTTGGTTGTGTGCCAGAAGAGGAAAGATTTAAACTGTCTAAAAACCGACACAAATATGTTTTGTTTCGGTAAATGAGGTAATGAGACAAGTGTTAATGGGAACTCTTGGACAGTCAAAATCCATGATATTTTCCTCCATTGTTTGTCTAATCTGCCAAAACGCAAGTTTGGCATTCCTCTGACGGGCGGAGTTTGCACCGTTGACTTCATTTACCTGCTACAAATGCCTCTACCACCATTCATGTTTAACATTTTCATTAATGATTAATGTTTGTCTGTTGCTAAGCTACAACAGGATAATGTGCCGTCATCGGGGGTTTATAATTAGCGTTCACCATTTTTGGCTGCTGTTAACCTTAATTAGTCCATATAAAAAGGCTAATACTCCTTTTGGATATTATGTTAGACCATAGAGCATAATTGCAAATATATTTAATAGTTTCATAATAGATGGGAATGCTTTTCAGACAACAGCACTAGGGGGAACTACTATGAAAAGCCACTGAGAGTTTTTTCTAAAAATGGAAATGAAAAAAAAAAATTGACTAACAAATCATTACGGAAGTAAAAGACCCATATTTCCTTTATAAAAAAATAAATGTATTTTGGTTGGGATTTATTCAAACAGAAAATTAAAGCAAAAGTATTACTTCTTCCCACTCCTTTTCAAATATATATATCTATGTATTTTTTATTTTCATTGTTTTGTTTTCATTTACTTTTTCTTGCATATTCGAAATAAACAGAATCAAATCAAATATGACCTATGCAACAAAAATCGAACATATTCCCTGCTAGCTAGCAGCTGCCTTGAGTTCTGTCTTACAATAGTTTAAATTGCACAGTTTGTCACAGAACTTAAAAGCTATCAAGTCACCAAACTTATTCAAAATAGTAATCACTTAGATTCATCCTTATTTCTTCATCATCCACATTATTCATGTCATCTATCCTCATCCATCACTGCGTCTGTGAAAGCTGAATGTCTTATTCCAACCCAAACAGCATCAAGTAGCCTCTTGTGGTTAAAACATCTTTAGACCACGTTGTGCAACAGGATGCAGGCATACGCACACATTTTTGTCTGGGCTGTGTCTCACAACTGCTGTGAAAGCGTAGTCTTAACAAAACTACCTCTCATGTCTAGTTTCAAATAACTTTCAGCAGACTGTCCAAGGATGTTTCTTTTTCTTTGCTTTCTACATTTCTCAAGGGCAGCAAATGGAGGACACAAAAACTCAATTTGTGATTCTAACCTTAGCTCCCTCAGCTTTTACTTAGTTTTAGCACCTCAGTGTAAGTATTCACTCTGAGGAGTTGGTATCTTTGCTCATTCACTGAAGCATATAATTTCAAGTACATGTCGTGAGCAGCCTTATGGGTAAATGTACAGGACACTCTGACATGAATAGATACACAGGCTGCACCAGAGACTTAACCTGTGACCTTTCACTCCTTATGAAACCTCTGTGACCACCAGGCTGGCTGTCTTCAGCATCCAACACATATCATCCACAGCCAGAAGATGGTATTCTCTGTTGGATTACCAATCCCTATCTAATCCATAATGTTCTACATAGAAATGGACAGATTGTAATCCCATATAATCCATGAAATGGAGGGGCCAACAAACAGAGAGGTTCCCTTCAGTACAGTAGAGTAAGTCGTTTATTCTAGTGGATATAATAGAAATATATTCTATGTCACAGCATGTGCTAATCTGTCTGCTTTTGAATAGCGTCTGAGTTCCTTTCACTGTGATTTAATTTCTCTGGATTGTGTTTTCCAGACTCAGAGCTGGTAAAATGGCTCTCATTGAGTTTGAGAGAATGAGGCAAAAATTCAGCCTCTGAGCTGTTTTTTTTTTCTCTTTATGGCTAATGAGCAGCTCTAGGATGTGTCTCACAAAATGAAATG